TCCTCCTCCTCCTCCGTCCCTCGTCTTGAATTTTTCCACTGTATTGGCCCGAGCTGAATGATTATTGTACAGTTCAGAACCGCGACCACACTCTATCTATTCCGCAGCATGCAGTTCCGCGAGCCCGAGCACTAGACCAGCCGTAGGGAGCTTATCTAATGTCCCCGTTCTTAGAAGCTAGTTCGGGCTCAGGGGCCCCCTTTGGGCCTTGACTATGAGCCTATAAACTATGCTCAGCGGCGAATCTTATAAGTCAGTTGGGATCATGTATGACAACGCTTCCGGTCAAGGCGTTACGACTACTATGAGGACGAATGCTGATAAGGAGGGTGGGCCGGTGCGCCCATAGGCAGAACGATATTCACACCGCAGCCTAATGTAATCAAGTCCAGCCTAACGGAATCCAAGCCCAGAGCCTTTGACCTTACTCACCTTGGTGGAGACTGACGATACTAGCCATTACAAGCCCATGCAATTCTGCCCAAACCACACGCATTCCTGCCCAACCTAACCATACCTATGCATTCTCGCGTGCTCGTGGCCAATTTCTGCCTGATGGATGGCTACCGAGTATATGATTTCTGAATCTCTTACCAGCTTACAATCTTTCTCGCGGTCTTGCTCTCTTTAGCTGCACAAGCGCACTCTCACCAGCTGAAGGGAAAGACAAAAGGAACGACGCGGAAAGAAGAGAATACCAAACACAAGTTTGGCCCTATAACTTACCTGTGCGCAGGATGGATTTGACAGTGACACGTCTCTTAGGGAAAGTTTCAAGACGAGCATGCAGAATGATCTTCCTACCTCAACCAGTGGTAATGATAACACCGAGTGGGACTCTACTACGAAGGACAATCCTGAAGACTCCGAGGACGATGATTCCAGCCCCCCCCCCTTTCGTGAAAGTCGAAGTGGCAGCACCTCTAAAGCCCGCAGCAAACGTAGAGCTCCCAGCACTGGTGGAAGTCAACAGAGCTCGAGGGCCGAAGCAGATCGCCGAAGAACGGAGGGCCATGAGGACGATCGATATAAAAAAGGCGAAGTCCTGCTGCTTACGTTTTCCTTCACCGATCTGGACGAAATCAAATCAAACAACACCAAGTCGAATGACTGGACGTTCAAAAGTCTCAAGGATGAAACCGCCGGGGTCAAGAAAGCATTTGAAGATTGGAAATACGCGGTTGACTCTTTTGATATCCCAATGGAAGATTCAACGAAAAAACTCAAAGACAAGTTGGGGCGTTTCTTAGAGAAGAGAACTGACAGGACCAAAGAGACTTTACTGGTAGTATATTACCACGGACATGGGGGAGAAATCGGGAAAGGCAGCTTCGGCTTCACCAGGTAAGGATTAAGCTCCGAAATTCTGTACAAACGCATCTCTCATCTAACCGACTTCTTGAAGCCATAATTATCCACGTAATATCGGTACTCTATGGGAAACAATGCTCGATATCTTCGAAACCCAAACCGATTTTGAAAAGGTGTCCGGGTACCTAAGGTCCAAAGAGTATGTCGACCATCTCGAAGAACGTTATTTCATGACTTCGTAAGACCGTTTACTGAAGTAATGGTAAGGAGTTATTTTCAAAAAGAAGCCAAAGTACACTGGAAAGACCTTAGCAGTCTGATCATGGATGCCCAATTCGACACGCTCGTCATCCTCGACTGTTGCGACGCCGGACTCGCTGCCCTGTCCAGCCGGAAGGACAGGAAGGCTCAAGAGAAGAAATATAAAGAGCCTGCGGACAAGGAAAAGATGAATTACTGCAAGGAACTCGTCGGCGCGTGCAGTTGGGCGAACACGACGGAAAACCACATGAGCCCGGCATTGTGTCTTGCCTTGGAACATTATAAAAGGCCAGGCAACTCCATCAGTATGGCTACCCTCGTCCGATACATGAATGACAAGCTTGGGGACGAGTACATCAAGGGCAATCCCGTCCCGCAGGCGGTCCATTATGTACTGGGGCCAACCAAGCGGAGGAAAATCTTTCTGCAGCACTTTTGATCTGAACAGAGTAAGAGAAGAGTCGACTTGCCTCGTCAGAAGAAGAATTGAGAGGGGCTTTTATTGTGCACAGAGCAGAGGGTCTACGGGCGTGCTGGCTGTCACATGTCGATGACAAGAGAAATCAAAGTAAGAGTCTAGCTGCGAGAGGGTAGAGAAGGGAATATCCGTAAACCGAAAGCGAATTTTCCTTCTTTCTAGATTCTAAGTCCATCTCTTTTGAACCGCGACTCTCGCTGTGAGGGCATGCCAAGACTTCAACCACATATATACATAACCCGCGGCACGCGCTACTCGCAACGCTCTGTGATCCCTCTCTGATTCCCCACCCTGTAACAACCGCACACAGGACGAACAGTTTGTCACAGATATCGCGCAACGGTACTGATAACGTTGTGTAAAGTAGTAAAAAGGTGTGGAATTTGTTTAACGCAACGTTTCTTTCAGCCCGGTCTGCTGCTCAAATCCATTCGATCAAATCTCTGATTGTTGAAAATACATTACCTAAACTTCGGAAGACACTCATATATAGTCAGCGGACTGGGAACTAGACTGAAGGTCCTGTTTCAAATATTCTATCCATGCGCCTAATTGTTAGGTGCTCAGATTAATCTTTTCCAACTTTGACGCTCCAAGACTAGTAGTACCTTCACAGTTTCATTCTAAAAGAGAAGCGAACAGTTGAACACCCCCCATCGATTCTCGCAATATCCGGGATAAATTAACGTTCTTCCAGTGCTCGGAGTTGATTTCATTAAGACTACCAAGTTTTGCTATTAGGCTACCTAATGTATTCCAGTGGCTCAAACTTGGCTATCACGCCGGGATTGGCGCCATTCTCGAGCAGCAGCTTTGCCAACGACGTCCGCCCGCGGTGTCTCGCCCACACCAGCGGCGTCCAACCCTCGACATCTCTCGAATCCACCTCGGCGCCCTTCTCGAGGAGCATCTTGGCAATTGCCTCGCGCCCATACTCGGCTGCCAATGATAGCGCAGTCCGTCCGCTCTCATCCTTGGGCTCTGTGTGAGCACCCCTGCTGAGGAGAAGCTTAACCACCGCCTCGCGTCCCTGCCATGCGGCCCATAGCAATGGCGTCCGACCTGTTCTGTCCCTGGTCTCTATCGCTGCACCCTTTGCGAGAAGCAGCATTATCCCTGCCTCGCGGCCATCCTGTGCAGCCCGTGACAATGGAGTCCGTCCGTTTTCGTCCCTGGACTCGATCCCACCGCCTTTCTCGAGGAGGAGGTCCACCAACGCCTCGTGGCCATTCTCCGCAGCCCAAAGCAGCGGAGTCTGTCCCGTCTTATCCTTGGTATCTATCTCGGCGCCTCTGTCGAGTAGTAGCTTCACCACCGCCTCGTGCCGATTCCGAACAGCCCAAAACAACGGCGTCCGATCGAATCTTGAATCCCTCGACTCCAGCGCGGCGCCCTTGTCGAGGAGCAGCTCCACCAACCCGGCAAGTCCGAAATATGACGCCATGGGAAGGGAACTGCTGGACTTTGGAAACCAGTATCTTGATCCATACTTAGCAAACCATGCGGTATATTCCTTGGAACCTTCTTTGCAAAGCTTTCGTGCCAACACGGTTATTTTCTCCCCGCTACATATACCAGCCTCGCGAAAGTGACTAGGCCAGTTATAGCAGGCATATTCAAGCAAGACTCCTCCACTAGCCTCAATAAAGTTTGAACAGAGATACCAAATGCATCTTTCCGCGAGCAGTCTATTTGACTCCTCAAGTTGCATCGAATGCTTCCAAGGGTGAGAGTTGTTAGTAGTGGCGAGGAATTGTCCCGCACTAGAAACTCTTTGGCCGTTTGATGGAGTAGATAGACCTTCTTATCTATGACGACGACAAAAAGGCCACAGATGTCACGGAGAGTGATTTCAAATCGCTCGTCCGGCTCCAGTTCCTGTTCAATATCGTCGTATGATTTGTGACTTCCATCGAGGGCCATCATCATCGCCATCTCTCCCACCGTGAGCGGTCTCGTTGCTCCAATAATCATATGAAGGAGTTTTCTGGCTTTTTCGGGGTTCCGACTCCCTTCTAGGATCTTGGTGTAGGCGTCATCGACGCTCTGCGGTAATTGTTGTACTGCTCTCCTGACGCCGCCTTTCGTGAAGCCTTCCATATTTTCAATGGCATCGAGGGTTAGATGAACCCAGAGATAGCTACGTTGGCGAAAGGGGTCAGCCGTGAGTTACTCGTGTAGAAAGACTCGCTCGTATTGCTTGAGAGACCACTTGTTGCCGATATCTTCGACTCTGCTTCTGATGACGAGGTCTATCTCCAAAGAAATCTTCTGGATTTCGTCATCGTTCTCGCCTCGGAGATGAATGGACGGTAGTAAGTTCTCTAGCTCCCGGAATTCGCGTCCGATGTGACCGTATGGTCTACTGGTTAATAGAAACTTCAAGTTGGACAGGTAGTTGGTAGAGTAAAGTTCTGTCAAAGCCTGGATGAGCCGAGATCGGTCGCGGTCCTGACACTCGTCCAATGCATCCAGAATGCACACAATCTCTCCAGCATTTGGATCTGCGGCGACACTCAGAAGAGTATTCCACAGATCGGAAAACGACGAGACGTGAGTGTCCTTCTTTGTTTGAAACTCTGCAAGAATTGATTCCTGTAAAAGATCGGGTTTTTCCAAGAAAAGCTGGCGTAGGATCGCACAGAGGGCATTCGCTGCGGTTTTTTGGTCTTCAGAATCATCCTTGAAGAAGAAGTAACACGTCGTGCTTTGACTAGTGCTTAGAACGACCTCATCAACCAGGTACCTGGCCAGGACAGACTTCCCGCACCCTGGATCGGCAGACACCCAGAGCAGACCGGAGCCTTTGTTCTTCCATTCATGGAATCGAGGATGAGAAGTGAACCATTCGCACGTTCCTAGCACGCGCTTGGTATTTCTGTTTTTTCACTCTCGGTAGGGGCAGGTGTCGAGGATCTGAAGACACTTGTTCACTTTCTGATCTAGAGTCGACGTGATACGAAACCTAACGTCATTCTCTTGCGCATCACGAATTTCGTCAAACCTCCTCTTCATCTCCTCGGCGTCAAGTAGTTGGGTGTAGCTTCGCAGAGCGTCCTCGGACTTTTCGATGCTCATCAGAAGCCCTTCCCACGTATCTAGCTTCGCCATGTCTCTCAGGACCTGAGCGGCCCAAACACGCTTTAGGTAGCAAAGAGCCCGTGCCTGAAATTCGAGAACCAGAGAATATAACGTCGTTAGACTTTCTTCAAATTTCTCCTGGAATGCGTCAAAATGTGCTGGCCTGGCAGACCAAGGCTCCGTCGGTAGATAGACATCTTCCATGATGGGGAGGCGGCAGATTAACGCAGAAGTAGATTTCAAGCCCTTGAGAAGGGCGGCATTGTGCTCTGCGGCCTGGATGATAAGCTGCGGGTGCGTAAGTAAGGACTCCCGCACCAAATTTCATCTTTGGGGTTCGATACGCCCAGTTCGAATTAACGCCAGTCTGGCAGGATTTAACTTACGGTGAGAACCATGGCCGTTCCGGTACAAGCGTGCACTGCTTGAGGAGAGATGTGCTTGGCTACCCGTTGAATTTGATCCTTTGCATGTAAAAGGTTTTTGCAAGCTTGAGTTATTATAGTCCTGACTTGCATTTCATGACCACCTAATTGGACTTTCCACCTTTTGTCAACCAGCTCTTTGGCCTTGATCTCGAGAAGTTTGTATAGCTGTTGCTGACGCTCGACAGTCCCGCTGGGTTCGAGTTTTGCCCCGAGCTCCGATTCGAGGATCTCAAGGTATTGCTGCCATACTTTGTTTGTTTTGTCATTCTTGGTTAATTTCTTCTCCGCTCTAACCCATATGTTGTGAGGCTCGCCAGGAGCAGTGGCATCATGTTCGACCACAAGAGCAATTGGGTCGTGTTCGGCCTTGGGAGAAGCATCCGGGTCACTGGGGAGGTCTGTAGGGAGTCGTCTTTTGGGCCTTTGTCGTCCCCGCTCAGGAACTTCCGAAACCGCGACGAGTCCCACCGCGAGCTCTTTGAAGGTGGGCAAGCATCTGCGTTTTCAGGCGGAGGGTTCTTGGCCCAGAGTCTCCCCAGCTTTGTCGTTGACGACATTCTTGGAGCCAAGAGAAGCCGCAACTTCTCGGCTTGGTACCTCTTGGAACCCTGGGAGGGGTTTATCCCGAGATCTAAGTAGGCCGACTTCCTTTATGGGTTCAGCACAATGCTGCCAACGCATTTCTCCGCTTTCAGCTTCATCGCGGCGCCCGTGGCGTTCAGCTCTGCACCTGAACCGCAATCCCTCGCATGTACGAGGTATTCGCTTATTAGTCGCACATACTCTAGCATCATTACAATACGAGGTACTTAGGGGTCAATTAGATGGCGACCCGTTCACCCGATGCGAGCCCGAACTAGCTCGTACGGACCGGCATCAGGGCGGCGCTCCAGTAACCTGCCGTGGCTCCCTCGACGCTCTCCAATGCTCGGCCGGGCTCCTGCCATGCTCCGTCACGTGCCCTATTAAAGCGGCCGCGCTCCCTTTCCTCAACGAAAATGGTAAAGGATGAAGGTCAGTTCGGGGTGTATATAATATATATATATATATTGGTATGCGTTCATTGCGCGCTTGGTAAAATCGCGGATTTTTTGGATTTTCGTTCTCTGTTGTATTTTCGAGCGAGGGTCATCTCCGCACTCATCAGAGCATGCTGAGATTTGCTGCTGCAATGCTCATGCTAGACTAGATCCAGTGTAGTTGGTCTACTAGCGTACAGGAAAAACAATCGCAATGTGTCCGCAAAGCTGACCACTTTCGGGAACGTGTGTACGCAAAAGATAAAACGTGACTCATGTGGGTGTACGGAGCATATGTGATCCCAGACGGTCATGTAGATTTCCCAAGAAAGTTGGTTGCATCGCGAGTCGATTGATGGGTCCTTCTCTCAGGCAACGGCTTTGGGCGGAAAAGCGGCCCCAGAGAGCATTCCTGGCAACAATAACCGAGAATGCGGGCACGGAACTTGGCCCTTCGGAACATGTGAAACACCAGAAACAGGGAACCCGGGGTCCAAGTTATGGGCCCCTAGATAGGCTCACAAGTTGTGCTCACTCTACGAGGTACTCAGGCTCAGACCTCAGGGCTCGCTAAGCAGTGCTCAGGATTGCGCAATCACAGCTCAGAGTGGGTCAGTCAAAGCTCAGGTCAAGTGGCCGGATGGCACCCGTTCTGAAGAACGCCCTGGCCACCTTACTCAAGACATAGGCGACCTGGTTTAACTTCGGGCCCAGCCTCAGCGTGATCTGCTCAAACTCCTCGTCCTTCTCATCAACCGCAGTCAGTCCCGTTTCTGGCACCCGGCTGGCATTAGATACCCCAAGCTTTGTAGATTTCTCTCTTCGAGGATATGGAAACTTTACACGAGAATTTACAAGAGAACTTTTTTTGGGACCCAATATTCGAAATAGGGATTAAAGTTGGCGGGGACGATGCCTTGGTGGAGATTGATAGCGTTTCTCATGACACCTTCATCCGGGTGACGCCCTCCTCCTGATGACGATCCGCACGTTGTGCAAGTGGCCGTTGGCGAATTTTACGGGCAGGAATGAACAGAGGGTGCCGACGATCATGGGATCTAACAGTTTATCCTTCATTGTGTAATTCAATCAGTATTGAAATGTGATAAGGAAATCATGTGTTTCGCGCCAGGAGAACTGGTCGCGACTCACCCGGATTGCCGAACCCGGCACAAGGCAGCCGGCGGCTCCGGACACCGGCCGGTGGCGTGAACAAGTGCGTCTCCTCAATCGCCCAAGGATGATACTCCACTCTGCCATCGATGCGTTTGTACCTCGCTCGCTCGTACCCAACTAGATGTGCTGAGCTGCAGACAAAGTCAAGGCGCGGAACGCCCAGTGAAGGTCTAATTCAATGTTTCATTCCAAAGCTCTCCACGCCTCAGAACCCTTGAGCGTCCTGACCTCATTCTATCGTCTCCGCCTTTCGGGTTGTACCTACCCTGTTTCGCTGGGTGTTCATTCTCGCCGGGGCTGTCCGTAATTGGCAGTTTCAACATGACCGAACTTCGATCATGGTACTTTTGCGTTCGGTCGGGAGAGTGCCCCAATCTGCACCTTTGACAATAGACCGGCGCGATCTTGATTCACTAGTAAGTGTTACTGCCGGACAGCCTGAGACATCCAGCTCACAACCATTGGCTTCGTTATCACTACCCAAGAGCGAAGAGAGGGATTTACTCTGTACTGGCCGACCTTCAGCTCCTCTTCTGGGACATACCTGTGAGGTGCTGACGCCTTCTTCCAAGCGGTCTCGTACCCCTGTCGCAGCGAGCCTCTGCACCAACGCTAGAGTTATGGATGGTCGCCCACTGGCGTGCCATGACTCTGCCTTGTTGGCAATGACCTGCCGCCTGTCCGCTAGTTTAGAGCAGGGCACTCCAAATATTCTCCATTTTCGACGAGGGCTCCATGCTCCCCTTCTTTTCCTTAGACAACTTCACATGTACACTTTGAACCTGCTTCTGTGCCTCATTACCAAAGAGACGAGACATTCTATCCAGACTGAAAAGATTAGCTTATAATGACGGCAGGTATGTTAATGATACAGTGTTCAGACCCCTGTCATCTCGTCGCGGCTGATCGTCGCTAGACAACACAGAGACTCAATCTCAAGACAACCACATATATTCCGTACCAACAGACGCGAGGGACCGCCGACCTGATCATGCAGGTGGCCAGCAACCTGTTAATGGTGGCCAACGACCCTGGAGCTTAGAAAGCATACCAGACATAGAGTCCTTGCGAATCACGGAGCTTTCCAAGGACGCCTTCCCGACAACTTACCAGAAGCCCATAGATTCAGACGTTCCAGACTCGACGCCTTCGACTCTACTGCTAGCCCGAGATTCACCATGTTCTTTCGATGCAGTATTCAATTCTTTGTCAGCCGATGATGGCCTCTCTGACTTCTCGAACAACGTACGCACTGATCAATGCTATGAACGAGCCCTGGTCGCAGGTGTGCGTTTGGCGCAAGATACTATGGCCTTATGTGATACTATCAAGGAACATAACACAGATGATAGCAAAACGGTCGACGCGCTGCGGAAGGACCTTAAGCAACTGTGCACCTTCAAGCCTACGCGTGAAAAGATTGTCGGTCTACTTGGCCGGTCTGGAGAAGGTGAGATACTTTCAAAGATGCCAACTTTCGCATTCTTACACGTATCAGGAAAGAGCAGTTTGATCAATTCACTCTTAGGATTCACCGACCTAGCACCGGCAGTAAGTGAATCTGGTCAACCGTCCGTGTGCAATGCACGTCTCATGCATACTGTAAGGGAGACATAGGTACAGCATGTACCTCTGTCGTGACTGAGTTTCGACAAAAAGACGGTCGCCATGCTTCTCAAATCACTCTTGAGGTTGAGTATTACACAGAAGCGGAAATTGAAGAGCTTCTAGCAGACCTGGTAGGGAATTTCAGGAAGGTAGAATTATTACCCAAAGCACCGAGCACAGAAGATGAAGAAGCCCTCCCCCGAAATAGACAGCACTCCGAAAATCAGTCGAAAGAGGCCTGGTCCGCTCTCCAAGCTGCATTCGGACACCATGAATTATTCGGGAGATCTTTCCTTCTTGATCAAACTGAAGGGGCATTTGACCGAATTGTATCACAATTGAACCAGTGGACCCAGCTCCTTCAGTGGCCAGAGGAAGCAAAAGATGGAAGGTATTCAATCTCGGTAGACGACGAAGACGAGTGTGCAGAGAACATAAGTCTCTTCATGCAGGATAAGTTCTGGCCTTTTACCAAGATTATGCGGTAAATACGATCCTCCCTATGCTTGTCTTGATCATCCCAGTCCCTATTTCAGAAGTTTGCGCTGTTACAATTCAAGGATTTCGAGGTACTGATCTTGGCGTGTACTGTAGCATCTTCATAGACTCGGATATACTCAGGTCTGGTATTGTGCTTACAGATCTACCTGGTTAGTATTACACTGAATGAACGCTGTGATGCTGACACTGTTCTTACAGGCCGAAGCGACACCAATACCGCGAGGATCAAGGCCGGTCAGATGTACCTCACAACATGTGATTGCGTTTTCATCCTCTCGAACATCTCGCGCGCGGTGACTGACGACTCACTCAAATCATCGGTATATGAATTGTTGGCCCAAGAAATGCCTCTTGAATGGGAGATGAATCGCGGCGAAAGGCTTCAAGTCATTGTCATATGCACCAAGACTGACGTGAGCACTCAAGAACGGGTTCTCCCTCTCTTCACTAATAGACTTAAGGAGATCAATATTCCGGCAAATAAGCGGGCGTTCATTCCGGACAATAGCCCAGAGTTCAGGTCTTGCATCCAAGAGCTAGAGAAGGAGAAAAAGCAAACCGACGATGAGAAAAAGAAGAAGTCTTTGCAGACACAGTACGTTGGCTTGCCCGGTACAAAGAAAGGTAGTATTGAAGTTTCGTCTAGGATAAAGAGTCTGCTCATAAAGGCGCGAAACAACAACGTGAGGTCGAAGCTCCGACGAAGCTACCAGTTGGAGAACCCAAACAGCCAACTAAACGTATTCTGCGTGTCCAGCAAGATGTATAACAAGTCGGTCAATAAGGACGGGGCAGACAGGATGCTTGAATTGAGTGGCATACCCTTGCTGCGCCTGTTCTGTCGCTCGCTGAATCGTTTAGACCGGCGAGAGGAAATTTCGAACTTCATTCGGTCAGATCTACGCGGGTTACTGAACACAGTAGACCTCCTCTCAAGCACGATCATAAGCCAGATGGATGGCGAGACTGCAGCAGAGGTGTGGAAAGATGCGCAAGAAAAGGTGGAAGTTGCTCTCAAATTCGACAGTCATCGTTCATTAATCGGAGCTGCAGATCGACTACATTATCATTAGTGCGGAAGATGAAACAAAAGAGCAATGCCTGAAAACTTTGGCGGATTATTTTGGTTTGTCGTTCATAGGCTCTCCATTGAACTGAGATGATGACCATTGGCAGAGCGTCGTACTACCATCTGGAAGCAAGCGGCTCTACAGCAATTTCAAAAGTGGCTGTCATGGCATTGGAGTAAGTCTCTCTGTCAATTTGGAAACGAAACTGACGTAAGAAAAATTGAGCAGCGCAATTCGATGCTTTCTGCCTACACTATGGGGACTATGAGACTAAGAAGATTAAACGAACCAACTGGAATCGCGACATAATATGGAGGATGGCGCAAGAACTAGCTTACCCTTTGACTGAAATTGAGGAGGACGCATCGGGAGCATTTGATAAGTTATTGAGTCATGTTCAACAGGAGGAAGACGATCTGAAGGAGACGTACAAAGGTTAGTATCCATAAGCGCCGGCGAGGCAGGGACTAATCACTATTTTTAGAAGGGGGACTGCCACCAGCGCTGTTGTTTGGGGTGGAATTGCACGTCCAGAGCTTAGCGTTTGAAGTTCGGAAAGCACAGAAGAATCTCAAGCGTGAGCTGGTGTAAGCATTGGCCTATACTCCATCAACCAAGATCATCCTGCTAAGATCAGGCCAGCATACTCTGTCGATCGTTTTTGGAAGCGAATCGCGCAAGCTATGTGGTACAAAAAATGATGCCTGCATATCTCTCTGCGAGCTCGGAATTCGGTACAGTCTTCCCAGACAGTCTCTCCCATTGACATGAGGGGATATTCTGACGCAAATTCCATTTGATGACCATCTAGGCTCTGGAATGATGAGAAGACAACAGAACATGATGCGCTCCCAGATAACGGACGAGTTGTTCCCGGCCATGCAGACAGCTATGGAGGACAGCCTGTCTGGACTATTCGAGTCTACGTTCGGCGATCTGCGAAACAAGCTACAACATATCTTGCATTTGGTCAGGAACTCTGTTGCTATCGGACTTGCGAGTTCTAGTGCGTTGCAGCAAGTGAGAACCGACACCGACTCGTTTCGTTCTGGGGTGCAACAGCTCCGCGCAGAATATGAACATATTGCAGACCAAATCGGCGCTGCTCAATAGATAGTTTCACCGTCCGGTTCTACTTCAGCTTCTGCATGGCTATGATGTCGAAAGGATAGTCTTAGGCCTTGCATAAAGGATATGATATATTTGATGTTCAATAAGGAAGAGCTAGCAAAATCCAGCCCCTTTGGCTGGTCAAGTCTTTCACGTTGGAATTAGTGCATCGCCAGGAAAGGCACTCGTTTCTTACTTTACTCAAGTGACCGCTATGTGGAGAATGTGGTCCTGCGCTGGCATCATACTGATACACGCGTCTCGAGAGCTCTCAATCTAATGGTGGTGCAAACATGGATGTGGATGCTACCGCCGTCCGCTTCTTATGTTCCAGCCTCATTGAGACCGTTGGCTCCAAGTGATCCTACCATTTTCCAAAGGAAAGGATAAGAGGTCGAAATTCCGCATACCCGTTAATGACTGTGTCCTTGACCTTGGGCGAGCCATACCACCCGAGCTCACTTTACTGGCTCTGAGGAACACCTCATGCCTAGGAGACGGTTTCGGTAGTGGGGGGGTTTCTCTGAAATTCTTCCGTTGAAACGTATTGCCGATGGAGGCAAAGGGGGATACTGTATGCGGTATTGGTGTCATCACCTTGATCTTTGTGCCAGACTCCTCTCTGTCTTCGCAGTAGTAACGCCCGGATGCATTGATCTCAATGAAGCCTTCGATCGGCAAGTTGGTGGGGGATGCCAAATGTGTATGCAAGACAGTGAAGGCATCATGTCCACCACACCTTGTAGTATTGTGGGTGTATGTGTAAGCTTCGAGGCACTTTTCACTGAATACTGCATACACAGCAATTTCGGATGTATCTTTGAGAACTCTAGCCCAATCGTTGAATCGGCATAGAAGGGCGAGATAGCGCTCTTGGTGGCTGTTGAAGAACCCCACATTGAACTCGTCGCCGGCAGTACCGGTTTGCGACAGGATTTCCAAGACAGACCTAATCAACTTTGCTATATCTCTCCTCTTCTTCTGATTATCACACCAGACTTTGTTCATATCATCCGGGTTCTGACTGTGTAGTGCTCGAAGGAACTGAGAGCCCCACCCACTCCGGCTCCAATGAGGACTGATCCGTTCCAGCAGATTCTGAACCGGAGCCATTAAGAAGACATTTCTCAGTTGAGTCCGTCGTGCATTTCCAGTGCAGTGGCTGACTTCGACTGCCAGGGGCTGATGGAGAATGTTCACCTGAGCAAAATCCGGGTCGGATTTCCATTTTGCTAGGTGGTGTTCTTTCAGGGTAATGCCAGGAACCAGCTTTGAGGTAGCTTGGACAGAACCTCCGACAATTTTTGAAAAGCTGAGACCTCCGCTCAAAGTTTCAAGCGTCCATTTAGCGGCTCTAGGACCCAACGGGGACATTGCATGCCCATAGGCATCTTCAAAAGCATTCAGCGTATATTGACAATTCGAGTTCTCCCGGAATGTCGCACCTATCAAGAGGAGGGCGTCGCTTGCAAGCGAGCCCCAGGTTTCTCCTTGAAGTAGACTCGTCTCACGCCGTCTCTGGAAGTCGGATGAACTAGCCCAATGGCATCGGACGGAGCCTTCGTACTGCGATTTCCTGACCGGGTCGTCTGGGTAGATGACTCCTCTCGCCAGCTGGTAGTACTGGATACTATTCGGGACACCGTGATCCGAGCGGGCGGCCCACACAGGTCCCCATATGTCTGCAAAATCCTCAATAGTTGTCAAAATCATTAACCGCTCTGTGTTTTGGTTTTGCTGGTGAAAAGATGCTTGCCCGTCCATGCAGCTTGAGAACGTCCAAACCTGGTTTTCGCCAAGATATTTGTCCAAACAAGCCAAGCGACTTCTCCTGCAGCAGAAGGTGAACGATTGCGCGTGGCTAGAGGATACCGTGATCGCGGGCAAGTCATTCTCCAAGTGATCCAGATCGAACCGTCGGCCGTGGGAGCCCACGTAACAGACCAGGCCGAGATCCAGAAATATAGAAGCCAATCTGCATATTTCTAGGATCGAGTCGCCGGACCTCGTAGCGCCAGGATTGTGGCTATGTCCCAGCACCTCCAGGAATTGGTATAATGGTGGCTCAATATGTACAAGCAACTGTGCATACATCCCATCTGGCGAAAGGCCATGGTCTGAAATTTGCACTAGCACTTCTTGAACGCCCTTTTGTATCTCAGCAAGAAGTGTTTCTGGAACTCGAACGATCTTTGTAATGTCTCTCTCGGGTTGTAGGAGTAGAACATTGAACGTAGAGCCGCAGAAGCCGGCTCGGCGAAGGTGTCTGAAACCGGCCAGGACGCGAGATATGATAAGGTAAGTCTTGCGTAACGATACAAAGGCACGCGAAATCTCCCGAAAGTTGTCAGATTCAGAGAATGAATCAACATACTCGAGCTCAAGTAGTGGCTTCATGAAGTCGGCCACCTCCTGGTACGCCAATGAGCTTGAGCTTTGCACAGGCATACCGTGGTCACTAAGGTCGTAATACCCACAACAATGAAAGAATTCGGAGTTCTCGACAATGTCCTTCTCCAGGAATTGGAGCCAGGCATGGTGGGATGCAGGTTCGAGTATGTGCATATCGGCATCAAAATTTCCCTTTCTTGCCGTATCTTGCCATTTCTTAATTTGTTGTTCGACCTCCGCGAGAGAGAGAGGAAGTGAAGGGCTCGGCACAGTCTGACTGGAGGTCGCTTCAGGGACCGCATGTAGAGTTGCGCCTTCGCCAATATTTAGAGATGCAAGGACATCCGTGTCAGTCAATTGCTTTCCACCATATGTCAGAAAATACGATCCGCTCTCCGCGCCCGAAGCATCCTCATATTTTGCATAGACTGCCGAACCAAGATCCAACTCATCGACTTCGAGGGTATGGACATCGCCATGGGCTAGTGGTCAATTAGCCTTTTCCCTCTGTATGGATTCACAGTCAGTTCTGCACTGACATTTGGCCACGATTATCCACATCCTTCGTGGATTAGACTCCGGAAAGGACGAGAAGGGAATAGAATCTAAGATGTTCCGTTCGAAAGAAGGCGCGCTGTTCTGCAAGTACAAACCAGCTACCTCCTGAGCGAAAGTTGATGGAATAGAGAGGCGGACACCTCTCTCAGGCAGAGTCAAAGGGTTGCATTGGCGATGCGGAGTTTCCCCAACAGGAATCGCGCAGTGCAAACTCCGACCCACAACCCATCAAAGGCTGTCCGTAGCCTTCACCATTATTAAGACCCAGGTCCGGGCTGCCCCCACTTCCCCCGACCTCCAAACGCATCTACAGGGATCCATGTTCGTTGGTCACTCCCTGCAAATGCAATTTCAATGGGATATTCGACAGCGCTGCTACCTTTTTTGGCCTGATATGACTCTTTTATGAATAGGTCACCATACCAGGGCTCTGTGAGTCCTAACACCCCCTATTCCATAGATCCCGCTTTCTTGACGGACGCGTCTGTGCGATCGGCGAGGACTGTGAAACTGAAGCATTAAGGATTGGAGAGGAAAGGAAAACCATACTCATCTTGAGCAAAAGAAACTGCAAGAGTTGATGAAGATCTATTTCGGCACCCTCTGGGTCCCAAAATGAGCCCCAGTAGGATCCTGGTCCTCGCTCTGTCAAATTTAGGGAGCATCGTAAGGGCAGGGAATCCACCAGATTTCCGGCGCCCATCTGAAACAGGTGCCTCGCCGAGCACTTAAAAATGGCCGAGGCCCAAAGGGGCTTCTTGAGCCCTAACTGGCTTCTGTGAATGGCGTCAGACAGCGCTCCCCTGTGAGCTCGCGCAGTGCTCGAGCGACCTCCCCCATGTTCGGTCGTGGCTCCCGCGACGCTCTCCCATGCTCGGCCGGGCGCCCCCGATGCTCCGTCACGTGCTTGGTTAAAGCGGTCGCGCTCCCTTTCCTGAACGAAAGTGGTAATGGACGAAGCACAGTTCGGGGATGATATAATGTATATATATATACCGAATTTCGGAGGAGTCAACACGATCCGAACCGATCCGATTGTGCACGTTCAGTTCTAGATTACAGAGAGCCTTGCGATGTATGCCTAGGATACAATATATCAGGAGAGGGCAGATGGAAACCAGACAAAAGCCTATACTGGAAAGTGGACAGAGGGAGCCGCTGCTGGAATCCGTTGTAGATACAAGGATAATTTAATTTTATACCCGAACCCATGCCTCCTCGTGTCCTCTGTTGAAAAAGAAAAAAGGGCTGCAGTGACCTGTGCCAAAAGTGCCCGAGCACAAAATGTACTACCTACATAGGTACCTAGTAAGTATACCATTTCTGCTGACTGGACCCTGGCCTGGTCTATACGCACGCCCACCAACAGTGCCCTGTGGCCCAGACCCCTTGCTCAAGCATAATTAGTCGGCTTTCATCAAGCGGTCAAGGTTGGAATGTAGTTATGATCCGGACATCGACCGCTCGCAGTTTCACCACGGATTTCATTCAGAGCGTTTAATCCATCGGATGGGGGCTTCGCGTGCTGTACCATACCAGGCTGAGCCGTTGTCTCGAGATCCCAGTGATGAGACAGGTCCACGGGTGGGTTACCCTCAGACACGACCAGGCGAATTCTAGGCATCCACCACAGGTGCTTGGATTTTGTTTTCGGATCGTAGAGCGGTCGAAAGAGGTACGAACAGGGTCAGCACAGACACGGTTGACGGTGAGCGCTTTTGAAATGCATTACTTTCAACGGGAGCATCGAACCCTCTAGTTCAGGCGCACATAATTTCCTGCGTATTCGGTGGTTAGCTACTCAAGACCAAGCCTGGTTGGGAGTACACCAGAAACAAGCGAAACGCAAAGCTCAAAAACTTCAGAAACTCGAAGGCTCAACGTACCAGGAAATTGTCCTTCTCGCCCATTAACTCGTCCTGTCCACCACTCGTTCTCATTCGCCGTTCTCGACACAATTTCGATGACTTCCCCCGTCATAAAACTGAGATCTCCTTCTGCTTGTGCTTCGTAGTCATACAAAGCCGTACATGTCTCTGCGTTGGGCACACCACTCAGACGACTCGGCTTGGGCTTGGGTGGAGGAGGTTTGCCTTTTGCTGCAATGGCGGCACCTAGCGAGGGACTACCTATTGCAGGACTGCTAGGCATACTTGCTGAGCCGGTGGGAGAATAAGGTGGAGGTGGGTTGGAGACACCGTCTTCGAGATGACTCGTTCTTCGACTTGCGTAAGAGCTCTTGCTTGCTTCTGCTTCCTTGGCCTTGGAATGGCCCAAGCCGTATCTCGAAACGCCGCGGGGTTTGACGCCGCCTGTGCTCTTGAAATGGACGATCGAGAGCGCTTCTGCGCGCTCCTGGACATCCCCTCGTTTCATCTCGAATGCCTCCTCGATGTCCAGATTCAGGTTGAAGTAGCCAATATTAATGGCTTGCATTTTTTCGTGGAGGGTGTAGAATACGTTGAGTTGCATGTAATAGAAGGACTGGAAAAGAGGACGGATAAATTCGGCCTCCAGAGCAAAAAGCTTGGGGAGTTCATCTTTGAGCAGGTTGTTGAAATACTCGTAGTCCTGCGTGGCTTGTTCGACATCGTTCTCCGCCTTGAAGAGGGCCTTTTCGTCCTTGAGCGTCTTTTCTTTCTTGTCCTGCAGCTTTTTCAGAGTAGCTCGGTGACGGTCATAGTCGAGCTGTTTGTGATCGCGCTTGACGTTGATCTTGCGGATGACCTTGATGACTTCGAGTAACTGGTCAGCGGGGGCTATTACGCGCTGCTCGATCATTTCCAACTCCGGCTGCAGAGTGGCCTGCAGTTCGCGCACGATAGACTCGTACTCTTCGCAGGCTCGGATTCCCTCTGGGTTTCCTTCAGGGATGATCGAGTTGGGGTCGGAGACACGTCCGGATATTGGCTTGTAGATCTCCTGGATGGCTTTCGAGAATTCGATCTGGTGGTTCAGCATGCCTGGAGAGAACAGATGTTAGAGACAGACTTCACTGGATGCAAGGGCCTCTGAGGTATACCATTGATGGCCTCAAAATACTTCTTCGACTCGTCGTGCAGCTTCTTGGTCTCCTTCTCCAGCTCCTGAAAGCGTCTCTCTGCATCGATATAGACGGCATCTTTTGTATTATCGCCAATATTGAAGCGCTGCTTGAATTGTTGTGGGGCTCGAGTTATACTCTTCCCCACGCCTTTAAGACTCATTTTGCGTTGCTATTGCAAGAACCAACACCCAGTGCTCTCGGTTTTCCTTTGGCGGTGGATGTCTCGGAATGGGTTATCCACAAGCGCAGAAAGGCGACGAGGGGAACCTCTGTGAGAGTGTCGCAGAACAATAGGGTGGAATGTATCCGGGTGCCTAATGGTGGTAGCAGAGGTGGATGGGAGTATGCGCAGACGGAGGATGAGGGGCGGTTTGGAAGTGGGCAGCCAGCGATGGTTGGAGGCGGCACAATTCGCTTGGACCCAGCGCCTGGGCGACAAGAAGCAATGACGCAGCCAAACGAGAAGGAGGCTGTTGGGTGGCTGTGGCTGTGCTCGAGAGCAGCTGAGCTGAGCTGATCTGGCTGTTTGTGCCTTCACACTTCCCACCTGATGCTCGTCGTTTGAGACCTGAGAGAAGGGATGAAAAGCGACAGCGATGAGGAGATGTGCGAAGGAGCAGGATTGTCACTCAATTGCACTGGACAATGTCTAGCTGCATTGAGATCAGTTCAAGGTCGGTGTCTCGCAAGCTGACTGGCGTGTGCTTACCTCTCATGCAGCGATCCGTGATCCCACCGACATGACCGACCACGTCCGTCATTTAGCCGTAAGCTGCGTGCATTTGGCGGTTGTGCAATGGTAGTGAATGGGTGCATGATTGGTGGTGGCGTATGAGGGCAATTGACACCAGCCAGGAAGGTCGGCCGACAATCTTATCTGATAATAAATCCTCATGGTCCGCCACGCATATTCATCCATGAGCAACTTCAGCAGACTCATCAAAAGGAGCAACATCTTTTCTTCCTCTTTCAAAATCCATAGTCAGCTGGACTGATTCACTTCCAAAACCATGCCTGGACCGACCTCTTCGGTGATACGCCAGGCTTCGCGTGCCTGCACTCGCGGATTATCCAACAACGCAATCCTTTCTCCCTCACGTTCCGGAACTGCTTCCATCGCCTCCTCGCGCTTCGTCGGTCGTCGCAGCTATGTCTCCGAGTCCAGGCCCGCCAATGCTCAAGTCGCAGACGTCGAGTCTGCCATCAAAGCAGACCAGAAGAAATTCATCCAGGAGAGCGGCAATCTGCCCTCGCAAGTCAAAATGCCCGGGACCGAGATCACCGCCGACACAATGCTGAGCCCTCAAGCCGGCATTTTGAAGCATGCAACCATTATGGATCAGGGTACACGCCCAATCTATCTCGATGCACAGGCCACCACCCCAGTTGACCCCAGGGTTCTCGATGCAATGCTACCTTTCCTCACTGGCCTCTTTGGCAATCCTCATTCGAGAACGCATGCGTATGGGTGGGAAAGCGAGAAGGCTTCCGAGCAAGCAAGAGAACATGTTGCCAAACTCATTGGTGCAGACCCCAAGGAAATTATATTTACAAGTGGTGCCACCGAAAGCAACAATATGAGCATCAAAGGTGTCGCCAGGTTTTTTGGCAGATCGGGCAAGAAGAAGCATATCATCACCAGCCAGACAGAACACAAGTGCGTTTTGGACAGCTGTCGACATTTACAGGATGAAGGCTTTGAGGTCACATATCTGCCCGTCGATTCAAGCGGCTTGATCAATCTTCAGCAGCTCGAGGAAGCCATCAGACCAGAAACTGCGTTAGTCAGCATCATGACCGTCAACAACGAGATCGGTGTCATACAGCCCATGAAAGAGATTGGGCAGCTGTGCCGATCGAAGAAAGTGTACTTCCACACCGACGGCGCCCAGGCTGTTGGCAAAATTCCGATTAGCGTCAACGATTGGAATGTCGACCTGATGTCAATCTCGAGCCATAAAATATATGGGCCCAAGGGAATTGGTGCCTGTTATGTAAGAAGACGGCCTCGCGTCAGGTTGGACCCCATTATCAGCGGTGGCGGTCAGGAGCGAGGGCTCCGCAGCGGAACACTTGCACCTCACCTCGTGGTCGGATTTGGAGAAGCTTGTCGTATTGCCAAAGAGGAGATGGAGGTAAGAACAAATTTGCCTTTCCCGAAGCCAGTTGTCTTTGATGATTATATGCTTTTTTAACATGCATGGCTTTCTGAGCGTCTGACTGCAAGCACAATGCCAGCGCCTTGATTAACATAGCAGGGGTTATGATTTCACTTTCCTGATTATCGCACTTTCATCGTCAACCCCTTGAAGGACAATGCTGACTTTGGACCTTGACAGTACGACTCTAAACGCATCAACTTTCTATCCAAGCGACTTGTCGATGGTTTGCTTGCGATGGAGCACACCTCTTTGAACGGAGACCCGACTCGACGATATCCTGGATGCGTCAATGTTTCGTTCGCGTACGTTGAAGGAGAGTCACTCTTGATGGCCCTCAAGGATATTGCCCTCTCCTCTGGGAGTGCCTGCACCTCAGCATCCTTGGAGCCTAGCTATGTTCTCCGCGCTCTGGGAAACAGCGACGAAAGTGCGCACAGCAGTATCCGTTTTGGCATTGGGCGCTTCACCACAACTAGCGAAATCGACTACGTTCTGAAAGCTGTCCGTGAGCGCGTCACCTTCTTGAGAGAGCTCAGCCCGCTCTGGGAACTGGTCCAAGAAGGAATCGACTTGAACACCATTGAATGGAGTCAGCATTGATCGACTGACCCTGATGGTTGATGAAATTTGTACACTACTGGCTTACATAGGACGACAGCATGAGCAGATCGCCCCTCCTCTTTTGTTGAGTGCGAGATCCTGCTTCACAGCAGAGTTCCCGGCACAGGAGACAGCTGGACGCACAGCGTTTATATTTTCAAGTTATAAGTGGCTTATTCTGGCGGGATCTCTAAATCCATAGCCTCGAATCATATTCTTGATACCCCGTCCTTGCTTGGTTGCTTCCCATGCGTCTGTGGTTTGCTCGAAATCGAAAATGTGGGAGATGAGGCTCTTTAGAGGGAGCGTGCCAGCCTCAAGCACATCCATGGCGACTTTGAAATCCCCCTGGTTATATCGGAAGGCACCGTGCATGTGCAACTCCTTTTCGCTCATGGCCAGAATAGGGAAGTTGACGACAGGCTTTCCCAGGCCTGTTTGCACACAAGAACCTCCCGGACGAAGAACATGTACAGCTGTGACGATTGAGCTTTCCGCCCCTGTTGCCTCTATCACGGCATCTGCACCGAGTCCCAGCTCGTTTTCCTCGATCAGCCGTGCTGCGTTCTCCTCTGGCGAAGCAGACAGATCGGGCTTGAAAGTATTCGACCTGTTGAGGCTCCTTGCAAATTCCAGCTTGTGATCCAACAGGTCGACTGCCACAATCTTCTTGGCCCCGAACAGGCGGGCAACTGCACCACATACAAGGCCAATCGTGCCCGCACCGAAGATCACCAAGCTCTGACCTGGTTTGACCCCGATCATTCGCACTGCATGCGCTGCCACAGCAAGAGGCTCGGCAAGGACGCCCTCCTGCAGACTGACTCCTGGCGGGAGCTTGTAGCAGAAATCGGCCGGGATCTTGAAATACTTGGTCAAGCAGCCCGGCGTGTCCGGTGGGCAGGCGGCGAACTTCATCTGTGGGCAGAGATTATACAAGCCTTCCTTACATCTTTCACAGGAACGACAAGGCTGACCTGGCTCAATGGCGACGTTGTCACCTGGTCTCAGATGGGTGACCGCAGAGCCAACAGCATGTACCGCTACAGAGTGATGTTAGTTCTTGCCATCCAAGCCCGTGTTGGTAGGCCTGCAATGGGTGCTCTTGTAAGGGTTAATGCAACTGACTTCCTGATGCCTCATGTCCCATGACCAGAGGGCTTGATTCGGAGACGAATTTCCCATTGACACCGCCATGATTCCAGAAATGCACCTGAAGGCAGTCAGATTCATCCGTCAAGTACCACTCGACGACATGATGTACATCACTCCCGCACACCCCGACGAACTTGATTCGAATTATCGCGTCTGTGGCATCTGTAATCTTCGGCTCTGGTCTATCCTGGATCTTTGCTTGTCCGGGACCAAAGAGAAACACTGCGGGATTCTTGTCGGTTAGTAAAAACAGGTCCTGCTCTAAAGGCGAAGTAGGCCCTTACGGAGAATGCCATCACAGGAATAGAGGAGACTTTTCTTAAGAGTCGTGGGTAAGAAACAGTTGAGAAAGTCTACAACTCGAACGCACGCATGGAAAGGCAGTATCTGCAATGGACGTCGCGTGATCTTATACGCATGGATCAATCATAGTCACTTACTGGGCCACGTCAAAGAAGCATATGCACGACTGCGACTGGGTACTACAGTACTCGGCGCGGCCAAATATGATGTTTTCCCGTCCCTTTCCGCTCTCGGCCCTGAGCATCCCGCTGCTTAGCCTGAGCCATGACTTGGACATTCCGAGCTGTGGCTGTGCAGTCGTAGTTCAGTTCGTGTCGGCCTCGAGGTACTGTGTGCTGGGATTGGAAAGTAAAGCAGCGAGGCCACATGGCACGGTGAACGGCGCTGCATCGGGCCAAGTAGTTGGCGCCGTCAATGTGGGGAGTCTCCCCACGCGCCACCATCGGCCCATGTCTCGGCGACGATTCATTGACCAGCCGAAAATACTTCCTTCGACATGATGGGTTTCCTCTCCTCTCCTCTCGAGTATTCTGAGACTGTTCCTCGAAGATACAGACAACATCAAATATGAGCAGTGAATCTCCTGAAAGTTCTTGCTCGGAACGGAGAAGCTCCACAGTGTGAATAACCTCCCACTCCGCCACCTTCTCCAGCTGCCCTTAACGACTAACGGAGTTGATACAGGTGCCATCTCTGTCGACAGCGCAAGACGAAATGTGACAGACGGCTCCCAGACTGTTCTTTCTGCGTCAAAGCAAAAGCCCATTGCCAATATGTGACCAAGACGAAGAAGCGTGGCCTCCGTGCTGGGTACGTTTCACAACTCGAAAATCGCCTGGGTACGTGTTCCTATCCATTGCGAAGAGGATATTGTCTGATTCTTCGCCAGAGACCCTGGAACGAGAAGTCGAGAAGTTCAAGCAAGAACGAACAACGTCCTCGACGACAACCCCAAATCCCATCCTCAGCCCAACCCTTGCAGCGACATCCTCCACCCAACCTACCGGTGTATCACCACAGCCAAACTCCATCTCCCACACTCCGTCCGTCTCCCACGTCGAGCCACTGAAATCCAATAGCCCGCAGGCAGAATCAGATGCTGCTGTTGCAGACTTAACGACTCTATCGCATGCGTATCTTCATACGTTGGCCGACTCCTGGTTCAAGGAAACCCAGCCATGGTACCCTATCTTGAGCCGGCAACACATTCAGAAAGCCCTTGACGCCCTTCCTCTGCCTCTGACCCATATAGACGACGTGGTGCTCAAGGCCGTCATTGCGCTTCAGATAGCCTACTCGAGTCAGGCCATCTGTTTGGGATACAACGGGAGATATCGACTTTCACAGTACCTCAGGTCGCAGGTTGTAAACGAGGCCTTCTCCAAAGCATCCTTGAAATCTCTCCAAGCGCTCTTGATCATTGCCATACTAGACTATGGTTCAGACAACCTCCCCAGCACATTCAGCCTGCTTGCTGTCTGCCGCCGCATGTGCGAAAACATTGGCCTTTTCCGCAAATTGTTGAACCAGATGCAGTTGCAGAGCCCTGCGCAAGTCGGCCCGCCGGCAATAGGCAGCAATACCGGAGACGAACTGGCGATCCCTTTGACCTGGTCCTCGCTCGCCATGGACGCTGTCTCGACCCTGGGTATTTCATGGCGTGACGTGTCGGCTGCGGTGATGGAGCACCTGTCGAGTGTCACCTATGTGAGCACACCAGACCTCAGGGACAGCTTCCGCAGTCATACGCATCTCGCTGCGATCGGCCTGCAACCTCTTCATACCTTTCTATACGACCATGAGCAGGGGAGATATGACCAAGCAGAGGACCAGGCTTTTGCCACGTGTGACGAAATCTATCACAACCTCATGAACTATGTCCGTGCCCAGCCAACCACCAGCTATACATTGTTGGCAGATGGGCTGATTGACTTTGATCCCAACCTCGTCCTCACCAGCATTTTGTCCCATGCGAGTGTCATTATCCTCTACGCGCGCGTCCTCGAGGCGGATGAGGGCACGTGCCACGAGATTCCACTGCAGCGATGTCTCCAAGCATGCGAGGACATCGTGTTGGCGCTCCGCAGCATCAGCGACGCGGATGCCGAACTCAACACACCGCTCCTGGGGACCATGCTCTTCGTCGCGGCAAGGTTTAAGCTGCTCATATATCGCAAGATGAACCGGTCGCGGGAACCCATCTTCGACACGCTCATGCACGGCATCAACATGTGCGGGCGGCGGTGGTCCGTGGCTCGCCGGCAGGATCTCGTCCTCCGCGCGGCCATCGTCGAGGTCGACACAGGCAATGGGTCGGAACTACCCGCGTCTTTTTGGAATGTGAAGAAGAGTCACTTGGATATCTCTGAGGAGCTGAAGGAGTGGGTCGGCGATCACCAAGAGTCGCTGTGCATAGGCTCGCTGAATGGGCCGTATGTATGATTCGGTATATCAGGGAGCTGATACTGATGCTCAGTCCTAATCTCTATCATTACAACCAGCAATAGGCTGCATTTGCGGGTGAATTTGTGAGTGCTATTGGCATTCGGTACGCTCTCCAAAGTCTTCGGAACTCTCCTTCTTCGCGTTCGGGCGAGGTTGTCTTTTTTGAGGCGTAACCCGTGATAGAGCAAGACGATGGTTCCGGCCGGGCGTGTGATATAAGAACCTAGCCCTCGATCTCGGTCTACGGCAGCATTTTTAAATAGATTGATGTGTCCTCTCTGGAGACACTCCTCAGAGAGATAGATCAATGCGCTCTCTCACGAATGAGTCATGAGTTAACCTATATACAAGCCACGTCTACAGCCTGACGCATCTGCAGTCACGTTTGATTATACGACATCATATATCATTTGCCTTTTGTACAAAGTTGGAGACATCCTGGGGCCTAGCCGTCCAGATTTTTCAGCCCCGCTCCGCCGCGAAATTCACAACGACAGGCCGCTTCAGTCGACCGCTGGCGAGGTTGTCGGCGTCTTTTACAGAGATGAAATCTGCCTCCCTGGAAGCCGCCAGCAAAGAGATGCTACTGAAACCGTCTCGGACGGGACTGTTATGGAGCAGAAAACCCTTGATGGCCACACAGATGAACGAGAGGAGCGGGTTCACCGCCAATAGCAGGATCAGCAGCGGAGCTCGTCTCAGCGTCGGCACAGTCTTGACGGTAACGATGTCCGCAGCGTCCTTGTCGTAGCCGGTCAATGTTCGGAGTTCTGCGCTCTGGATTCCTTGCGGCCGGACGATGGTGTCGAGGCTGGATGTGCGCGCCCACGCCATTGCCGCCGCCAGAGCCGGCACGGTGTTGACGGGCTGCGCGAACACGGGACTGCTGTCCGAAGAGATCGGGTAAGGGTAGTCGAAGGCTCCCGCCCGGTTGTGCCAGTCGTACTCGCCGAGGAAGTTGCTGAATGTCTCTTGGAGGCCAATGGCGCTGTCTTGGAGCACCGTCTGGTTCACGACCGTGTCTGTCTCGACGAGCTTTGCCGCAACCAGCGTAATGTTGGAGGGAGAAACGACCCACGTCACGTTGGCGATGCGCCGGGACTGCACGGTCCGAATGGCTTCAGACTCGAAGGTCTCGTTGCTCGTGGTGTTCCAGGCCGAGAAGTACATCGTGGTGAAATTGGTCAGGAAGCTGCCGCTCATGCCGGCCCAGAGGGCATTGTTCGCACCACGCACATTGCCACCGTTAATGGTATAGTCGTGGCCGAACTGCTCGGCGACGTCGTTCCAGAAATCCACGCTATTCCTGTCGTCGTCGGAAATCTCATTCACCTCCGACACGGTGGCGTTGACTGTTGTCGACATTGTCAGCGTCTCGCCGTCCTTGAGCCTGCCCTGGATCTCGGTCAGGTAGGAAGGGAACGGCGAGTCCACGATTGCGGCCGTCTTGTTGTCGCCCGCGATGAAGACGTTGAAGCCGTACGTTCGATTCAGCCCGGGATCGGTCCAGAACGGCACGTAGACCTGGGCCAGCAGCGAGAGGCCATCCCCGATGCGCTGCATCCCAGGAGGCGCCGCGAAGCCGAAGAACCCGGGACCCTCGTGCACCAGGATCGTGCTGCTCCCGCCGATGAATTGTTTGTAGCCGACACTCAGCCCCAGCGGCAGTCCAAATATAACCACCAACAATAGCCGGTACGCCCAGTAGACGTGGTCGGCAAAGGGGTCCTTGCGCATCAGGGCATCCAGGTCCTGCAGCGTGGTGCCCCAGCGCTGCTTCCCGCATGCCATCAGCGCCGTGCGAATGACCTGGCCTTGAAGACACATGCCCATGACAGCCACGAGAAACCCGATCAGCACCAGCTGGTTGATCTGGCCCAGGTAGATGGCGAAGGGAGTGTAGAAGACCGTTAGGAGGGCGAGGTTCAGGCACAGCAGCATCGTCAGGCTGAGGTAGACGTCCTTGGATGGGAGGCGCGGACTGCTACGGCGGCGGCGAGTTGTGGCCTGAGCTTGTTCTGCATCTTTGATTGAAAGCAAAGGCGACTTGTCCCAGGGCAATTTGGGGAGTGTTTTGGTGGTGGTGATGTTGTTGTTATTATGCGGCGACATTCAAGCGATCAAGATATATGTTGTACTGAATGCGAGAAGGATGAAGGCACACCTGCTGTTGAATTGAGAAGCGCATATATGGATCTGTCGTGTCTGCCTACTCACCTGTGCCTATGCACAGCCCATCTTAAGAGAAGAACCGTCTGGGTGTTTACCACGCGACCGGCCACGGCAATTATCCCACCGAATCTGCCTCGCCGTGGACCAGGGGATTGCCCTGGCCTGAAAAACGACCACGGGTGACCATGCCTGTGTCTCATCATAGCCGGTTCTCAGGAAAACCGAAACGGCCCCCTGCAGGACTTTCCGGGGGAGGGCGCCAGCCACCATATCTTGGAACATTGAGTAACGCGACGGTACATACCTAGGTACATAGTATCTGTCCATGCCAATCGTCTCGGTATTTGTACCGCCGTTCGCGATAGTCCTCTCGTCTTTCGACAGACCTTCTCAGAGGACGGGTGTAATAATATTTCAAGTCCTGGTTGCTAATTAGCAGCACTGCAGCATCACGCGCACTGTGTGGGCGCCAATTTTACTCCGCAGACGGTCGGCGGCTAATTACAGAATTGAGATGGCGCCCCTGGCTTGAAACCCATGCTAGGGCGCCACGGACACACAGACAGACAGACAAGTGTCAGAAAACTCACACAACATGGGCGAAGACGACCGGAAACGATGAGAAGGTGTCAAGAGGACCAGGTATTTATAGTCAAGGTCCAGGTTTGCAACGGGCTGTAACGGTCTGGCCTAAGCGCGAAGGGACGACGAGGATACACAAGAAATCGACCCACAGTGGCAATTGAAGGCAATAACCACCTTCCCCCGGCTGGGCTTCGAGCCGGAATCTGAGCTTTTTATTACCCCGGTGGTATATGTTATGAGAATCAATCGTTATATTCATGTTCATGGCTCTAACGAAATGGTGAATACCATCTCTTTCCTTCTTCCGGCTCCTCGGTAGGTGAAAAATCGAAAGCCGGGATGTACAAAAAAGGACAAGGCTTCTTCCTCATCCATTATTGTAATTATATACCCACTCGTCCTCGATATCTAGTTGAGTGGCCGAATGTATCACTCCTCATCACTCTCATGAATCCCCCTCGTGACCAGCGACCGATCGAGCCTCAACAGGGCCAAACTCATCAAGACATTCCCCGCACTACCCCCGCCCGTGCGCAGGGCCCAGCGCCACCGCCGTATGAGCGCGTTGATGTCGTCGACCTCGACCGAGTCCTCGCTCGTGATCAACAGCCGGATCATCATCGACGAAATCATGGCGAACCCGGCACGGGACCACGAGTGCCAAAAGGCGTCCCAGACGTTGCGGCGCAGGGACTCGACGAACTCGACGGCTTCAATGCAGCATGTCTTTGCGCCGATACGGACGGCGTCACGACCGGCTTCGGAGGACGACGAGGGACTGGATGATGAGGAGAGGTTGGATTCTATTGGGCGCAGGAGCGCGCGGAAGAGGATGATGTTAGTGACCAGGTAGCTGAGGCCCAGGGATGCGTCGCCGTCGAGACCGGACGAGCGGGAACCCATGGCAGGGCGGGTGTTGAGATATGTGTCGTATGAGGTTTTCCATTCTTTGAGGCGGCGCCGAATAGGCTTGGCTAGGTCGATCGAGAGCTTAAAGTCGCGTTCGGTGCGTTTCGAGGCGGCAATGGTGAAGAAAGCGGTTTGGATGTCGCTGAGAATTGCCGTAAGGCGGGTTAGGTGATAAAAGTGCGATAAGGGAGGTTCGACGGCGGCCTCAACACTGCCGTTGTGTTGCTGTTGTCGAGATGACTCTGTCTCGCCAGCATAGATAAAGTCAGTCGCGGTGAGAGGCTTGACGTCGTAGTTGTCGTCGTGGATGTGACTCGTCAACCCGGCCGACATGAATGCCCATTTATCCATGACGAATATCGCCCACCAAAGACGCCGGCGCAGCCTCTTCTCCCACTCTGGAAGCCCCGTCCAGTCGAGGCAGTCGGTGGACAAGCCAAAAGTCTGCGCCAGAGCCACGGTCCACCCGAGCAAACTCCACCGAAACACCGTGTCCATTACATATCGGTCGTCGTTGACACGCTGCAGAAGCAGGAGGCAGGATTGCAGAGTGGAGAGGTGAGGAGTGTGGACTTCGTGTGTCACAGCGACCCAGGCGATGCGATATAATCTCTGGCTCGACGGAGGTGAGTGGACAATTGTGGTGGCCAGCACGTCGTCGTACGTGAAGAAGGCCAGAGCAGATGCGTAGATGGCCGCTTTGAGAGATAGAGGGAGAGTTTTGAGTCGTGAGGGCAACTCGGCCAAAGGGTACAGAAGACGTGTCTTTGACAAGATTGGGAAATACGGGTAGATGTATCGAAAGAAGAGTTTGACCAGTCGGACACCCGTCTCATCCGATACCATCTGGGAGACTTCTTCGGCCGCTTGGTCAAGGACTTCTTGGTCCAGTCGCGGTTCTCCTCGGTCGTAGAGCGAATGGTCGGCGATTGATAGGATCAAGGGCTTTCCTTGACTGTGCATGACGTCCGGGTCGGATGTACGTAGCATATGTCGGGGTGTCACCTTGGCAATGTCATCCACCGATGAGTCGAGATACTCGGTGGAAAAGTGCCGCAGTAAATAGGGGTCCGACTCGCCAGTATCTCCCAGGAGGAAGGTGGTTTTGGTCGGCCATGCGTCCAATGACTCAGTCAGCGCATCGTGTTCTCGTCCTACCAAGGTCTGTCTTGTCGTCGGCCGACCTGACTCGACCGAAACCTGCGAGGTTACGGAGCCTGCTCCCTGCATGGGCGACATCTGCTGCGAGCTTCCATTAGACTGAGGAGAGAGCACGGCGAGATCCACGTCATTGTTAGCAGATACAGCGGCCTGGGTTCCCTGCGTCCAGTTCGATGATCTGGACACATCAATGTGTGCCGGTCTGGCAGCACCCGTGTCGTGAGTGGTGGCTGAGCCTACAGTGGTTCTCCCGACTTCACTCGTCGACTTTTGCCTCTTGCGTGGCGGTCTCTCGCTGATGATACATTCCCGAGCGTACAGACGGCAGGCGTAGCATGGAGGTCCTTGGTCGAGGCGACAAGCACTCTTGCGTGACCGACAAAAGTCACACGACCGTCGAGTGCGAGGGCGTTGTTGGAGCCTTGCGGGGGCGGCGAGTGGAGCCGGAGGCTCATGAAACTGGGGAGATGCTGATTGAAAGGCGGCGGAGAACATCATGTCCGGTGGGTGCGCTTTTCGAGCACAGCATAGCTACAGCGATGGGACGAAGGAGTCGTACATTGCAGTAGTCCCAGAGCGAGGATGTAGAGATGCGAGCGAGGGTCCGGGCAACACGAGGCAGGGGAGTGATTAGGTAGAGTCGAATGAAGAGTCAAGGTTCGAGAGTTCGAGTTGTGGCCGTGGTTCCTTATCGTGATGAATTGGCTCGAGGTTGCTTCGGCCAATCACATAAGCGAAGAGAGAGACCAGCACGTGTCAGGGTTGCCAAGGAATGTAATGACACTAATGACATGAATGACCCGAATATCACATTTACGGCTAGCTCAATATCAGCTGCAGACACCGTCTCCCTCTTCTCCCTCTTCTCCTTCTGTACCCTCTCTTCGACACTGACCCTCGTTATCCCCCTTGCCCTCTCACTACCTAGGTATGTCTCCCACATCTACAACGGCTTCGCTGGGACAATGACTCCCTCGCAGGTCCCGAAACCGACCCTCCTCATCGCCTGCGTTGGATCGCCCTTGTCACCCGCCCAGCCCGTAAAGATGACCTCGTCTCCGTCTTGAACATACAATCTCTTGTTCCCCCCAGGTGTTTCAATCTCTTTTGTTCCATTCCGTGTACGTTCGACCAGAGAACAAATCGATTCCGCATCCTAGTTCACAAGTCAGGCCGCGTGAACAACATTGAAATTCGAGCGACATTGTCAGAAACTTGCCTCTCCAGTAATTGTACCAGTTCCAATCAAGTCTCCTGTTCTCATTTCGCAGCCCCCAAATGCGTGGTGGGTCAACATCTGTGCAAAGCTCCAGTACGCATTGGTCAAATTGCTTGTGGAGGTGTTGAATACTTCTCCCTCGGAGAAAAGCTTCCACTCCATGTGGATGGAGATGTCAAAGGTCCCGAGCTCCTTCTTGTCGGTCAGATACGGCAAGAGATCTGATGGCTCCTGAGGCTGGGTCTTTGTGCGGAAAGGCTCCAAGGCGTCAATCGACACGACCCAGGGACTGATGGTCGAGGCGAAGGATTTGGCATTGAAGGCAGCAAACGGATGGTCTTCGGGAGCCTGGACATCCCGGGCTGGAGATTGAGATCATCAGCATGACACACGAAAGGCCGATAAGAGACAGGCGCACTTGACCAGTCGTTGAGGAGCACCACCCCGAATATGTGGTTCTCGGCCTCGTCAATCGTTACCCGGTCGAAGCGCTTGATTCCTTCCCCAATGAAGAAAGCAAACTCCATCTCGACGTCCATCTGTTGTGACGGCCCAACGTATGCTTTACCATTCGAGTCGATCAAATGTCCCAGCGGTCGCACGATCGGGGTTCCCGAAGTCACAAGACTTGACACGCGAGCAGTAAACGCACGAGGGGGATTGAACCTGAATCCAAGATGAGGCAGTGTCGTCAAGCCAGGGTTTGTCCACTAACATGTTTACTGGCGTGCTGCTTGTTGAATGGGTATTTTTTGCATGCTTGGACTGTCAGCTTTACTTCCGATTGGCTACAGATTTGCCCCTACAACATCAGGACAGAACATCTTTACTACTCACCGTCCGAGAATTTAGAAAATCGGTGAAATCCCCAATCTTCATGGGCAAATGCATCTCAACCTTGACCGCGGCAGTGTCGACGATGCACTTCTGCCGGAGCTCTCTATTGTCCCTCATGATTGGGGTCATTTCCACGAGGAGATACTTTACGAACATCCGCACCGCGTTGACCGTTTCGCGACCAAGCGCCGCAAAGGAATTCAAGGCGGTCTGGCCAAGTCAGAAAGACGACTCTTGTTTTCCAGTTCGCACAAAATGCAAGGAGAACTTGTGCAAACGTGCTTCATACCTCTTTCAACACCGCATATGGGAATTGACAGGTACAGTACATTGAGAATGCCTCTGTGTCGACCAATGCTGCCAGGTCGACTATAAATCTCCCAATTGCGATGCCAGGCCGCGGCGTCACCTGTCCCCTGTCAGACCACTATACCTCTCACAAAAAGTAAGGCATCATTAGGACATTAGCATTGCTCTCAACCTACATTATCAGCTGTTGAAAAGATCCCAAAAGGCAGATTTTCAATCGAAAAGTCGTGATCCTCAGGTACATCGAGCCACGACTTGAGCACCATGTTGGCCGCTGGCCTCCAATGCTTTGCTTGAATGGTTGTCGTTGTCGGCTCACACTTGATGCCTGGTAAAGAGTCTCTGCTTGAGATGAACGAGTCTACAATGGTTGGGATGGTTCATTGACCGCTAACGCCTTCCCGAATGGTCTCCAAATGGCTGTACCAAGCCCTCCCCACGAGAGTCCTGCTGAAGGTAGCTTTTGGTGGGCCTTTCACCTCTGTTCATGACCCGCGCCTGATAGGAGCACTACTGATCGGAATGAATCCATCATCCGTTGATTGCGCGGAACGGTCAAATCCGATCCCGGAATCTCGGCAGGACTCCAGTCTTACCACTATCAGTATGAGTCTAAGTGGAGTGAGATGCATTGTGATGCCAAATTACGGTCTTTTGATATTTTCTACATGTCTATTCCATTGTCTGGCGCTAATTCATAGGATACTTCGGCCGCCACTCGCTCAGAAACTCGTTTCGCGGGCCGCTCAGGGTACTCTTGGTCCTGCGCTGATACTTTCCATAGCCCAACTTGCCGACGACCTCGCCCTCCTTGAAGACGACTGTGCCTCTGACCAGCGTGTACCTAGGCCAATTCTTAAACTCGATGCCTTCAAAAGGAGTATAGTCAATAGCATGGTGCAACATGTCGTTGGTCAATTTGAACGGCTTGAACTTGTCCTGAGGATACCAGATGGTTAAGTCTGCGTCAAACCCTGGACCAATTGTCCCTTTGTTGGTCAAGCCGTACAGCTTGGCCGGATTCGTTGCCGTGACTTCAACAAACTTCTGGGGCGTGATTCGTCCAGTGAGGACGCCGCCGGACCACAGCAGCGGCACTCGTGTCTCGACCCCTGGCAGCCCGTTAGGGATGTACTGGAACTTGCCCTGTTCGCCCCCGCCGTGGGCCAGACCGCGCAATTTGCCTTGCGGGTGGTCGAACTTGATGGGCGCGTGGTCTGACGACAATGTGGTGAAGGTACCGTTCTTGATCCCCGTCCAGATGGCATCCTGGTCGGCCGGCTCTTCGCGGATTGGCGGCGAGCAGACGCACTTGGCGCCCTCGAAGCCTTCCTTTTTCATACTGTCAGCCAGGAGGAAGAGATACTGTGGACAGGTTTCGCCGTGGACGGGCAGGAGGCGGGTCTGGGCGTCGCGAATGACCCGGGTGGCATGTCCGCCTGAGATGTGGACGAGGAGGATGGGCGTGTCCATGAGCTCGGCCAGGACAATGGCCCGATTCTAACAGACACAAAAGGCGTCAGCCGTCCGTCTAGCACCCTCTTTTTCCTGCATTTCCGCATTCCACATTCCATAGGATTGGTGAGAATGACTTACCGTAGCCTCAGCCTCGACAATCGGCGGCCTCGACGTCCCATGATGATAGGGCGCTGTCATGCCCTGCTCCTCCAAATGCTCCGTCATCCAATCAATGACATCGGCATTCTCAGCATGCACCATGGTTGTAATGCCCAACCGCCGCGCCGCGTGCATGACGTCGAGAATCTCATAGTCCCGCAGCTGAAAGGCCTTGTAGGTCATGTAGATCTTGACGCTGGTGATGCCGTACCGCTCGACCATCATGGGCAGATCGACCTCGAGGATGTGTTTTGTGGGGTTTGACAGAATCATATGGAACCCGTAGTCGCAGTACGACTGGCCATCGGCGAGTTTGGAGTATTCCTCCAGCACCGGCACCAGACTCTCATCGTTGCGCAGCTGGCTCGCAAATGTGATGACGGTCGTGGTGCCCCCCGCCACGGCGCTGCGAGTGCCCGTGTCGTATGTGTCGTTGGTGTAGTTTGCCAGATCGGGGATCTTGCCGTTGGTGATTTGCGTGCGCATCAGACTGTCCACCGACGCCTCGTACAGTTGGCTCAGGTGAACGTGCGTGTCGATGCCGCCCGGCGTGATGTAGGCGCCCTCGGCGTCGAGGATCGAGACTTGGTCGCCATTGCGGACCGGCAGGTTGCGAGCCACGGCGACGATGGTGCCATCCTAATGCGCACAGAGGTGTTAGTCTTGCACATATTAAAGGTATATCCAAAGGGTAGAGGAAAGCCACCAGAGGGAAAAACTGAGTGGTCCGGATTGGGAAGGAAGAGGTGGTTGTAGAATGATTTTCTTCTTTCACTCGAGTTCTTCGCCTTCTTTTTTCTCTCTTCTTCTCTTCCCACTCTTGACCAGCCTGTCTCAGTGTTGTATACTCGCAACCAACGGGGGCAGGCAATCGAAGGAATAGTTTTTCATTTTATTTTCTGCTACCAGTCTGGTTGACCGTTTTACTCACCTTGACTCCAATATCGCAGTTATACCAAATATCCGAGGCTGTCACGACGTTGCCGTTGCGCACAATCAGGTCGAATTCCATATCTTTTTCTCTCGATCTTGCGCACCCCAGAGTACGCTGAGATCTAGCTTTCAACCGCAGAAAAGTCAATATGAAGTAAATGCAAGAATCGTGCAAAGTTTTGTTTACGAAATTCCCAACAACCAGACCCATAGGGCCAAGCTTCCCGATGTTATCCCCCTTCCCTGGAGGTTTGGGACTCTAGCACGAGCTGCCGAATCAATGGACCCCTTTTCCCGTCCCTTGTCTGAAGCTGAAGACGCGCCTAGGCCCGAGACAAACAGTCCGGACTTGTTGAAGACGTATCTATGGGCCTCAAAAGATGATGGGGCTGGAAATCAACAACAAGGGCGCGAGGTGGGTCATGTCTGTCTGTATGAAAAGCGACCCTGTGAGACCTGAGAGATCTACCAACGAGGACTTGACCGGAAAAGCCGAGAACAGTGGACAGGCGAAGCAAGAGGCTCCAACCATAGAGAAGACTCTAGCTTGAAGAGGGCGTGGAGACGACATCTGCCGTAGCCTGGATCGGGGCCTGGACGAGAACTGGGAACGAGACGAGAGAGGCAGATACGAGGCAGCTCGGGACCACCACAGACCGGCGATGTATCTGGTAGTCCATGTCGGTACATCTGTTATCCGGTAAAAAAAAAGGCCACATGAAAAGTCTTGATGATCCAGAGTGTCCGGGTGGGATGGATGGACTTGGTCGATTCAGGGCCGGCTAGAAGGTCGCAGATACCTAGTGGTGGTGATCACCATCGTCTTTCAGCCTTCGTGCCTATCATCATTCGAAGGATGCCTCCGAATCCTCCACCAGCATGAGAGACAGGGATAGGGCGGCAAAGAGAAACCAACGAGCTGAAATCCGGGGAGTCGTTTTTGACAGGGGATAAATGGCGGAGTTGGAGACGGGAAGGCTAGGAGACCGTGGTTGTAGATAGGAGGTTCGGACATGAGCGAAGTGCCGGATAGGAAGTTTCTTTTTGGCAGGCGGGCAAGGATAACGAGGCTAGACTCCTTTTATATCTCCCCTTCCGTCCATATAGCGCCTTTGGCATTGGCATTGAAGCTGGGGTGCCTTTTTAACTAAAACCTTTAACTGATCCTATCTGGGTACCTACCCGAATCTTCTCGTATTAAGTTCTCAACTAGCTTACCCTTTGGATGACCTTATACGAGTATGTAGACTTACCCAATGCCAAGAAGAAAGGCCTCCAATGGATGCAAAAGGAAGATAGAACCTCGATGGACCTTGGTGTACCTACCACCTGGGTGTGTTGGCTGACAAGCACCGTGAAGGAGAGGAGGCAGAGATCTGGAGATCTAGCGTCTACGCGTGGTTAATTCAATGAGGCGCTGCACATGTGGACGGTTGCTTGGTGGAATCTACAGTGTGTAGAAGGTGTATGGCAACTTTTTCTCACCTCCCCTGTCTTCCCCCCCCCCTCCTTTTCCTGCACTGTCACTGTCACTATTAATACTCACTAGTCAACCGAGTTAAGGTGGAGGATATACCAAAAAATGGCCCAGTGCTGGGTTTTGTGCACAGTTTTGAATATCGGACAGTATGTGGTATAATAATGTCAATATCCAAGATTTTGAGCCTTTTGCTGTAGCCTTCTCAAGCCCTTGCTATATAGGGCTTCAGCTTCGATGAAAGTAATAGGGAGGAGAGTCAAGACCAAAAGAATTGATAAATGGGTTTCACTCGTATATGTCATCTCACTTATCACCACTCACTAATCCTATGCTCGGATAAACAGCAATATTGCCTATTCTCGTCAATCTCTTCCCCTCTCTTTCATGTACATCAAATCTACTCGGATGGTATAGTGTAATATAGCAATCATTCCAATTTGGACGCCACGACGGTACTCTGTCCGACGTCCTTCTCCGTCGCCGACTCGACATCCGCGGCCTCCCCATGCACGACCTCGCGCCCGTGAATGATCGCCGAACTGAAGTTGGGGAGATCTGCCGGTTTGAACTCTTCTTGCGCAGTCTCTTCGAACTTGAGCCCCATCTGCTTGATCAGCTTCTGGTTCTTGGTCGGCCAGAAATAGCACAGGGGCACGTAGACGGCGATGGACACGACAAACGACAGACACCAGCCCAGATGGCCGATGTTCATGGCCGTCTCGGAGACATTGGCGCCCAGGGAACCGCAGAATCCGGGAAAGGGGATGACCACGCCGACAATGTACGCGATATACGCCTGAATGTTCCAGCCGCGGTGGTAGTAGTAGTGCGGGTTGGTGCGGTTGCCGTCGTACAGGTGCTGCAGGAAGATGTTGCCCTTGGTCATGATGAAGTAGTCGGCGATCATGATGCCGACGGCCGAGGCCATGAAGATGATGTAGCCACCGAGGAAGTTGAGGAAGACTGGAGAATTGTCAGTATTTTAATTGACGACATTCGTAAAGCGAGATATGACAGCCTCTTTTTTTTCCCTCAAAGAAAGTGGGAAGTTCTTACCTGTTGCCGATCGAAGAATTTGCCATGGATTAACAGCCCAGGCCAGGCACAGCCCCAAGAACTGCCCGCGAGTCATGTTGATGTACCGCGGCAGAAGCAATGTGCTGTCCGCGCCAAAGGGAATCATGTTGGCCGCGATATTCGTGCCCAGGATCAACAAGGCCCAGAAGCTGGCGCACAAAAACACGGCAAACCGGACCGCCGAAGTGTCGTATCGCTGCATAATGGCATCCAACAAATCCCACGGATTCCACAGCTCGAGACCCCACGAGTGGTTGATGGCCGACGTCGCCAGGATGCCCAGCGAGGCCGAGATGGTCACGCTGATCGGGTTGGCGATCAGCTGCGGCCAGACCGAGGCGTACTTGTATTTGGCCCAACGGCTGAAATCGGGTTGGTTCGTGATGATGTTGGCCTCGTAAATGGTCAGTCTACTCTCTGTTTTATCACCAATGGGATAGGAACTTACAGTATTGCCCAGACCGCTGTTGAAGGCGTAAACCACGAACCAGGCGAAGCTGGTCGATGTCGAAGCTGGAGCCCCAGGGATGCCTCCGCCGATGTTACCCTTGGTGTTGGCCATGCAGAAGATGAACAAGCCAAAGCAGGCCGGCACGACCGTGCACATCTTGAGCGTGAAGACCCAGCGCAACTGATAAGGTCGGAGAAGGGTGAATGGGATGTGGATGAGCCAGTAGAGGAAGAAGGCGATGAATTGGGCTGAGGACATGCCCACGGATGCCGGGATGGAGTTGTGTAGGTTGCGGTACGAGTTGCCAAATACTGTGTTCAGTGTTAGCAACGACCTCAATCTAGGGTGGTTCTCCTTGCACGCCAAACAATGACTGACTTACCGGCTGTCAACATGTTCACCACAAAAGAAGATCCAATGTACAGCTTGATAGCGTAGTAGACGATAGCCAACACAGCACGCGCAAAGACGACGTAGTAGGCGCCCCATGTGCCAAACACGGCGCGAGAAATGATGGGATATCCGACATGGTAGACTTCTCCAGACCGCGAGTTGATGGCCATGGCCACAGAACTCACCACCTGGCTGAAGAAGACAATCAGGATGGACTGCCACCAATTCAGGCCGCAGCCGATCATGACCGAGCCCAGCGTCCAGTTGTCCATTGACAGCGAGAAGTAGAAGAAGAAGTAGTTCCACCACGCCCATGTTCGAGCCTCAGGAGGAGTTGGAAGGAGGTCTACCGTCGACAGTTTGTTAGCCGTAGGACAGATAGAGAGAGCAATGGAAGGGGAGCTGTACCATCGTTGATCCAGGAATATGACCCTGTGGGATCCGCATTCGAACCTGGGGTCCGGAGGTATTGCTTGAAGTTCTCCTTGCTCTGAATTCCACGTTTGAAGTTGGCCTTCTTGATGCGGAACGAGGCAAGCAGGTTCTTGGGACGAAAGGCATTGATGCCGGTGATCCGGGGTTTGTCTGGGTTGGAGGCCTCCATACTGCTGGATCTTGCTCCTTGGGAGATGTCCACGAACCAGACTGAAGAAAGAGGATGAGAATGTCGAAAGGACGGATACTCAGAGGATCACGGTGTGAGTGTTGTGTGGGAGTTGTGTCTTTTGATATACTGCATCCGGTACTCGCAACATCGCTCGACTCCAGCTGCTCAACGGCTTCTTCGCCCACAGTGGCAACAAGTCCATTGCAACAACGTGGGAATGCGACTTGAGGATCCAGACTAGTCTGCTAGGTCCACTGCACGGCAATCCTATCAACCTGTGTGGCTGTCACAAGCCTATCATGCGTATCCGGCAATATACGTTTATCCATTTGGAGTGTGACAAGATAAGTACTCGCAGTTGTAAAAGTCCCACTCTGGGCTCGACCTCGTGTCTACCGCCTCTCACAGACACTAATTCCTACAGCCGATCACCGGCACCCTGGTATCGTATCATCTAGTGCGGTCGATCGCCATGTGTCCTTATCAACGGTGGATACCAACCCGCATTGCTTGATTCTATTCCGTCCGGGTGACCGATACGAGCTCCAATCTTCAACGTCGCCCCGATATTCCGGATAGCTTGGTTTTCGCCCAACGGTGGACGATGTTGGGTTCAAAGGAGACTACCTAGGTACAGTTTACTCTATAATTTTACAAACAAAATAACAACAGACAGTCTTAAAAGAGCGTCTATAACTACTAATTGGGCAGGAGAGAGGCAATAAAAGCAGTAATCACAGCACCCAGACCTCTGAATCCAGGGTACACCAATATCTGTTATCACATTTCAAGTTCAACAACCATGCCCTCCGCCATTCTCAAGGAACCCAAGGCCGATGGGCCACGTCGCGTGCCATTGACAACGGAAGATGTCAAGAAGGGATCCTACTCGGCCCCGGCCCTGCAAATGGCCCTTGAAGGACTCCATCAAGATGGCATGGTCGTTCTCAAGGGCGTCGTGGACCCGGAACACTGCGATATCCTGCACAAGCATATGAGCGGTGACAGGGACCGGATTTTGAGAGAAAGGCATGCCGGGGCGAAAGTGTACAATCAGGGAGTGAAATGTGAGTTCAGATTAACCGGCCAGAGAGGATCGTGATATGGATCCGATGGGGAAGATCAGAGATGTTGATGAGTGACTCGAGGGAACAGCAAATATATTACAGGCCCCTCCGTTCACAAAGCCAGAGTTGTTGTTTGAAGACGTCCACTTCAACCCATTTGTGGTCCAGGTGATGAACGCGTGAGCATTCCTCTCCATCTTTTGTATCCCAGAGCCTCTCCCCTTCTTCTACAGCCCCAGAATGCTGAGCTGACATGTGTACAGCTATCTCGGGGCCAACCCTAAATGGATCATGTCCACCGGCAACAACGCCCTCGCCGGCACCGGGGGCCTTCGCCAGCCCGTCCACAAGGACACCCGCTTCCGCCACCCGAAATGCCCGTTCGTCATCGTGTCCAACACGGCTCTCAACGACTTCACGCTCGAAAACGGCGCGACCGAGTTCTGGCTCGGCTCGCACGCCTTCACGGACGAGCGCGACCAGACAATCGCCACCCCGGAGACGGTCTTTGGGAAACAAAAGGTGGGCACGCCGTCGTGTCCGGTGCTCGAAGAGGCCGTCGAGGCACGGAGAGCCGTGAGACCACCTGTGCGCGCGACCATGAAGAAAGGGGATGTCATGTTGAGAGATTTCCGGACGTGGCATGCCGGGATGCCGAACGCGACTGAACAGGATAGGATCATGGTGGCTCAGATCTGGATGGTAAGTGCATTGCTCTCCAAAAAGCCACAAACCTGAGCCTGAAGCTTTGATGATGGCCTTTTGGTTCCTTTCTTCCGTTACCCTGCAATTGTGTTACTGTCTGAGCTGCTCCCTGACACTATGTTCGCCCACAGGCACCGTGGTACCCCAACTTCGTCACTCGCCTCAACCTCCCTCTCTCACAGGCCGAGTGGTTTCAGAGCCGAGCCAACAAAATGCCCATGGAGATCATGGCCAACTATATCGCCGACGACGCCGTCGAGTTCGACCAGCACCGCGACAACTTTTCCATGGAGCCGAGTCATTACGTCGACTACTACGATACCGCACCGCAGAATTATAGATATGATTGAACGGAGAGATTCGAGATAGGACGGAATGTAGGATAAATATAAAAAAATCATATATAATATCCTCTTGCTGGAGCAGCAGGTAGAAATCTCAAGACAGATCTAAGGTCGCTTGTGCCCGGGGCATCAAGAAGCCTAATTGGGCCTAGCGATGCCCAGTCGGCATTACGCAGTAGCTTCTCGGTGGCTCCCGGCGCGCATGAAGTGAGCCAAACCCACTGCCGCAGGCTTAATTTTCCCAAATGGACACATTTACTCGAGATCTGGGGAAACAAATACATACCAGCGGTATCAGGACTTTTGGTTGCTGTCTTGACCCCATCGCTAGCAGGCGACGAGCCCATAACGTCAACTCGTTTACACCACCGTCATCTTCATGTCTCTAACCACGGCACTCCGACCTGTCGCACTCCCATTTGGCGCGGGCCAAAGACGGGATCACTCGTCAACAGACAATGCCCAGAGCCGACCCTTCCATCATGAAGTCAGCTACCTCAACCTCCATCGCACCCTTACACGATACCAACAACTGATCCTCCTCACTCCTTCTCCTTCTTCTTCGTCCGATGTCCACAATCCCTCTGAGTTGACCGCGCTGCAAAAGCAGGTCCAGGCCGAACTGTGGTCTCCCTTACCATACCACCGCACAAAATGGCTACACAACGTCGAGGGCGCTCGCACGCTCCTTTTACAACTAGAGCGAAAGGCGCAGGCCATTCGTGTGCAACGTGCGAAATATGAGGCTATCAAAGATTTGGCCGAGAAGAGAACGGTCATCAAGAGGCTGAGGGATCGGATAGAGGAGATTGGGAGGGAGGTTGAAATGATGGGCCTGGAGGAGTGGAAGCCGCCCGTTGTCGAAGACGGAGGAGAGACCCTTTACGACTTTCTGCAGATGCAGACGCAGACGCAGGCGCAGTCCGCAGTGACCGAGGGTCCAGCAGCGAAAGAGGGAGCGCAGGAGGCTCCGCTGACAGAGGGAAAACCCATCAAAAGCATAGAAGAGGAGCAGCCCGCGGAAGCTATACAAAAAGACAAAGATACGAGAGAAGAACTATTTGGATCTTCAAGCCTGCGGCAACGAGGCAAAGTACATGGCGAAACGAAGAAATCCGAGGGGCAGGCGAGCGGTGTGTCAACTCTCGCTGGGACGGAGCGATCGCTCTTGGATTCATCGCGCGTGCATGAAGACATTACGGCATCTCTGGTGAAAATGGCAGCCCAGCTCAAACAGGAGCAGAGGAAGCTTCAGTTCTCTCTGGAACAAGACAAGGGCATACTAGGGCGCGCGATCGAAGGACTAGATGTCAGCCTGAGTGGGATGGAGGCCGCGAGCAAGAACATGGCATTCCTGAAGCGCATGAGCGAGGAAGAAGGGTGGTTTGGACGACTGAAGCTGTACGGCATGATCTTTGCGATGTGGGTGGTGGCGTTTCTGCTGGTGTTTGTGTGTCCCAAGTTGAGATTTGGATGAGGCATAGGAGCAATCGCCCACCGCTGCTACAGAATGACGACAACCTGTGGGTGACCTGGAAGAAGCCGGTTCTGAGATTTCTTGCCAGGCCAGCAGCAGCAAGTGCCTGACGATCTCGACCGGGAGATACCAATCGAGCCGACATTCCTTGCCACGGGGGAATCTTCGTGAAGCTTGGACTGCAATCGGGGGAATCAAACGTTGAGATCGGGGAGAGGTGGTATCTGGCTCGCTGGGTGGTATCTGGGTGGGATGCACCATTCCAGAGTCGTCATGGGTGGCTGTGCGTCAGTGCCCAGCTCGCCAGGTGAGATGGGATTGCGCGTTTGTGGTGATGCAGATTCTGTGCGATTCCCTCGAAAAGTGCCCGATCGCCCATCTGCCACTGCTGCCACTGCTGCCTCGGTGCACCAGGCGTTTAGGCGCCAGGTGGGCTCCGTGGGCTCCATGGGCTCCAACCAACCTGGAATGCTTTGGTGGCCCCCCCGATGACGTCGATGGCGGGCCACAAAGCCACTGGGCGAAAAGCAGGTGAAGCACATGCCACTTGCCCTCCACCAAGCTGCACCCTTGGGTGAGTGTCGCGCCTGCTCATGCCAGGTTCACCATCGCGACAAACAAACTTCACATCCCGAGCCTTTGTCTATAAATTGTGCCCAAATCCTGGTTCATTCTTCTTTCCCATCTCTCCACCTCTCCATCTCGGATCAAACCAATACCCAAAAGCAAAAATCTATCGATAAAATCATCCCAACACCAAAACAAAACACACACTTCCAACATGTCTTCCAACGACAACACTTCTTCCCTCAAGTCGGTTGTTGACACCGCCACTGGCTACGTCCAGTCTGGTATTGCTGCCGTGACTGGTAGCGCCGGCGACCAGGTGAGTTTGTAGTCCCCCTCCACTCAAAGCAAGTATCTAGGTAGCCTCTACTAACACCCCTTCTCAGGCTAAAGCCGACGAATACAAGAACAAGGGCCAAGCCGAGTCTGACCTCTCTCACACCGCTGCCAAGGCAGGCCCCTTCACCATCAGCTCCTCTGGCGCCCCTGCCAAAGACAGCTCCGACCGCACTCAAGGCCAATGGGACCAAACCGTTGGCAGCGCCAAAGAAACCATCGGCAATCTTGTGGGGAGCGAGGAGTGGAAGCAAGCAGGCCGCGAGCAGAATATGCAGGGCCAAGGACAAGAGGCTAAGGGCCAACTGAGCGACCTCGGCAAGGGCATCAGCGACCGCACTCAAGGCGCCGTCGGCAGTGCCGTGGCCTCTTTGACTGGTGACCGCACCGAACAACAAAAGTACAACGACATCCATGACGAAGGAAAGACCAGACAGCGTGGGGTTGAGTTGGACCTCGACAAGCAGGCTGCCGCTCAGAAGTAGGCGGGCCAAGATGCTACACCTTATGACTGATGGGGTGGTGAATCCTGTACCAGAAGGACAACACATGAGCGTTTCCGGATGATGTTGTACGATTAGTCCTAGCTTTATGATACCCCCAAATCCAGATTCCATCAATACCTAGGTAGTCATTCTCTTCTTCAAATTTGCGCCCATATGGAAGCATATTCTTTTCTACGACCTCCCCGCATTATGTAATATCTTATGTAATATCTTGGTAGACGGCTTGGCCAATAGAAGACGCCGCAGGCTCCAACACCAGAATCGCATCCGCTATCCAAATCAACTAGAAGCATTTTCTTGAGTGATTTGTTACCGTCAATGGCTGGCGTGCCCCAGAAGACACTGAACTGGCTTTACGATGTGTTAAAACGTGTACAATATCTTTGGGTCCGTCGCCCGAGTGACCTTGGCTGACAGCTTGCAGGAATACCGCGACCCGAATCGCACCTATTCGGACCTTGCCCACGTCCTCACCCACAATCCGAGCTTTGCTCCTCGGACAGATGTCTACAGTGCGTCAGACATACCGAAGATCTGAGAAGGAAGAGACTGACAAGCAACGCTCAGCTTTCGAGAATGGAGCACCTGCGCTCCTCCTGCAATTCAAGGGCACCATCCCCGTCCACTTTCGAGGAAATACGTACCGGTTTCCCATAGTGTTATGGATTCCTCATGCCTACCCTTACGAGGCACCCATGTGCTATGTTACCCCGACGGAAGAGATGATGATTAGACCGGGTCAACATGTCGGTGGAGATGGGAGGATATATCATCCGTACTTGGCGCGTTGGAGAGAACATTGGGAGGTAGGCTCAGATCTTAAATCACAGAAGAGTAGGGTTGCTGGAACAGCTCAGACTGACGGACTATGACCCAGAGATCGAATATCTTGGACTTTATGTCCATCCTGTCCGATATTTTCGCCAAAGAGCCGCCTGTCATGTCCAGGTCATCGCTTCAACAACAGGGACCGACACAGCCAAACCCTCCACCAGTACCGCCTTTACCAAGGGAGATGCAACCACCGCCGTCTTCCAACGTATCGGTATCAAGCCCTCCTCCCCCTGTGCAGTATCCAGGCGCGCCCGCACCACCACCTCCTCCGCCGAAACAGCTTGCTCAATCAGGCGTGCCAACTCCTGCCCCAGCAATTCCAGGCCTTCCTGCGGCTTCTGCGCGACCAGGCCGTTATGATGCTCCGCCTCCTCTGCCGCCTCAAGCACAAGTCCCAGGCCAACGATCTCAGCAACCGCACGGGAATGGGAATATCCAGCGACCCTCTAGCGGTACGAATTTTGTCCCTCAACGCTCCAGTAGCCTCCGACAGTCCATGTCTCCTCAACCACCCTACCAGCAGCAGCAACATCCGCAAACTACGTACGAACCACTCCCGTCTTCGTACCCACCTCAACCACCTCCTCCGGGTCAACCGCAGCAATATCCTTCCGCTCAGCCCCATCCCTCCATGGCTTCTCCCCCAGGCCAACGTCCAGGGCAAGTCTCCGACCATGCCAGACCACCGCCCCCAGATCAATATGGCCAGATGCCAGCAGCAGCAGCACCACCCCCCCATGGTCAGCCTCCCGGGCGACCTGTGCCGCAACAGTATTCAGCCAACTATGCTCAGCAACTTCTGCAACAGGCCTACGCACCACCTCAGCAGCAATATCAGCCACCGCCTCAAGCTTCCGCCCCAAAACCTGCGCCAACACCCAATCTTCTCGACTCCCCCTTTGATATTCCCCTGCCTGCTCCTAACCCTCGGTTATCCCACAATATTCCCGCGCCTCCTATACCGGTCAACCCGGAAAAGGAAGCCCTCCTAAGCCATCTTTCCCATCTGCTCACGACATCCCTGCACCAACAAATCTCCCAGAACAACTCAGCTTTGGCCCCGTTGGCTTCGCAATATGCTGCAATGCAATCAACTGCGAGCACATTGAACAGCGAATTGAGTAACCTGAAAGCGTTGCATGCGACAGTGTCTAACAATATCTCGCTCCTCCAATCTTCATTGACCAAGGCCGACCAAGCGATATCGTCAGCGCACGCCCGCGCCGCCAAAAACGACATTCCGCACGTCGACGAAATGCTGACCGCTCCAACCGTCGTGGCCCGCCAATTGTACGATGCTGCGTGCGAGGAGCGGGGCATTGAGGCCGCAATACTGGCCCTTCAGGAAGGGTTCGTGAGGGGTCGTGTGGGAAGTGAGATCTGGGCCAGAAGGACCAGAGAATTGGCTAGGGAAGGCTTCAAACGGCGGTGGATGGTGAACAAGGTGGGAGAGGGGATGGGGCTAGACCTAGAGGCCGGTGCATATGGGCGGTAGTTAGGGGGTAGATTGACACTGCGGTGGGCGGTGGTAGGGCGACAAGCGAAAAGCCAACTGGCTCAGGTGAGCGGTGCCAAAACATGGTAATCCCCATGTTAGAGCATGTGAGGCTCAGTTCACAGAATTACGGGGGAGGTTGATACGCTCCGAATCTGTGCTTTCACGGGCATTGCCAGCCAATCTTACATGGCACACACATTTGTGCGGCAATCTACATACATGCACAGCGACTATCCTGTCTGAAGGCCAGGATAACTTTTCTAGGTTGTTGAAGCAGCCAGCTCTCGTCTCCAGCTCTTGTCCTGTGGCGGCCTTCCAGGCTTGTTCTCTTACCCTTGGTGGAGTGTGGCTGTTGCCAACGAGCCAGCGCACATACAAACAGTGTCGGCAGCCCAAAAAGAACGGTCTTGAATACCAAGGTACCTACCCGCCTAGTATATCTAGGAGATGGACAGAGCCAAGGCGCACGGCTGGTATAGGCTAGCCTGGGTAAGCAGGAGGCTGTTAGTACGAGGTAAGGCCCCCCAGGTGCTTACAGCCTTGTCCAACGTCAATCAACATCACTCCAGCTTCCAAGGTTTCTCTTTCTTTCACTGTTCTCAAGCTACTGTGAGCGACTCGACAATGGCTGAGACATCGCTGCTCAGCGATCTCTCACAGCGTCTGTCGTTGGCCTACTCCGGTCTGCCAATAGTATACAAGCTGTTGGCTGTCGTGGTGATCGCCGGCCTGATCCACAGAGCAATATTCAAGAAACAGAAGCACAGCCTGTTCCCGGGTTGGGCGGCCATTGAGATCGCTCTTGTTAGTTATTTCCTCAGCCAGGGTGGCCTGGGTCAACGCATCTAGTGGGTGTAATTATGCTGCCGCAGCCAACATTGAGACTGACATCGACTCTAGTTCGGGAATACGACGGCGCAATGGTTCCCTCTTCGGCCTCACAGCAACGCACCAGGTCCTTGCCAACCTTCCCAACGTTGACCGCATCATGTCGCAGCCGCATCACACTCTCAGCGCCGAACCGGTCCAGTACACCCTGGTGACCCGTGTCTTCGGAGCAGGCGACTCGCCCGAGCTGAAGAAGAAACTCGAAGACTCTTGGAAAGACCTTCTCGCTCCTGTCGAGCGAATGTTTCTCAATGACAGCGCCGCGACATCCGCCCTTGAAAAGAGCGGCATTCCCCAGAAAGCATCCTCGTTCGTCAGCTTCTCGTCCAATCCAGCACAAATGAAGCGCTGGGAATTATCCGCTAATGTTCGCCTCATCACCCCCGACTTGCCTGGTCAGCCAGGGGCGGTCGAGGCTGATCTTCAGAGTCTGTCGCGAGATTTCGGGGCCTGCATTGCCATTCCGCTCCTTTACGGACAGGACTTTTTAGATCGCTGCTCCGGGCTGTTGGACGACTTCTGGAAATTCGACAATGACCTGTTTCCCCTACTAATGATTGGCGTTCCATCCTGGACACCCTTCAAAGTCATCAAGGATGGCGTGGCTGCGCGGTCGCGGCTGCTTCAAGAGATGGAGGCCTTGTATCGACGCATTGACCAGTTTCAACGAGGCCAAGCCGTTGACTTTGGCGCGGACATGTCGGATACCAGTGAGGTTGCCCTGGGGCGGAATGCCGTCTACAGCCGACAGAATTGGTCGTTTCGAGACCGCGCAGGAGGCGATCTGGGGGTCCTCTGGGGTCAAAACGCCAACACCCAGCCCGTGCTTTTCTGGCTTTTGGTGTACGTCTACTCCACTTCTGGCGTTCTCGACAGGGTCCGGGAGGAAATAGCACCGTATGTCAAGATCTCTTCTAGGAAGGATCCGGATACGGATAACCATACGCCGGAGATTACGACGATCGACATCCAAGGCCTGGGCAGAGACTGCGCACTCTTGAAAGCGTGCATTTTCGAAACCTACCGCCTGACCAACGAACCAACGTCGATCCGATACGTCGCACGACCCATCACCATCCACGACGGGACGTACCAGCACGAACTGCAGCCCGGAACGTTCGTCTCGGCACCGCACTCGCTCACCCAGCGAGATCCATCCGTGTACGCGGACCCAAACGACTTCATCCCCGACCGCTTTCTTCAAGTAGTCGACCCAGAATCCGGAAAGTTGCGCGCGGCGTATGGAAAGGCGCTGAGGCCCTGGGGTTCCGGGGCTGCCATGTGCAAGGGCCGGACGTTTGCCGAGAAGGAACTTGTGGTTTTGGGCGCGGCCATCATTGGTCTCTGGGATATCAAGCCAGCGGCCGGTGGGTGTGAGAGGTGGGAGGTACCGGCTATGATTCCTGGGACTGGGGTGAAGAAACCTGTCAGAGATATCAGAGTGAGGATTTCTCGGCGAGGGTTCTGAATTTCTTTGTTATCCTATCGACCTTCATGATAATGGACAGGTTTGACAGGTTTGAAATCAACACCTTCAATGTCCAGCTCTGACTTGAATTGCATTGCATTGCTTCGCTTCGCTTCTAGCTCAAGTCGCCATTGCCAATGTCCATAGTTTGTTCCTCGGGATGATATCCTGTATCCTCTGTCATGTATGCAATGCCGTTCCCCATCGCCAGTGCCAGTGCCAGTGCCAGTACCAGCGTGGACACCATAATGTAACACCCTAGCCCATCCGCACCCCTTGCATACCATTGTCATTGTCATTGTCATTGTAAATTTCCCGATTCTGATCCAGCACCAATGCATACTCCATACTTTGAAGAAAAAACCCTGTGAACCCCAACGCACAGCTTGGAACCCTTAATCTCTCGCCTTTGGCAATCGAGGATTGTCGACCTGGTGGAAAAGCTCCCGATAATCTGTCTGCCTGTCTGTGTCCTCGCATGTGCTTTGTTCCGCCTTGAGTGCGTGCCTGATAGCGCTGCGTTGCACTGCGCCACCTTATCCGTGGAATGTGGGTGTGGAATGTGGAATGTGGAATGTGAAAGCCATGATATCACACCGTTGGAGCTTGGAGCTTGGACCTTGGCTCCGCAGCCTTGAAACATTGAATGCCCTGGTTCTCATTTCCTCTTCTGTGCGTGAAAGTCGTGGTTTCACTGTCACTGTCGAGGAGGGGCATGTGCTTGATCCATACTCATATTCATGGTCACGTTCGTCTTCTGTCATGACCACAGACAAGTTTCTCGCCGCTCAGTCTCGATTTCCGTTTCGGTTCCGGTTTCTGTTCGCACCCAAACAGCCCTTGTTTTGAAAATCATGTCACGTCATGTCACGCCATGCAGTGCCAGAGAATCATGACTTGACATGAACACGGCCCGACACGGAGCTGACACAATGCAGAAACAATGCGGATGCGGACGCACACGCAGACACATCTCAGCCACCTCAAACACTCTCGTACCAGTGCCAGCGCTTGCTTCACGCTTTTTGCTTGCTTGCTTGCTTGCCTTAGAAGCCGAAATCAATTGGATCGAAGCTCTTGTCCTCTGCAAATCCGTTTGTCCAGTCACACAAAAAGTCCTGATTAGCACTTGCAGCGGTGGTGGACATAGCTGCTCCTGTCTCAAAGGATGCATCAGAAGCCATAGCGACAACGCTTGATGCAGCATTTTCTGGTACAAGTGCATCTGTCGCGGTGTAATTGTTGTGGTTATTGGCGGCCAGGTATGAAGTGTCAAATCCGTCTGTTTGGGTTGTGTGGTTGCTGGTGCTGACTGCTGTGCTCCAGATCCCCAGTCCAGCGCCAGCGACATCCTCTTTCCCGCCTTGAGGCATGTACTTGTCAATTGTCGCAGGCATGAGCATGTCTAGACCCATCATCTGACTGAACGTCCCCTCGCCCGCACCAGGGGTGAGCAGGCCAATATCGCCAAAGAGAGCCCCGAATGAACCATCTGCCGTGTTGTCATCCCAATTCATGTTTGGATCATAATCCACCACCTCTGCACCAAGAGATTGAAGCTGGTTCGCTGTGCGACGGTTGGTTTCCTCAAGAGTCTCGGTCATGGTATTCGGACAAGAGCCGCTAGAGATGGGTTGTTCTGGCGTTGGCAGATGCAATTGTCGCAGCACCGCCGGTGTCTCGTTTGGCGGCGTCTGGTTTGGGGTTTGCGAGAAAGACTGGTTTCGGTTCTGCATCGGCTTGTTGTTGGGAGTCTGGAAAGATCGGCCAATGGGCGTCTGCAAGGACTGGCCATTGGGTGTCTGAACATTTCTGCGCGGAGTGCCAGAGTAAGGAGAGCCGGAAACAGCCTTCTGGCCTGCTCCTGCTCTCGAAAGGGTTGAGTGGTGCCGAGATGTAGGAGTTGGAGTCCCTGGTGCTTTAGCCCCGGCAACGCTCAGGCTGGACCCCAATCCCTGTGCTTGTTCGTTGACTGGGCAATGCGGGATTTCTCGTCGGCCTTGTAGCGGCTGCTGCATTTGTTGCCAGTTCGATGCACGAGAGTTCGATGACCCTTGGGGGGAGTGGAACTGTCCTTGGGCCTGAGCACGTCCGTGCATCTGATGCTGTGGCTGATCTCGACCTTGGGTTTGACCACGAGCCTGCTGAACCTTCCGAGGGGATGGAAGCTGTGGCCGATGTTGCCCTTCAAATTGACCACCAGTCCGCTGAACCTTCCTGGGAGATTGAAGCTCTGGCTGATATTGACCTTGAAATTTACCACAGGTCTGCTGAGCCTTCTGAGGAGACTGAAGTTGGGTTTGTGGACCTTGCGACAGGTATTGGGCCTGGTTGTACGGAACAAACATACCAAGGTATTGCAGTCCATTCTGTCCGATGTCGAGGCCTGCCAGCGCACAAGGATCCTGGATGTTGTTGGTTTCATTTCCACCCTCACTTATGTTCCCTGCCTTGCGCTTCTGCCCAACGATAACAACATCATCGTCCTCTTCCTCTTCCTCGATCGAACCCATCGTACCAGTCGGCAAAGGAATAGGGAATTCATACCCAGTGTTGCGGGCCATGGTTGATGGTGGTGGCTCCGGGTCGGTACGATCACGTTCAAGCCATTTGAAGTCCTGTACCACATGATCGCTGAAATGATGGGCCAAAGACATACCCACTGATTCGGCCGCTTGCGAAGCCTGTTGGAAGTAGGTCTGATGACGCATCTGCTCCTCCCACGCAGCATTTGCAAGAACGGCTTGCGCACCGAAGGCGTCTTTGCGGGCACGCTTTGCAGGTGATGGCTCTCCAGACGGCAGATCGGCCCCGAAGAAACTCCCGCTTCCACCATTGCTAAACATTCCATTCGCGAAACCTGGCGCATTTGGTGGTGACTTGTGATTCGAAGACACAGTGCGGTTTCTCTGATAGCGCATGTCCTGCATCTGGCTGTTTAGGGCAGACGTATAGCCTGGAAGGGCAGTCATGCCAGGAGATGTGTTGTCCATTGAAAGGGATCGCTTAGCCGCTGGTCTTGGCGGATATAGACAATCCATCGGGACATAGTCGCTTGGAACTTGTCTTGCTGGTGAGGAAGCCGGAAGACCAGGCATTTTGAAGGGACTCCCAAGTTTCTGTTTTCCAGGTGTATTCTGGCCAACAGGTGGAGACGGAGAGAATGTCTTTGCGCTTGCTGGACCAGGGTCACCAGTGCGTTTCTTCGCACTAGGTGATTTCTTTTTACGAGCAGGGCTTGCAGGATGGTAGCCGGCAAATTGTGATGTCCTTGGTATCTCAATTGGAGAGTTGGACATTTTCTCAAGCAGCGAGCGCGAAGCAGAGCCAGGCGTAGCAGGTGAGGCAGACGGTCCGGCAGAGACATTCCTCGTCGGGGTGCTGGCAATGACCGCAGCAGGTGATGTGGATGGTGCGGCAGAAACATTTTTCGCTGGGGTGTTGGCGATGTCTGTAGCAGCGGCACCAGGAGCGCAGGCTTGACTGGTCTCAACATTGGCAGTTGACTCGTTGACAGAATTCACAGTCGTCATGTCCGACCAATCCTGGTCGGTACCTTGAGTAGGGCTTGGACCTCTTTCGATGGACGCTTGCAACATCCTTGCAAACTGCTCATCGCTCAAGTTCTCAAAAGCGTTGCCTGGGTTTGTGTCTGGAACCGCGGAGCCAAAGTCATTTCCCACTGCGCCGTTGGTAACACTATTCACGCCTTCAGTGTCAAGTTCTGAGGCAGGTTGGTACAGCTGTGACAGGTCACCGGATACAAACGGGTCGACCATGTCAGCAGGAAGATATGGGCTGGGGTTGTTTGAAGCATATCCAGCTGACCCTGGAGCTGCGAGGCTTGTTTGATATGTATACAGGTTTGGTCTCAGGCTTGTGTTCGAAGAAGTAGCTGGTGGAGGGTCGAAGTTGAACTCATTGAGGCTGTCGAGTTGCTTCTGTTTCATCTTCGAAAGTGCCATGTCGTAATGACGGAGGGTGTGACTGTGTGTAGACTGACCATACGCAGAGAGAGATGACAGTACAGGATAATGATACAGAGGGAATCGTGGGATAGGGGATGAAGTTAGAAGATGAGAAGGTTGAGATCGAGGTTGGGAACAGAAGAAGTTGGTGAGGATAGAGAAATTTGAAAACAGAATTGGACAAAATCTTCTCACCCAGTACCAGCCACACTGTCGGTGAGGTGTGGCAGAATCACCAGATCGCATCTGCTGCAAGAACAATAGAAAAAATCTGCTATTGAGCCATTCTGCCAGACCTATCCGCGGCGCCCAGCCCTCTTCAAACGGCAACGACAGTGACGGCAGTGAAGTGAGAGGTGACCAACCTCCTCTCACGGGCTGTCATTTCGTCGGCGAAGATTTTGAAGAACAATGAATGTCCAATTCAGTCATGCACAGTGAGCCAGGCGTCGCATGTCTGTCGCTTCGGGCAGGGCAAATAACATGTCGACCTGTCCTGGAATCCACTCAGTGTCAAGCCAACACACCTTGCAAAACATCTGCAACTTGTCTTCTGTCCCGGCTTGCAAGATTGGAGCTTGCGAGCACCGCGATTCCACCAGACGAGTCAATGAGACCTAAATCGTGAACGACGTCCGGGACCCAACCTACTGAAATCTCCAAATTGCTGAACTGTCTCCCCCTGAGAAAACAACAAGGTATAGTTTGTATATTATCCTCTTGCGAGCTCACATCTTCCCCACAACGCAGACAGAAATGGACCTTTCATCGTCGTATGGGAGAGTACATTACCAATAACGTGTTCCTCAGATGGGGGAGTAATAGAGCTACTCGACTGTCCATCACGATGGCTCGACATAAAATCACATCACTTGACTCTTGCATTGAACATGCAGCAGCTCTGGAAGATGCGCGTCTGGCACGTCCCATCAAGTTCGCATTCGTCGAAGGGGAATGACATTGAAATTGAGCCCGAGATGAAGATGGACGTTGAAGTCAATCCGGCAAATCGTCGGACCAAAATCTGCATCACGTGTTCAAGATCACGTGGGTACAACCCCTTTTTCTGTGCCCTTCATTCAGAAACTCGGACAGTATGATACATGCCCCTTGATCTGTGTCAACAAAATGCCTATGTCCGGTCCCGCATCTGTAATGCGCGTCAGGTGCCCGACCCTGAAAAACGAACGCCTAGAATCCTTGCGGGAGCCGCATTTCAATAGGCGCAAAGACCACCGCCTGCGTCCTCCAGATCCCAAGCACCAGCCATCCCCACAATCTGCGGTTCATCTGCATCCAGATTCTCGGCGCGAGTGATTCTATCCTCAGAGGCAATCTCGGCGTCGGCTTCCGTGCGACGACCTCCCATGAGAAGTTTGCGGGCCCAGGCATCGATTGCTGGCTCGCCAGTCTCGTCCCTCGCTTGCTTCAGGAATGGGATCAATGCAGTACCACCAGTCCCACGCATCTTCTTCTTTTTCTGCGCAGTACCCGCTTCATCGGGTCGGCCATAGCGGATCGAAGCAATTCCGGAGCCACCCCGATTGACTGGCTCAGGACTGCTCTCTCTGCGTGTCCTCGACATGCTTCTCGATTCCCGGCTCTTGACGATGATGTACCTCGAGACCATCTGGATATGCTTGTCTCGAAGAGCTCGAAGCATGGCGAGACATGCGTCATATGATACCGTCAACTGTTGATTTGATCTGTTGTATTCGACAAAATCTCGAATATTGGCCGCGCCTTCCACTGCTTGCAAGAACTTTCGATGAGGGCCAGGCATGTACTGTCTCATCTCGTGAATGAAGTTGTGTCGGGGCTTTGGGGCGGCTCCAGGCTCGGCCTCCGATTCCGAGGTCTCATCCTTTTTGGACCCAGTAGGCCTGTGCTCGACCCCGAGCACAATGTCGAAAAATTGGATCATGCTGCTCTGCGCGTTGGAACCACCGCCATAGTGCCGCCACCTTGACTGCTTGCTGCCATCGTCGTAAAAGACGCCGTGCGGGAGACCGGCGTCTTTCATGTTTTTGCTTCCTGCCAGAAAAGGTCTTATGCGGTTATAGAAAACGTGGGGATCGCAACTGTCATACATCCTCACCAGCAGCGTCCCCAGTTCGTCCAGCATTTGAGCAACTGATTGGAGACACTTTGTAACTGTTGCCACATCATTGTCTCGGGCAGCTTGCATCGCCTTCAGCATCAAGGGTATAGAAGGACCTGCTTTTGCCTCCATGGCCACACTGACCAGATAGAACCATTGTTCGTCCAGCGAACCTGTGAAGGTGATCAAAGTGGAAAGATTTTCTAACACGAGATTGTCGGAAAGGAAGAGCGGTTTCCAGTTCCACAAGACCAGCCCGGCGTAGGTGGCAACTGGAGGAAGGTCTAGGTATTCGCAGACTTGAAGGAGAGGGTAGGTGATGGACGGCGGCAATCGCTGTTGATTCTAGTTAGCATAACTCTCAGTTTGCGGCGCTGGATACGAACTCACCTCTGAAGGTTTGTCCCCGCCCCAAATGTAGCCATGCGCCAAAAATGTCAAAACACTATATGCTCTGCGCCACTCGGCCTCGGTTTCCAGATGGACTGCGGGGATGACGGGCAATTTATCGATGACAGCTCTTAATCTTTTTGACAGCAACAACGACTGGAAGTTGTTTATGATCCGCTCCCAGCGGTCGTAGACAGGATGCGGCAGGCAATGCAGCGGCAGCTCTGAAGGGAGGAAGCCTCTTTCTGGGGAGATACCATAGTCTTCGACCCTGGGGATCGGTGGAAGCATGGTGCTCTAGAGGACGCTTGGGCGTCTCTGGAGAATAAACGGCTCGCGGGGCGCAAGGGTATTGGATCTGCTTCTCGGCGAGTCGATGCCTGACAAGTTAGGCTTGTTTATTCGTGAGGGTTCGGAACAGCGAATCGTCGTAGTAGAGAGAGTGAATTTGCCGCGAGGAGCGCGCAGGCTGTTGGGGGATTAATAGCACACGAGACCAAAATGGGTATTGGTCAGCAGTGAAATGGAGGGTCACGAGGTGAAGTAAAAGATACAAGAAAGATGCGCATAAAAGAAAATAGTAATCTACTAGGTAGGCAAGCAACTGGGAGAATGGAAATATCGGCGGAGAGGACATGCCCATGCCCAGCCTTTCGGGTAGAATGCGGGAGTCATCGGGCCATGATGAGCGCCCTCAACAACAATCAGGGAACGTGTTTGCTAGACGACTTGCCATGGGGTTCTGGAGGAAAGAATGATCTCATGAATGATGAAAGGACCATCCAAATGCTTTTCCCTTTACTCAGCAATAGATCTCAGTGTCGGTGTAATCTCGAGGGGAGGCGAATGTGGGCAGCAGTCATGAGGGAAAAATTATAAACAAGTGACGAAGGATTGTGGGTGATTGGGGGCTCGGAGCTCGGAGCTCGGAAGTGGGACCAAGGAATTTTCTTTTTCCGGTTGGCTCGTTGCTACTAGCACTACTCGGTACATACCTAGGCACCTAAGTACATACCTAGTGGGCGCCTAGTACCTAACGAGCTAGGCACCTTCCTAGGTACCGAGTAGTGGTCTGGGCGACTGCTGTTAGTGACGCTAGTGGATGCTCATATGCAGTTAGTAGCCTCGTCAATACCAAAATCTATCTCCCCACTGCTTATGCTATAGGTACGGTACGAGGCATAATCTCTCTACCGAGGCTCACTATTTTCTCGTGCATCAACAACGTTAACCCCGCAGAGTAATTCCCCTCCTTGAACATCTGCAGAGTGGTGTAACCACTTTATGCACACCTGTTCGGCACAGTACGGAAACACCTTTCGGGATAATGCAATTCGCATATTCAGTATCTGCATGCATCGACATATTGGTGACTTGTTCTATGAAGCACGACTACTCGTAATAGTTCTGCACCTTGAGGCCCTGATATTCAAATGCGGTGCCCTCCCGTTTGTCGATGACGGTTTTATGGTGGACATCCTTGACCCGCGCTCGGACATACTCGGTCCCCGTTGGAACAGGCTTGTCGGAATTCTTATCCTCCTCTGAAAGAAGGCCGAGGCGGTCCAAAAGAGGAGATGGTACCGTCCTCATTAATGTCTTGTCTCCTGGACGACTGAAGTATAGCAGTCCGAGGCGGGGCGTATTCAGCTGGTCCTTAGGCGGTGTAACCACTCGGTGAACAGTCGACTTGATGAAGCCTGTTATACAAGGTCAGTTGAGCCGTTTACGAGGTGTGAAGTTCTACCCATGATACTCACCATTGGTCAGGAAAGTCAGGGTGTCAGCAGCGTTGCAGGTGATGCCCCCTTCGACAGGCTTAACCCATTTCCACTCTCCCTCAGGAGTGCGGATTTGCAGTCCAGCAATGTGCTGCGAGAAGAGCAGTGTCAAACTGCCAAAGTCGGTATGACCGCCCTTGGAGTAAGCCTGGGCCTTGTCCCATTCCTCCTGAGTTCTGACGTTATAGATCATATACCGAAGATGATCGTCCGATACCTCGTCATAGGCGTGAGCGTCTGCCAGATAGTTCTCCGGCAATTCAAGGATGATCGAGATCAGAACAAAAAGCTTGCGAATCACCTTCTCCCAAAGCTCACGATGGAAAGTACGGATTTCATCCCAATACTCCCGCGTGATTGCATGTTTGGGGACATCAGCAAGTGCCGGGATATCCTTGGGGATATTGAGCTATCGTCGGTAAGTTTTTGAGTGCGAGCCTGGAGCTTTAAGATAAGGGATTTACCATTTCAATGTTTTCCTTGACACCAGTGTCGCCAATCCATCGTGAGTTCTCGCGATATCCAAAATACTCGCCTTCCGCAAAGTTACAGGGGAAGAAACGCTTCTCCTCCAACGACTGCTGGAAAAAAGTATTTCCAAAGCTGAACTGGCGAAGGACTTTCTTGTCGTCGATGCCAGTATTGGTCACCACCCAGAATCCAACTCGAGTCAGGGCGTCATAGAGCTGCTTTGCGAGCTCCTGCTTGCCACCTGGCTCGTCGAAGCGTGACAGATCGATCGTCGTCAGCGGCGCCCAGTCGAGTTTCTCGGCCGTCTCGGCCGGACGGACCCATGGTTTCACAAGGACATGCTTGGAAACATCCGTCTGACTTGTCGGTTCTTCAATTGCTGATGGAGCCATCTTTGCTCAACGTGTAAAAAGGAATATGCCGAATCCTGTGAATATTCTTGGGCTTAGTCAAAACAAAGCGACCGAAGCAGAATATCCTACCAAGTGCCTGACTGAGGACAAGGGGTTGCAATGCACATATACCTGACTCGAACGGTCGCGGGACTGTTATGGAGCCATCGTTGTCTTCCGTTCTGTACGTCCCCCTGATGTACTTTTTTGCATTCCAATTACTAACCAAGCATATACGTTCAGATTGCGTGCTTTTGTACTAAGGCGACGTGCTCTCCGCGTTCTCCGACTTCAACCTTCTACTGCCCTACGAATCTCCGGTACATAGTCGGAAGATACAAATACATTCTACTAAAATCAGTGAGGGGAAGGTTTGCTATCAGATGGGGATGTCCGTCCTTTGACTGTTCTAGCCTGTTACCGACTATATGGAGAGGTATGTCGCCATCGCCCTTATCGTGGCGAAATGTACCACCAATCGTTGACGCAAGGGACGCGTATGGCGGCTTCTGTACGGCTCTGGACAGTGACCCAGCAGCACGGAACACGACGAGATGTTGACGTCTTCTGTGGTGCTCATGTCGTGATGAAAGACTGACAGTGGATCGAGACCGGTCTCTACAAAAGAGTTGGATGAAGTTTTCGGCTTCATCTTTATATAAGGCGTCCTCGCATGTGAGTCTTGAGGAGGTAGAGCCGGTACAGAATCATCTCTATCATTTCCTTCGACCACCAGAAAGTCGAGGGAGATGGCGGCCGAGAAGAGCCTGGGTGAGACGTTCACCCACATTGTTGCCGAAGAATCCCCTGCTCCGAGCGAGGGCGACATTGTGCTCGGAGAATCGGACAAGGCTTTCGAGAAAAAGGTCCTGCGCAAGGTCGACCTCTGGCTCGTTGGGTTCTACTCTTTGGTCTATATTTTCCGAGTCATCGACTCGTCCAACTACTCCAACGCCGCCATTATCAATCTCGAACATGGCACGGGCATCAAGAAGCAGCTGCACCTCAACCCCAACCAATGGGCATGGACCCTCTCCATCTTCTCGTACAGCTACATGATCTTTGAACCGACCAACACGGTCCTCCTCAAGACGTTCCGCCCTCGCATCTGGATGTTCGTGCTGATCCTGAGCTGGGGCATCTGCGCTTGCTCCGTGGCGGCCGTGGAAAGCTTCGCGGGCATGATGTGTGCCCGCTTCGCGATCGGCATGGCCGAGGCTGGATTCTACCCTGCCGTGCTCTACCACATGGACTTCTGGTATCGACCGACGGAACTCCCGTGGCGTATCGCCTTCTTTTATTCCGTGGGCCAACTCTCCAGCGCGCTGAGCGGCCTGTTGGCCTACGCCATCAGCTTCATGGACGGTCTCGGAGGCCTCCCGGGGTGGAGATGGCTCTTTCTGCTGGAAGGACTCCCAGCAATCATCCTCGCCTTTGTCGCCCTTTTCGGACTGCCGGACTATCCCCACACAGCACGCATGCTCAATGAGAAGGAGCGCCTGTTCATCGAGCGGCGTCTGGCGGCCACAGCGCCCTCGGGCAAACGCCACAACTGGGACTGGGCTAGTCTCAAGCAGCTCTTTGCAGACCCTACAGTCTACACCTTTGGGATGTATTGGATCGCTCACGGTATAGGTGGCTTTGGTGTCTCGTATGCCTTGCCAACCGTAATCTATCAGCTCGGCTTCACTGGGACGGCAAACTCGCAACTGATGAATATTGTATGGCTCCAAATATCCCGTCCCCTACCTCAACAGACTTATAGCAGTCTCACTGACCTCGTCTTCCAAAACAGCCACCCTATGTTTGCTGCTTCTTCTTCCTCAACACAGCCGGCTGGATGATTCATCGGAAATGGATTCGGCCCTGGACATGCGCCGTCGCGAGTGAGTGAAAAAGCCTTTGTCCGTCTCTTCGCCCTCACTGACTCATTGGGTTCCAGTCGAAAGCACAACCATCGTCTGCTACATCATTCTCGTCACCGTCCACAGCGCGACCGTCAAGTACATTGCCCTGATCGTCGCCGTCTCGTGTGCCGGCTCTGCGTACCCGGTCATCTGGCCTGAGCGGATCCGCGCGCTCCAAGGCACCGTCGCCGCCGGTATCGGGATCGGGCTGACAAACGCCTGTGCGCAATGGAGTGGCATTGTCGGACCGCACGTCTACTCGACGGTGTTTGGGCCCAAGTATCACAAGTCCTATCTCATCTGTCTGTGCGTTCTCATCGTGTCTATCTGCTCGGTGCTCACGTCATGGTTCATCATCGCGCGGAGAGACAGGTTGAAGGCAGAACTGAGAGCCAGACAGGACGAGGACATCCCTGTACCGCATGGGATTTGATAGGGTTTGCCAATATTTTCCTCTAGGCATAGCTAGAATGAGAGATAATATCGATAGCACATTGCTCAATCTGTAACTACTGCTCATCTCATAGGACGTCCTATGAAACACGACGGGGCTAGTTCATCCGCTCGAGACTCAGTCCTTCCGTCCTTCCAACCGTCTCTTCATGGCATAGGCCCACCCTCAGGCATGCTCCCCATGTAAAGGAAGGATTGACGCAGCCAGGAGTTCTCACCTGCACATAAGGGAACCAAATCCAAAGATGACAAACCACCTGCAGCTTCTTAACGGGTCAAGAACCCATGGCCAAACCCAGGCCCCATCCGCCGTCCTCCCCGCCCATGCCGCTGATCTGCATCGCTTGTCGCAAACTCGGTATGGTGTACGAGTAGTACAAAACCCGTCGGATAGCCCCGGTGATTCAGAGCCCAAGTTCAAGGGTGGTGGCCTGAGGCTCGGTCGGTGTCGGCCCATATTACTTGAAGTAAGACTTGTACGTTTGTTTCTACGGCGATTTGCAGTTTCTGGGAAAATCCCGTATAGTAGCCAACGGTCTTGACGATGATGGATGTGAGCTCCCCCTGCCGTCCAAGAGAACACCACCCCGCTGCTGGCCCTTATTGCTTCCTTCAAAAAGTGTAAACTGAGATTCCATGCCTGATTTGGTCCCCCGCAGCGTCGGATTGTAACGGCATGGTATGTGATCCAACCCATGAGAGGGTACTAATGTATAGTGCCTGTCTGGCCCTTCTGTGACCGCCACGAAATCCCAGCCGATCAACGACGTGGTCGGCCTTGCAGGAGACGGTGAAATGAATCCCTTCCTCGCCATTTGCTCTCCGGTCATACAGCCTGTAGAAACGGTGTATAAAGGTACGAACATCGCCCGTTGGGTATCCGAGTGCCTATTCTACCTCCCAGACGAGGTATCAGAGAAACCCCCCCTCTCCCCATCCCTTTCCCCTTCATTGCCTGTCATTTCAATCAACTTGATCCCAGAGAATGGTCTGCCTCTCGGAGACATCCAAAATGCCTGCGCTCGTACTTTTGCTCGCCCTGAGCTCGGCGACAACGGTTCATACAGCACCCTCTTCCCCCAGAGCAGCAGCACCCAAATACTCGATCTCGTGGTCCAACTGCACCGAAATCAACCTGCCGAACCTCCAATGTGGAACCATGCAAGTGCCGCTGGGCTGGTCTCAGCCCGACGGCGCGCAGATCAGCCTCTTCATGACCAAGATCAAATCAACCTCGACCACCAGTCCTGGAAAAAGTCTGCTCTGGAATCCCGGCGGTCCCGGAGTCACGGCGAGCACAACTTGTCAATTGATCGGAGCCGGCCAGCTCGCGTACTTCAGTCCTGCCCTGTACGAGCACTTCGACATCATTTGTCCGGACCCTCGAGGCGTGGGCCAGAGCACGCCCGTGAAGTGTGACCCGGCGATATACAATCAGATGCCACAACTCTTTGTCGACGACGCCACGTCGTTCCAGAAACTGGCCGACTGGAATCATGCGTTTGGGAACAGCTGTCTCAACATGACGGGGAATCTGCTCCGACACGTCGACACCACCTCGGCCGCACATGACCTGGAGGCCATCCGGCTGGCCCTCAACCAAGGCAATATGAATTGGTTCGGTAATTCGTACGGCTCACAGCTGGGAGCCGCGTACGCGGAGCTCTACCCCCGAAATGTTCGAGCGCTGGTGCTGGACGGGGTGGTCGATCACAGCCTCTTGGAGACCGTGGCCTTATCGACCCTCGCCACGACATATGAAGCCGAACTCAACCGCTGGTTCCAATGGTGTCAAGCAAACACGTCGTGCGCCCTCCACGGCCAGGAGAACATCCCGCAATTGTTCGACAACCTCATCGCCCAAGCAAACAGGGCTCCGATTCCAGCCCCGGGCTGCTCGAACGCATCAGGCACCGCGTCCGCAGGCACCTGCCAGCCCAGTGTGACGGGATACGACATGATCTTCAACGCGCAAGGAGCCTACCTGTCTGACCCGCGTCTAACGGGCTGGGTGACTTTCGGCGTCGGGCTCAACCAATCCCTGTCCGGCAACGCGACGTTACTCTCCAACGCCGTGCAGACCAGCGTCTCTAACGACGCCTTCTCCGGCATCGCCATCGGCTGCCTAGACTGGATCGCCAGCCACAGTCTGTTCCCCGAACACCAGGCACTGCAGCAGCTCGGCTCGGTGGTGGCACCGCATACGCTCGGCGCGAATCAATTCTTCCAGTACAGCAGCTGGTGCTTCAACTGGCCGGTTGCCATCGCCAATCCTCCACACTCGTTGAACACCTCGCAAGTGGCGCAGCTGCCGCCTGAGTCGGTCTTGCTTGTCAACGCCGAATACGACCCTGAGACTTCGTACGTGTGGGCGCAGGGGTTGAAAGATCAGCTGACAACTTCTGGCCGAGATGGGGACGATAAGGCGGTGGTATTGACGAGAAGAGGCGATGGACACACCAGCTACGCCATACAGGGCCAAGCTGCCAGGACCATGGATGCGTTCTGGATGAACAGGACTGTGCCGGGCAACGGGACTGTGGTTGACTCTTGAAGCCACGTCAAGTAGGATGCTGGTCTCGCGATATTGGACGCTGCTCGTTCGCGGTAAAAGGTCCATACGTACCGAGTACCCTTCAAGTGACCATCAAAAGCACCATGTCTTAGTCTGCAAGAGTCAAGGATATCCAATGCAATCCATTCCTGAGAGATTTACAGTCATTCACGTCTGCTTGCCTATGTCTTCTTTCGGAAAAGAGTTGATATACAAATGACCGGATTCTTGGGTCCGAAAGTCTAGTTCAAGCAACTCCGTCACCTGCCTCTTCATAGTCACACCTTTAATCTCAATATCCTTTCGTCGTCCGGTCGTCCGGCCGTCCGTCGCTGCTCCGAAAAGTCTCCAACTGGTAAGGGGAAAAAGAGTTGCTCTCTCTGGCGCCTTGGAAGGTCCTCCGCACATGGTTCATGAGTACAGGGAAGTGATGCATGCGACCTGCATAGAAGCCGCTCTGCTGAAAGACAGCGAAGAAGAACTGAGGACCCCAGTCGCCGAGAACTCCGTCGTCTTTGGCTGGCGCCGGATCGGGCAAGAGGATTTGCTCATCTCGAAAAGGTGAAATGTGGAATTCGAAAGTCAATCGCACTTTTAGCTGGAAGTGTGGAATTGGCAAACTCTTTGCCAAATTCTGATCGAAGAAATAATCGGTAGAGCCGTCCCCCTCCTGATAACGCCGGTGGTATATGCAAGTCGTGGGCAAATCGAAGCTGTAACGAGAAAACGCCATAGCCATGCTCATGATCATCATATGAGACCGCACATCCGAAGATTCTCTTGGATGATGATATCTGGAACTGTCAGAACATGTACAATTTTGGTATCATGAATGAGTGCTCACCGTTGACCGCTCCCATCACGAATCTTATCTGTGTGGTGTCTGTGGCGCAGGTGAAGTGCGTGTAAATCTGCTTAGTCTCTGCTTGGTTGAGCGACACGAATCGGTTCAGGATATAGTCACAAGCAGCGGCATAATCAGGACCACCTGAGCATCAAATATCAGCAAATGAATGTTCCAGCATGCCCGGTTGCACCAACCTTCGTAATCAGGGAAGTAGTTCTGCATCGGGCTCACAGGCAGCTTCTCCTTGAATCTGTCGATTTTGTTGAGAAACAGGATGATGCTAGTCTTGATGAACCACCGGGAGTTGCAAATGCTGTCGAACAGTGTGAGCGCCTCTTGCATTCTGTTGACAGTCTCGTCTTCAAAGAGCAGCTGATCATATTCTGAAATGGCGACCAAGAAGAGAATGGTGGTGACGTTCTCGAAGCAGTGGATCCATTTCTTTCGCTCAGATCGTTGTCCACCAACGTCAAACATGCGGTACGTGAGGTCCTGGATGATGAAGGTGGTCTCGGTAATACCGGTTGTTTTGACTCGAGATCGGAGGACATCTTGGTCGTTGGGAAGGTAGTCGTGGGCGGCGATACGATCAATGGAATCGAAATAGCTGGCGAACAGAGTCAGCAGAGAAGATTGCAGGGATTGGGGACCGAAGACTCACTATCGTGCCGAATCGTTCAACTGATACTCTCTCGATCGTTTGAAGCATTCCTGAACGCCAGCATCCTGCCACAGAGCCTTGATAGCCGCGCCCACTTCGGGTGGCAGGCTGTCCCCTTCTATCTGTGGTGGCTGCATGAAGATTGTCTGGACATGGTATTCGGCTCGTTGGTCATCCAGAGGCAGCTCGAGGGACTCCATCGCCTCCAATATGACACGCATGGACTGGACGGTGTTGGAGTAGATGATCTCTTTGAATGATTCGCGTTCGTCACGCGAATAGCCGCCTTCGTGGATGAGTTTCATCTGCTTTAGAATTGTGGACTTGCCAGATTCACCGGCGCCTGAAGTGCGGTTAGATCAAAGCTGAGCCCATGATGGGAGTTGGCGTACCAAGTAAGAGCATTTTGATCTCGTTGCGCTGGGCCATCTTGTCCCTCTTGAGCTGGTTGTCGATTTCATCGTTTCTTGCCTTCCCGGCGGTATCTTCCTTGCTTGCACCGCACCCCATGTTTGCCAATCTCTAAGAGTCTGGGAGTGGGAGGGAAAGGGTTGAATTCGAGCGTCTTGGGGGGGACGACTGATATCCAACTCGGTTAGTCAACGGCCTTTGCCCAAACAATGCGAGGGACAATGCGCATCTGAGAACCTCCTCCAAAAGTGTACAGAAGAAGAGTTTATGCGCGTCACGTCCTCGGACAACTCACCTCCGTTTCAAGCTCAGAGAGGCTTGTCAAAATGAAGGGCTGGTGACACGAACGTGACGGAGGCTGTGAAGTGAGGAGTTGAGAGTGGTAGGTAGGAGGTCGAAGGTGATCAGCGCAGGCGAAGACAGGACAGGGAAGAATGGGCGTCGATCAATGAGCTGGGCGGCGGCGGGTGGAAGTCAGGCTCAACGATGTCGCTGGGCAAAGCCGGGCAGGAAAGTATGCGCTTCGAGAGTCAATCTCGAACGAAAGAGGCCCTCTCCCAGCGGATAAGGTTCCTACAGGGCGCAGACAGGGCAAAGAATAAATGACAATATTGTACAAAGGGGGAGGCAGATTGAGACTCGAGAGAAAATGATGGTGGTCGGGGTGAAGATGAATCGAAGTGGATGAATTGGAAAAACGGGGATGAAATGGAGGACGATCAATCAGGTTGAAGGAGTGAAAAGGCTAGCGCAGTTTGGACTGCAATCAATGAGGATGGACGAACAAGCGAAGCAGGGAAACCGTAGGTTGGAAAGACGCAGCAGCTAGGGTGGTAGATACCTACTAGGTAGGTGGGTAGGGGTCGAGGGGGGCGCACGGGGGTTTGGAACAGCCGCCAGCAAGGGAGTCGAGGAAGGACACCCAGGTATCGGACAACTGCATCACCCCCAAGAGCGAAGGCGCAATCCTTTGGGCTCCCCGGGGACCCTTTTTGGGGGGTTGCTTGACCTCTGCAGTCGTTTGCCGCCTACAAGCTGGTTGGCTCCTGAGGCCTACTGGAGCCCCCGGTTTGAAGGCTTCTACAAGGACTCGTCCATCGTCCGGGCTTGAGTTGATGTTAGTGGCGGCCACTAGTAGCGGTGGCTACCCACCGGGAGCCCATTGGGTGCCCGCTAGTGTCTTGTCCGTCTCCAGTCCCCATTGACAGTCCCAGAAGAGAAAGGAGAAAAGAGTTTTTGCAGACGGGTCGTGAGGTTGGTGGCTTGCCTTTCATCGAATCCAGCTACGAGTAATTAACTCCAGTCCCAGTGTTTGACTACTATCTGCTCCTGCGGCGGAAGCAATGGCCTTTGCCAGAGTTAACTTTGTGTCGTTTCCACCATGTACTGCAGCCTGCGTCGATCAAGGTTCGATGATCAAGGGCGCTGGGTGCGCATCATCGAGCACGGAAGAGAGCCATTTGGCTGATTATCATCGCTGGCTGTTGGCAGGCCACCTTGTCCCGTCTCGCCTACCTACCTACTCAGGGGCACCCAAGGGGGCATCGAGGGTATCTCTTCATCTCGTCTCTGAGCATGTCTCTTCTAATGCCCTCAGGTCCATCACTAGATCAGCCCGAAGTCGCGCTGCTGTCGTGTCAAGCACTTTGTCCTAACCCACTACTGAGGCCAACTGTCATTGGGGACTCCAACCCTCGCCCACCGCTGTTCTCGACCTCTCCCACTGGCTACCCACTGACTTCCACCCCCTCCTCGACCCTGGCCAAGTTGGTTTTGACCGACACAGGGATCACCCACTTAGTTACACCCGCCCAGACCACTTTCGGAGATCCGTCGTCTTGCTGGCGCAGGGGCCGCCTCCGAGCGTCGGGGTTGTTTACGAGTAGCAGGCACGCTATTATTTGCAGATGAAGAATTCTCTGTATTATCGCGGAGACTGCCTCAATAATGCCAGGAGAGTGGGTTACAAAAAGCTATTACCCTTGTCGGTGCCAGGGCATTTCGCTTGCTCAGCTTGGCCTGAATTAACGTCTGCTCTACCGAGCACTCGTATCACCAGTCACCCCTTTGTTCATCGCTTCGGGTCATAGCGCCCTTCTCAAGCAATCTAGTGCGTTCCATAAAAGCCCTGGAAATTGCGACTTTCTGGCCCTTTGCTCAACAGAGATCCGCTCTTGCAAGTCAATTGACAGAAAGACGAGGTGGTTTTGTGTTTCCATGCAGATGCTCTCCTATCAGGTGATGGCCCCCTTCAAGCCTGCGAGGATTCCCCCGGGCTTGCTGAAACTTTATCTTCGACACAGATCTCTCAAAATTCAGGTACGGGGCACGGAAGTTGTCCCGCTACAACTGCTAAATGCCGCCAACTCAAGCCAGCCGCGTACCTGGATAATTCATCCAGCACGTAAAGTTCATCCAGAAACCTGATTTCCCCCCTAAAAGTCCGTATTGCTATCTCATGCCTGCTCATGCGGCGCAACGGAGTCGATTGTCTGGAATCCCGTACCCAGACAATCAGTCAAGGTGTCGAAGCTAAATCCTGCAAGCCAGGTCCCAGATTTACGGAAAAAGGGACGAGGCCACCACCAGCGGAGCGGTCGATCTGGGCCTGGTGCCGAATACTACGTACATAATTTCATGCACAAGTCAAGAGACATTTTGCGGTCCTTGTTTCACATGTCTGCTGCGGCTCTCTTATTGTTGAGATGTCAGAAATTTCTTCCTCACTGGACAACAAGTACGAGGTACTCGATGCCGCGTACGTACAAGAACCTCAAGCACTCGCAAAGTGAGAGTTTTTGTGGACCTGGGAGGTTGGACGCTTTTGACAATCATGGTGGACCTTCCCACAGGCTTCCCCTCTGAGGAAGTTCAGAAGGCGCTCTGCGGCCCTGCCTCTGCGATTCCAACCACTCTAGATGGGTGTCAGAGACCATTATTCGTCCACCGCTTTAGCGTTGCTTTGTGTTGTGCGTTGGCGATCAGGTGCCACAACGCATTTTCCCGGTAGCATCATCAAATCATACACAGCGCCGCTCCCGCAGCCTCCGGACTCGGCGCCCCTTTGCTCCATCACTTTCACCTTCTCATTGCTCGACCCCACCCTTTTGCCCTTTCCTTATCCGTCAAGACTTTCCAACTTTGAGGAAGAGCTTTCATCGGATTTGGAGACTAGCGTCTCTCTGGAGTCTCAATACGGTTGAGAGGAAACACCTCAGTCAGAAAGGGCACTCAAGGATCGACACCTTGCCCTATCAGTTGGACACTGTGGTTGCTTCTCATCTGTCGGTTGCCAACCAACCTCGAACACCGCAATCAGCCCTACGGGCAGTGACGGCGGTCGCCTGAGTCGCAACCAAATAGACCTGCAAAACTTGTTTCTCTGGACGGTCGCTACTTGATACTGGCAACCTGTGCATTATGCTGCAGATTCCGAAACCACCAGAGTATCACGTACAAGTTTTACGGGCTTTGTTCGAGACGGGCAAGATGTGCCGCAAGCCCCGGACACCCAGCGTCGGCCTGTCGTTCTCCCCATGCAATAAAGTGGGTATACTTTGCTTTTACGCTCCGCCAGGAAACCTCCGTCACATAGATCACCGACAAATTTGGGTACAAAACCTAGATATCGAGTCAAGAACAGTAGGTGCATCCAGGACTCGCTGCTCTGGATGGGGTCCTCTTTCAAGTTTATTGTTTTCCGCCCGCTCCTTGGACTCCGCTCTTGCATACCGGCGCACCAACTGCAGGTGAGCCGTTGGTATACCTATGTCAACGCTAGAAGAGGTCGTGTGCAGGGCTTTTGCCGACACTGTTCAGACGACGCCAAATCACTCGGTTCCCACGTAGAGGCGACGCGGCCAGAGAACAGACTTACCGTCTTATTCCATCCACTATACCAAGCGGCCCAGAACGTGCAACATGCGATGGATGCCTCTATCAACAAACATTCCATACACAGCTCTCGTTAACATATCTGCAGCTTACCAGCGCACCTGTTTCACGCGGTGCCGTCCTGTCCACCTCCGTCGTCCCAAATCTGAGGCGCTTGCCAATCCCTTTCTGGGAAGGATTTGAGCCCCACTTCAGCCTCGCAAGGCTGCGACCTCATGTGGGGTAGTATGCATTGCCCAATTTGAAGTGGTTGCTACCAAGATCATGAGTCGAGGGTAAGTGCTTCCTCGGTGGACATATTGAGTACGCAGTGTTGCTCCTATCGATCAACAGCTTGTGTCGACGGTCGGTTGCCGCTCAAGGGTTGCACTTCCTCTTGTCTAGCTCAAGTCTTTTGCAAAGGACCACGATTTCTGAACCCAGGAGGATACTCCGATCGCTCTTCAAGCCAGATGTCATCATTATTAGTCTGTGGCTCGACGGAGGAGGACCGTAGTCGGGACTCACTGGCAGAATTGTTCCGTTGCGACCATTTGTCTGGCGGCATCACGGCATGGAACACCATCCATGGAGTCTGTGAGGTTAATTTTGAGACTCGGCATCTGTCTTTCAAAGGAGAGTCCTTGACATTTGCAAGCATCGTACGCAGTGTGCATGGAACTGAAACTCCAGGATCTCGTGTCCAAGATATGCCTCTCTTCATAAAGGAGAGTATCTTACAGCCAACGTTCAGCAGGCGTCTTTGCTTTTCTCCGCATCAGGCCTACAAGGCCAAGACATCGTGGATATCCTCGAGTCTCCGCTCCAACGTCGACTCCAACCCATCAGCTCCCGCGATAAACCCACTCAGCTCGTCCCTTTCTCACCACTGGCTTTCCTTTCTCCCTCACTTCCCCAAGTTTTGCTCAGGCTCCCCTCCGCAATAGCCCCACGATTGCATCCACAAAGGGCTTGGACCCTGTGCCAGACAAATATACCAAGACCTTGGGTCTGCGGATCAGGTGGCCTTGGTGGCATTCGTGGGAAATGACGGTCCCTCGCCGCTTGAGATTCTAGCTCTCGAAAGCGAGTTCCTTCCCACATCTCTTCTCCCGTTGACAGGGCAAGCAACGGATTGTATCCGTCATGGCACTAATCGGCACTTCGACCATAATATTTCCCAAACTCGACAAAGAGAATGCGGCCGCAAAGAGAAAACATGTCTGCAGCGTCTGTTCCAGGGCCTTCAAGCGAAGCGAACACTGCATTCGCCATCAAAGAGGCCGTAAGCCACACTCCTTGACTGATCGCGCCTAGAAGCTTTAGAAAAACACTTACAAGTCTTCAGATACTCAGGAGAAGCCTTTTGGCTGCAGGGTGTGTCGAAGGAGATATAGTCGAAGGTATTTCTTCAAAAGACTCATCAACGGTGACGTCTATTGATTACGTTTCCATTTAGAGACCTTTTGGTTCGCCATGAAAGAACCCTGCACACCCCGGAACAGGTGGCAGACGCCATCGAGAAACAACGTTCCAATGTTCCGACAACTGAAGACATTCCCTCAGGTCCGCAGTCCCAAGTCCTGGTTGGATGATACTAACCTAGAGATCAGCAGAGGAAGCCACATCAAAGCCGTCGATATCCAGAGACAAAGGGAAAGACGAAGTTGCAGCGTTTCGAAAAGACTTGCCCTCAGCCCTTTCAAGTCAGCCACCTAGTCGACCTAGAGGCTCTGTATCCACAGCTTCCAAAACAAACGGTAAACCCTACACAAGGTCGAATGTCGTCCAGTCACCGAGTTCCCGAGTGCCCCGAGGTCGGAAGCTTGCAAACCAGGTCGGTAATGCAGCTGAAGCATTGCTGTCTTCAAACTTCAGCGTAGATTCCGCTGTCGCTCAAGAACCGCAGCATTCTACGGGACTTCACTTGGCAGAGTTTAGTGTCGAGGTTTCCGATCTCGAGAAGATGCGAACATTCCCGAGCTCGGTGCCTCTCCCGGACCTTGATGGCGACTTGGAATTCCTCGACTTCTTCGATCCCTTTCTGGGCTTACCTCCAAAGCAACTTGAAGCCTTCGCGATGCCACCTCTCAGCGGCAACACGGATGGCTGGTCACCACTAGAGAATTTTTCAGGTTCGAGCCAGGCTTCGATGCAGGATTACGGTTTCCAGCAGAATCATATTTCACCCGCGCACGCGACACCGTCAGTTGACGATTCGAACCAATCATGGGAAACGGCCAGTCATGCGAATTCGCGCTCTAAAGAATCCTCCGGCCTGTGGGACGAGACTCCAGCCCAGGTTTTCACGACAAACCGTCCTGGCTTTGAGGGGTATTCAGGCTTTCCGATCCCGCAAACGAAGTACTCAAGGCCTCCGGCGCTTGTTTTTACCGAATCAATGCGGACTCATCTCTTGAAGGACTTGTCGAATAGACTCTCTGCCGAAAACTTGAACAATTTCCGATTGCCCAGTGCAGCCGCACTCCAAAAATGTATCCGAACCTACGTTGACGCCTTCCACGTCCACCTGCCCATCTTTCATCTCCAGACCATGGATTTCGAAACCACGCCATCACCACTTACTCTCGCCATATGCGCCATCGGCGCTCTTTATCGGTTAGAAAGAAAGATTGCTGCCTCCTTGTACTTGAAAGCAGACCAGGCCCTGGCAGCCGCCGTTGTCGACCGAGGTGAGCATCTCCACAAGAAGCCACGGTTGCTGGAGGAGTGGATTCAGCCGCGACCTCAATCACCGAAATCAACCCCGGAATCTCTATGGAAGAGTCAAACTCGACTGCTGCTTGCAATGCTCAGCTGCTTCAGCGGCGACACGGAAGTCATTTCGAAGGCTATCATACGTCTCGGCGATTTCCTCGTGGTAAGCTCACAGATTCAGCCAAGGCAGATCAATTATTGATAACTTCCTAGGACTTTCGTGATTTAGCACCGACTGTCAAGCCGCGCAAAAACAGAGATAAATCGTTGAGTTGGCGGGAGTGGATCGAAAGGGAGAGTGTTAAGAGGTAAGTATGGAAGCTTGGGGGGACGTACCGCTCACTAATAGTAACATTGATATATAGGTTATTGTACGGCCAAATAATGTTCGGCAATTTGGTCACCATGACCTACGGGATCCCCCCCGGCTATTCCCTGGTTTCAGATGGTTTTATCGAGATGCCGTGCGACCAATCTTTGTGGGATGCACTCACAGAAGAGCAGTGGCACGCAGCTGCGACGCGAAAAGGACAGAGCTCCTCACTCAACGTCAAGGAAGCTGTATCGATGGTCATGAACGGAAATTCAACCAAGACAGTGCCGCAAGAATGCTGGGAGTGGTCACCATTCGCAATTAGCGTGGTGATTAACGTAATTTCAATTCATATTTGGCATATCACCCAAGGATCATACTTCTTCGGCGAGTTCTCCAGTCCCGGACAGCCTGGCGACACACAGAAATCTCAGACTCTTGCGCAAACAGAGGCTGCCCTTTCTAGGTGCAGAGCCTTGATTACCCAAGCCAGCTCCGATGCAGACTATCCCTGGACAGAGGCCGAAACGCCCTTGTTGTTCAATTGTCTGGCTCTGTTGCGGGTCAGTTATTGTCGGGCATTTACAGGACATAGCGCCGCCGATTCAATGGTGCTGCTCAAGGAAAGCCAGGAAGAATTCATGGCTTCAATTGAGGACTTTGTGGCAATGCCGCAGAACCGAGGCCATCTCGTTGCAAGGGCGGTAGGCCGGGCATTCGAAGGCATGCTGATTCCGTATAAAGCGGGAACAATGCTTATCAAGAAGACTGCTGCCTTGACCTGGGCGATCGGACACGCTTTGGCAGGGTGGGAAGCAGGTAAGTTTAAACCGACAATCGACATGTCTATTTGGCTTAATGCTGGCACTGACTCCTGGTTACAGCATTATTGGTCACCAAATGGGTGCATGCAATTGAAGTTGAGACCCGGTCAGGTCCTGATTGTCAGTCGATCAGCGAGCTCGAGACCCAGACCATGCAAGCCATCAGAAACCTGCTCTCGGAATTAGAGGATGGGCTCGATAATGAAACCGGTTCTTCTCTGGCGGCTAAGCTGGCACGCTACTGGGCCGGTTTCTACGACGATACTTGGGTATGGGGATTGACACCACGGATGGGATACATCCTGCGCGAGTTGGCAAATTATTATGAGAGCAAATTGGGGGCTTCTTGATCTGGTACTACCGCTAATGTGACGGATGCCACAGATATTAGGATTGCCATAGGACAGCCAATCCATCAGGGGAAGCAACTTACGGGCAGACGTCTCGTTGTGCTTCCTTGGTCCTATTTGTGCGGAGTAGTCTGTACACCGTCCTTGGTGTTAGACGTGCAGGTGGTGAACTTCCGGCTCGCCGGATCGGGTATTCCTAGATGACTAAGCCCCCAGCCATTTTAGTTTCTCCGACCCCGAGATCGAAGCTTGGGGGGATTGGCTTCCACCCACTGGCACCCAGCCTGCCACTCGCCTAACTGCTAACCGAACCGAACACATTACCTGGTACTTGCGTAGCGAGAGATCAGATCTACCCGATTGATATTGCCGCAGTTTGTGCTTGAAGACCTTCGTGATTTTGGTGGTGACATCTCTTCCCAAAGCCAGCTGGAGTCACTTTTACGCATCTCTTATCCTGATTTCATCTGCGCAGTTCGCATTTCTCCCCTGTACACCACTGCCCAAAAGACCAAACGGCGAATTGCAGTGAAGATGTCGTATGAAATGTCAACAAAGCACGCAACCCGAGTAGGGGCCAGACGTAGGTGAACCTTGCCCAGCTTGCTAGGCTGTGGTTATTCCCCGATTTGCAGAGTCTGACTGACTGACTGATACGCCGTCGGTGTGTAGCGTTCAATCACAGTCAGTCCCAAGCTGCCGAAGAAGAGTACGACCGGCTACGGAATCTTGCCCGCCAGGAAGCCTCCAAACGCGCCACTGCTTTCCAGCGGTCCCAAGAAGCGTATGCAAACGGTGATGGCGCGGCCGCGCATGCGCTCTCGCAGGAGGGCAAGGAACACGGCGCCAAAATGGAGATGTACAACAAGCAGGCCGCCGAATTCATTTTCCGGGAAAACAACGCTGATGGGCGAGTCGCCGCCGACACGATTGATCTTCACGGACTGTATGTGGAAGAGGCAGAAGAGATCCTGGAACAGAGAATCCGATATGCTCAGAGTCAAGGCCAGACACATCTCCACGTCGTGGTCGGGAAAGGCAACCACTCTCCCGACCATATCCAGAAACTGAAACCTCGGGTCGAACAAACCTGTCGGGACCTAGGCTTGCAATACCACACTGAGGCGAACGAAGGCAGGATATACATCAAGCTAGACGGCAGCCCTGTGGAGATGCAACATGTGAGCAACTGGCAAGGCTACCAGACATATCCAGATTATCAGCAACAACCTTGGCATCCTCAACAAGCTCAACAATCGCAACCTTACCCTGCTCAAGGGCAGGGGCAATATGACGGAGAGGAGAAGGTTAACCAAGGACTTCTGTCCCGACTCATCAACAAACTCTTGCGCATGTTGTGTGGTTGACGGCCTGACCATCATGTATGTTCTGTTCTCTACAAATTGGACAGTGTCGTGCTCCTGCTCTAGAGAAGAGCAGAGGGACAACTTGAAGACATGACCGAAGATGTTGGGAGGTCATCTTGAACTCCTACTCCTGCTGTGCCTCACTTTGAAAACCACGAGCGCGCAACCTGATACATCTCAACTTGCTCTGAAGCCCTCTCAACTTCTACTGACCCGGCGACTCACCTTTTTGCGTTCTTATTCCTTGGACGCCTCTATTGCGCTCTGCGGTCGTATACGCTGGTCATTCGGCTTGTGGGGAACCTGGTAGAAGCTCTATAATAGCGACGCTATCTAGGAGCAAGGAGGGCATGTCTGTAGAATGGGGAAAGAGAGAGTATCTCCTTCACTCTCCCATTGTATGTTTTCTTGCCCCATTTGTGTCTCGGAAGACGAGGCTGACCCACCTCACATTAGAGCTCGTCGCTACCATCAAAAGAGTGGCAATGCTTGTGCCAATAGCGAATTCTCAGCGCGACACGACTACCCAATTGTCGATGACTCCGCAGCATGGAAAGGTTGTCACTTCATCAGAAAAGAAGTGAAGGCGCCCGATCAGGATTTGCGTGGCAGCTGTGAAACTCAGACTCCTATGGTATAAAAGAGCGCTTTACCCGTGTCTCCGACTTTCTGCCTTTCTCGAATTTCCCATGAGGCTCGCAAGAAGTCCAAGTGTGACCCAGGGACAGGCCGCTGAACTTCCGCGATCGACCCATCTAGTCGCCTTATGTCGTCGATAATGAAGAGGAGAAAGATAAAGAAGTCGAAGCGGATTTTGAAGTATGGTCCCTCTTTCTACAGATTCCGAGACCCAACGGCTTGCCTCCTGTGTTATCGACCTCGCAACACCTACCGTCTGTATTCTCCAGCTGTTCTCCGTCTGGTGTCTGGTCGTTTACAACGTTTCTTGAGAAGCCTTGACCAGCTCCTGGAACCTCCCCGCCTCGGTCTCCTCGATGCTCTTGAAACCCATCGCGACTGCCGTGGTGGCCATGATCTCTGCTTCGATTTCTTTGTAACGACCGTTGACGCTGTAGATTGTCTGGGCGTGGCGGGTCGGGTCGGTGACCAAGAGACCGACGCCTAACGCCACCTTTGAAGGCGGTTGCACACCCATTCCGACTTTTTCGAAAGCGGCAATCGGAAGACTGTCAAGGCTTCAGGGTCAACCGTGCATTCGTCTATGCGTCCAAAGAAAACAACAGGCTTGCAGTAGAGAAAGGAATGGACGGGGCATAAAAGATCAAGGGCAGATTCGTGAGTGTGAAGAAGACTGAATTGATTGCTCGCTTACCCGATAATGGTTGTGTCAGTCCAACTCGGCGCAATTGCGTTGATTCGGATCGGACGTTTGGGATAGAAGTGTTCGCGAACCCCTCGAAGAATTCCCACCACACCGTGTTTCGATACAGCTGTCAGGTACATCAGAGGTGGAACACGAGGACTGGGAAATGAGCCTACTGTAGTCTTCATGACCAAAGGGTTGATATCCTGGATACAACGAGGGAGAAGACTTAGCAGGGACTTGCTTATCGGCCCGCGCGAGATTCAGAATGCATATCTTACCTGCGACCGAGGTTGTCATGACCACATTTCCCCCGGCGTCCTGCTTTTGCATGTAGTGAAGAGCCAATGCAACAGTGTTGGCCACGGCCATCAGGTTGATTTCCAAGCACAGCCTCGATGGCTCCACCGGCACCCCATCCTCTCCTATAGCCAAGTCCAGGTAGTCCCCTTTTGGGCCGACTCCAGCGTTGGCAAAGACAATATCGACTCTGCCGTAGTCGTCGATGACCCTTCGAAAGAGACGCGTAAGGTCGGTCCACGAGGTGACATCTGTTTTGGTGTAGAGTGACCCTGGCAGAGTCCTCGGTGGCGGGGAGAGATCAGCCTGAACAACAATGGCACCTTTGGTGCTGAAGAACTCTGAAGTCGCAAATCCAATCCCGGAGGAGCCTCCTGTGGAGGACCAGCCACATTAGCAGGGGAATGTAGTGGACGTCAAGCCTTGGATGGGAGGCTCCTCATACCAGTAATGATGGCAATTTTCTGCTCCAACCCGTGGATGTCATCTTCAGTGATATCGAAGAATCCGGCCATGTTTTGACTTGCCAGCCAGGTCTGGTGGGGTGGTAACAGAGGCTTCTCTGACAGACAGACAACCAGAGAAGGGTAGAGGGAAGGATACTGACTCGTTCAGGAAAGGAGTATTGGTCATATATACCAGACGTCTGGTTACGACCAAAGCTGTCCTTAATCTCCTCGTGGAATAACGGCTCATCTGCCTCCACACACGCATTCATTGGCTAAGTCTTTGTGACATAAACTACTTGTTGAGACACTTCTGGTGGATTTTGTGCGAGCCACTGCCCTCACGCATAGCGTGGGCCTATAATGATTCGAGAACAGTTGCAAAGAGTCGGACAGTGCCGGCCATGCATCAGCCATCTATCTGTGACCTATGTATGAGCCGGGCCTTGGGAGTGGAGCTAAGGAGGCCCACCGGCGAGATGGCAACATCTTGACACTGTCAATGGCGAGAATATTGGATGGGCTAAAGAGTCGACTGTACCTCGTGCGTCTATACCGAATGGTAAGCGCCGTCTGTCAGGATTGGGCCTAGCTTATAGCGCATTGGCAAGGCTCGACATTGGCATCATCAGCTGGCGAGAATGTAATTAAAGACTGGGCCACGCGAGTCCTCATTGGGATCAATCGCGCTTACCACGTAATAATAATGTCTCAAAGATTCCGACTCTCAATTTGGAATCATTCTCTGTTAGCAACTGCTGGTAGATTCCCAGGATGGGCAAACAGCAGGCTCTAGAACGATACAAGGCGACCTCGTCTTCTCAGCGACATATCCCGACTACTCTTGTGTTCCCGCACATTGTCAATGTAGTGAGTGATGACTTCCAACCTCGGCAGTTTTGTGTTTCTGTTGAACCTATAAAGGTGTTGGTGTTGTAAGACAGTTGTAACCAAGCTCCCCTTGAGTGAGACGATCGATGAGAGACAAGATACACATCATTCTTAGCTTCGGAGCCCCTTTCATTTCCCTACTGTTGAGATCTCCTCTTCTTCGAGTGCCATGCCCCCCGCCGACAGCTCCAACGCACCGTGTCTGGTCCAATGCGACGTCATCATTGTCGGAGCCGGCCTTAGTGGCATCTCGGCTCTACATAGACTGCGGAATCTTGGTCTCAAGACCAAGGTTTTTGAGTCTGCGCCCGATTTCGGGGGTGTATGGTACTGGAATCGTTATCCTGGCGCCCGGGTGGATTCAGAAACGCCTTTCTACCAACTCAACATCCCCGAGATCTGGAAGACCTGGAGCTGGTCTTGCCGTTTTCCGGCCCAGGAAGAGTTATTAGACTATGTACACCATTGTGACAAAGTCTTGGGCCTAAGGAAAGATGTCTATTTCAATGCTGAAGTGGTCGCTGCCCAATATCATGAGGCACACGGCATCTGGACCGTCAAGACAGGCGAGGGCCATGTGGCGACCGCAAAGTATCTCATTTTGGCAGTTGGTTTACTTCACAGCAAATATCTCCCCATGTTTCCCGGACTTGACCAGTTTGCTGGGAGCGTTTATCATTCCAGTAACTGGCCCCGAGGCTTTAGTGCAACGGGTAAGAAAGTCGCCATTCTCGGTGCGGGCGCCACAAGCGTCCAGATTGTCCAGGAGCTGGCCAAGACAGCAGACCATATGTCGGTACTTATACGACGGCCTAGCTATTGTCTTCCTATGCGGCAACGGTCGATCGATAAGGAGGAGCAGACTGCTTGGAAAGCTTATTATCCGACGTTATTCGATGCTGGTCGCAAGTCTTACAGTGGTTTTCCAGGCCGATCCCCATCTATCAGCATTTTTGAGGTTGACTCAAGAGAGCGGGAGGCTTATTTCGAAGAGCTTTGGGAGCGTGGTGCCTTTAACTTCCTGATCTGTCAGTATGAAGATGTTATGGTTGATAAGCAAGCCAACAAGCTCGTCTACGATTTCTGGGCTCGCAAAACTCGAGCCCGCATGTCCGATCAAGCAAAGAAGGACCTGATGGCTCCTCTTGAGCCGCCATATTGGTTCGGCACTAAACGTTGCCCCCTCGAGAATGACTATTACGAAATGCTGGACAAGGCTCATGTGGATGTTGTGGACCTCAACCGATCACCCATTACCGAGTTCGTCAACACAGGAGTGTACTTACAAGACGGCCGCAACCTGGAATTTGACACGCTAGTCCTTGCAACCGGCTTCGACAGTTTCACTGGCTCGTAAGTGTTGTGTTGGACACACGCCAGAGGAGATCTAACGCACTTCGGCAGGCTGACCCAGATGGGCCTGAAGAACAAGCACGGAATATACATAAAGGACGTGTGGAAAGACGGAATCTCAACGTACATGGGAGTCTTCTGTCATGGGTTTCCAAATGCCTTCTTTGTGGCCACTGCTCAAGGTACGTGACGGTGTTTACACCTTACCGTTTTCCAGGGCAGTCCTTTCATCCTCGATATCCAGCACTGACTACTCGCATAGCGCCGACCGTGCTTTCCAACGGCCCAACCATCATCGAGACCCAAGTCGACCTGATAGTCGAATCGATCGCCAAGTTAGAGAAAGAGAATGCCAAATCCCTTGAAGCTACCAAATCGGCAGAGGAGCGCTGGTCCGACCTGATATCAGAAATGAACGACCACACGCTGTTCCCTTTGACTGACTCATGGTGGACTGGGGGAAACATTCCCGGCAAGAAAGCCCAGGCCTTGACGTTTATAGGAGGAATCGATCTGTACATCCAAATCTGTCGGACGAATTTGGAGAACTGGATGGGATTCGACGTGGTGAGGAGTTCAGCTCGGTAGAAGCTTTGAAAGGGCGCCGGTATAATAGATTGTTAGCTGAGTGTGTAGACAAGGCCATGGCACCGGGGACAATTGGACCTTTAGCTGTAGTCGAGTACCAAAAAGCTCCACGAATATAGTCACACCGGCGAACAGAGACCGCGCACACTGGAAGACTGATTGATTGATTGATTGTGTCACAGTCAATCACAGTCGCCTATTAAGTGGCAAATATGCGGGTCGCGACTACCAGGAGGCATAACCCTACTTACAATATTAACATCTGTTCCGTATCTATGTGCTTGTCAGGCCCTTCTCGGCCCTTCTCCCCTTCTGTGTGACATACTTTCACTCGTCTGTGCAGGTGTATGGTGGTGTCGTGGGCGCGATCGCCCTGACTCGAGCCACGCCCCCCCGTCCAGTCCTTTGTCCCATAGATTTGTACCTTTATCGCTAAGCTGCCTGTGCCGTTGGCCGACCGGAAACCCCCTCGCCCCCTATTGCCTAGCGAGCCAGATCTTGGCCCTATTAGGCCCTATCAAGGCGCCCCCATGGTCACGTGTATTTCAATCAACAACAACCCGGCACGAACCTTCGCACCCCCTCCTTTGATATCTACTTCACTTCCCTCTCCCTGGTACATAAAAGAAGTCGAGGCAACACTTACACTCCTCTGGACTTGGGGTTGCACAACGAGATTGCAATCACTACACCCCTACCACAATCCCAACAAACCAAAGCTTTACAACCCATGGGGAGGAATAGGGAGTCGATTGCAAGTTCGCCCCAAGCGGCAATCTTGAAGCCTCGGCGTTCTCGAACTAAGACTGGCTGTCTTTGCTGTCGACTCCGTCGCAAAAAGTGTGACGAGACAACACCTGTGTGTCGAAATTGTGTCAGAAACAAACTAATATGCTCATGGCCGCCGAGTGCCACCCAGGGATCCTCTCAACGTCGTTCTAATCTCGGCTGGCGCGCTAGCCTTCGAGAGGGGACCCTGGAGTTGCGCACCAAGCGGAGTCCTGAACGGGAATTCAAAGCTCTACGACCATCTTCCTCACAGTCCCGGGGTGCTTCCTTCACGTGGGAGCCTGCCATCATCAACACGATCGAGTCTCAAGCCCTGTTACGGCACTTTTTGGAGCAGACGGCGGCCAAGCTCGTCGCCCGAGAACCTCATGACAACCCTCTTCTCACCTGTATCCTGCCCTGGGCATGCTCGGAAACCATCATCATAGATGCCATGATAGCTCTGAGCGGTGCCGATATTGGCCACAAGGTACAAAACTTGGCGTTAAGGAGCGCCACCATTGACCACTATTTGGCGGTCACGCGAAAACTGAAGCACGCACTGACGAACTGGGACCCGAGTGAGGCCCAGAACACGCTGCGACTGTTGAGTGTCACCGTCTTTCTGTGTCAGTACGAAGTAAGTCGTCTTGGCTGACTGCTGCTGCTGGTGTCCCCTTTCTGGCCAATGTCTTCTGAATCACGCGGCATGCAGACTAATAGCCATCTCGACAGGCTCTTACTTGCAATGGTCGGAGCGTTGCATACTACCACCTTCGTGCCAGCCGAGAATTCATCAAAACCATCTTTGCTGCTGGCGTAGGCAGTCTCTCCGCACAGGAATTCGAGATCTTTGGTTTCCTCTTGGAATACTATGTTTACTTGGCGATTGTGTGTAACGTCACCATCGGTGGTAACCAGAACACCGAGGTGATCACCACGGACTGGTTCGTGCAGACGCTACAGCATCTTCAGGCCTATCCGACTTTTGGCAGTCTGCTCGGGAGCTGCTGGGAGCTCTATGAGCTTATCCCCGTTATCCAGTTCCTCCCGAAGTTGGAGGACGAGCCGTGGATTGAAACGTACTCCTCCTTGGAGGAAAGAATCCTGAACTGGCCGCCCACTCCGCCGACAAAACCAGAAGGCCCCCTCCAAGCCCGGGCATTGACGGCGGTAGGCCGGATTTATCAGCTTGCCCTTTTGGCTTTCCTGTACTCGGCGTGTTACGTCAAATATCGGAACAAAGAGGACTTTTGCAAGAGAATGGCACCCATCATCGTCGAATTCCGGCATCTCTGTGGTCACACATGCGCCTCACCATTGCAAACCACGCTGCTATGGCCCCTGATGGTCATCGGTTCGTGTCTGACCTCATCAGAGGACCAGCAAGAAATGTGTGCTGGTCTGTCCAGGTCAAGGTTTGACTGGGCTATCACGCATCGAGCTTTGGAAATCCTGAAGATGACTTGGGAACTGCACAAAGATGACATATTTGGGCCTTTCGCCTTGGGGACTGTGGTGAAAAGCCATGACTTTTGCGTGAGCTGACATGCATCTCATATCGGACTTTGTGACTTGCGTTGACAACGAAGTCCTTCTTCATACGTAGTCCTCGGGCGGTATCTCATGCCTGATGGGGTCAATTCCGAGTATTAATGCTCTATCTCAAGAGATTCTACACCCTTTTCTCTCTCTATTCGGGGCTGATTTCAGCCGGGCCTCTTATGGGACGCTACTCAGCGGCATCGAAAACGACATTGCGGTGACAGCTTCACCAGGATCCTGATTTCCATTGTATCACTGCTGAGTCTAAAGCTTGTGGAAGGGACTAAACCAACTTTTAATCGAAACCTCCTGATGGCCGAGCGAGACTAGCCACCACTTCCCCAGAGCCTCGTTGACCTGATCGCAGGGCGCCTTCCATGTATCCTTTCCATCCCACCGATGTTTCTGTCCCAACGAAATGAATGTTGTGGAAAGGCTTCCGGAGGTCGGCTCCCACAGTGCTGAGATCGTTGAGCCCGTACACAGTGCACGGCGCCCCGAGGAAATACTGCTGCTTGGACCATTCGAACTCGATGACGTTGACGGGCTCAGGAACTCGGCCTCCCACGCTCTCGAAGGTTGCACAGAATTGGGTCCAGACGGCTTTTTCTCGTGCCATCTTCGATAGCTGGGACCAGGCTTGTCCTGGCCCTCCGGCCAAGAAACAGGTGATGGACCACACCTGATCCGCTTCGATGCTGGTATCCCTCGTTAACGAAACGGGACCAATACTAGACTGAAGGATGCCCGAGAATCCTTGGTGACGCCACCACGGCTCGTCCCACACAAAGATGACCTTGCTGAAGTAGCCTAGAATAGAATTCTCCGCCAACGCAAGCTTCCCGGCTGGAAGAGGTGGTGTGAATGTTATCGAAGGATATAAAGTCGTCGGTACCGAAACCACCACCTTCTTGCTCCTGAAAACAGCACCCGTGCTCGATCGCACTGTACACCCAGACGGCGACTGCTCGACTGCCGTGACGGGAGTTGCAAGGTGCAATGAGCCTGGTTGCAGCTCTTGCGCCAGGTTGATCGCGATGGATTGCGTCCCTACAGCAACGCCCAACATGATTAGATGCGGAAATAGAATCGGGATCCGAGACAGTGTAAAAACCAAACCAACGCAATTTCACTCACCTGTTCTGCACCGGATATACTGTCCGCCCTCTTTCAAGTCTGAAGTGATATTGACCAACCCGGTTGCGCTCTTGATGTAGTCGATCATATAGAGTGTGCTGACTTGATCGGCTTCCACGCCGAGCAGTGCGCGGGTGAGTTGGTCTGCTATATTGATGGATGCCGGGAAACCGAGTTCCTTCTCGCAGTATTCTTTAAAGCTTACGCCGTCGAGGTCTTTGGCGCCCGGACTTGCCCAAGGGTCCTCAAGTCTGTGCGATTCGGAGAGCCGAGACCATCCGGGAAGGAGTTTTTCAAGGGCGGCTTTGGCACCTTGGCTCGTCTTCATAGAGTGGAATCAGCACGTTTGCTCGTGGAAGAAGAATTGATGGAGAAGATTGGGGAAAAGCAGGGATTGGTTTTCCATCCACGCACCGACGGTTCGCCATAGGCAGCAGCAGTGATTTTGCCGTCCATGTCCTGATACAGACTCTTCCCCTCGGCCCTCTGAAATTCGCCCTTCAGATGATACCTCTTGAACAGTTTGTACACCTCGGCTTGACTGGTGTCGTTGATCCACGCGGCGCCGAGGTCGTTGACGCCCACCCGACCAGGGACTGACTGGACACTGAGCGTCTTGCCTCCGACTCGGTCCATGGCCTCGACCACCAGGCAAGATAATCCCGCAGCCTGGATGCCGCGGGCGGCCTCCAGCCCGCTCAAGCCGGCGCCCACGACGATGACATCGGCGACGTTGGCAGCTGTTGCGGAATCTTGATGCACGGCTGCCATTGCATCGACCTCGAAAAGGTGTTCGGGCGAAGCCAGTGCCGGGACCGGGATCAGCGTGGACGGCGGAAGCCTGTGCAGGCCGCCGAACATGGCCTTCAATGCGTCCCCGACCGCCGCAAGCTTACTGGCCTCGTAGTTCACAATGTAGTAATTGAGCTTGGTGACCTGCGTGGGCGAAGCTCCTGCGGCAGCAAGACACGCTCCAAGATTGGCAAACGCCTGCGCGACCTGCTTGTCGTAGGAAGCATCCACGGCTCCTGAAGAGCCTTGTCCGACCTGTCCGGCGATGGTCACTATTCTGGAAGGGGGCTCGGCCGTGCTGATATGCGAGTAGCCCTGTGGATGACAGATGCTGGGCGGATTGGTATAAGTTGGTGTACTGGCCATTGCTGCTGCGGTTCTGGAGTATTCAATATGAAGAGGTGCGTATTGACCAAGTAGGTTCTCTTTTTTCTTTTCTACGAAGTACCCCAACGGGCTTCAAGTAGGATGGGTTACTGGACATCAACATTATATACGAAAAGATGCTCTATCTCCTTTCCCAGCTCCCGATATCAGGCCATGTCACTTGATTCACACCTCGGCATGGCGGATCTCATCGTGTCTCTGTCTGACGCCGAGGTTGGATAGTTGGATCAATCGCATATGGGCGAGTTCCCTTCTTCCCCTTGATGTCATTGAAGCGCGAGTCCCCTCTGGCGGGAGACTTGGAAGCATGCGGTTACACCATGACAACATATTACGGAATCGATCTTTGTCCCGTTTCGCGTTCTTCGGCGAGGTTGGAGGTATATTGTTAGCTCCAACACCACCAGGTGTCCACTTGACCGCGCTTTGATAAGGGTAGGTTCCAGTTGCCGACCAACTATTGAAGGCTTTTTTATGTTCTCTGGGACTGGGGACTGTTAGAAGCTACATCCAAAAAGAGCATACCGCCAAGGGGGATCACCGGCGCATTAGGAAGGGGCATGTACACCATCTCCATCCGCTAGTGCAAGAAGAGCTGTGTCGCGCTTAGGTCCATTTCCACCCTCACGGCCGAGGAGAGTAGTAGGCTCAAGGGGAGAAGCACATTCGTCAATATACGGTAAGCACCAGGCTAATCTGGTCTTAAGTCTTACAAATGCAGACTCTTCCAAAGATACGATCTCGTTAATGTTCCAAATCCTCACATTTTTTCATGCCATTTGCGTCAAAGTCTTCCCACGAGTACCTCGGTGGTCTGCACTCAGCATCGCGTTGCTGGAGAAAGTGTTCACTAACCACCCAAGGTCACAGCTGCCTTTGTTTCCCGAAAGCAAAGCTAACCTTTCAAAGGCCCACTCTGACAGCCAGGCTCTCGAGCTCTATTTGGGGTCCTCGGTAATGCTTCCTCGCGTACAGAATCCAATTGACAACACCCAAAATCCCTCCAATTCCGAGAATCGCCGAGGTGTAATCTGTTGACATCCCTTAGTTTTTGATCAATTGATCTTACAACAAAGCAGGTCATACTCATGTTTGACCCCGTCGCCGGGAGCAAGACGGGGAAGTTGAAAAAGAAGGTGGTCACCCCCGTACAGAGCACCGCCAGGACATTAACCGCCATTCCGAATCCCCGTGGTAGCGCAAACGCACGGCTTGGAGGCAAGAATTTTGCACTCCGCCCCCGGTAAAGAAGCAGGGCCAGAGGGATGAGGAACGAGAGTTGCTGAAGCACAATCGCCGAGTTGACCAGAGCATTGAAAGCTAGAAAGAAGAATCAACACATGGAATAGCGTCAAGTATGTTTTGTCTGTGGGATGCCGGGCTGACCTAAGAAGGCAAACAAACGAACGGAGGGACTTGCCTGTGCTGGAAGCCATAAATATGCATCCACAGACTGCCAAAAGCCCCCACGTAAGGAGCAGGCTCCAGACTGGGACCTGTAGACGAGGGTGTATCTGTTCCAACGAGTCCGAGAAGATTAGCCCGCCATCGCGAGCAAAGCTCCAAGCTAGTCGCGAAGTAGTTTCTTGGATGGCATTGAGAACGAAGAACGCCATGACAATGCCTCCACTGGTGATGGCTGTGGCAAAGTCGGCTGAATGAAGACACTGCTTCAATATTTTCAGCGGCGTATATCTGCAATGATATAAAGTTTAGCAGCCACATTGTCAAAGGTCTCAGAAACGTTGGAGCAGGACTGGTGGCTCACCCGGTCGAAGTTAGAACAGACTGGATATCTGTGATTCCATAAAGAACGGAAATTGTGTATGGAAATGCTGTGCAAAACCCGATGATGATAGCACTAGTCACGGCCTTGGGCACCGTACGAGCAGCATCTTGACATTCCTCCGCCAAATGTAAGGCTGCGTCCAGACCGATGAACATGAAGCAGGAGGTCGACAGACCCAAGATGAAACAGATGCCGTCGGGCCAACCCGTGGAGTTGATCCAGGTAGTCCAGACAAATGAGCTTGTAGCTTTCGGTCTTGAGCGTGATAGAATCCCGATGAAGGAGATCAAGAATAGCGCAATTGAGAGACAGACTGGAAATCGAAGATACATGGTCAGTATCTTATGGCTTTACTCAATAAGTAGAGGCTCCCAGCATCCACTTACAGCCCACTTCATGCACCCAGGGATTGCGCTTCAGTGCAAAGAGGTTGAATATGAGCACCGACAACGCAACTGCTTCGTAGATGAGGAATATCTGCCATGAATGCGGGGCAAATCCGGGGTTGTACGTGGAGACCAGGGCTGGGATTTGCTGGGCCGGAATCATTGTCACTGAACTTCCAAGTGCAATCCACGACATCAGCGATACGAGTCCACAGGCATACGAAATGCTCCGTCGTATGGAATCCGGGGCCAGGATGGACGTAAAGTGATACTGGCCTCCGGCGGTTGGATAGACGCTGGCGAGTTCAGCCATCGAGAGGGCGATGCAGAGGTAGACAACGCCGCTGATGAGGAGGCTGTAGATCAAGGTGACGGGGCCCCCAGCCAGCAATGCCAGCTGGATGCTACCGGAGACTCCAGCCCAGCTATTACAAATCACAAATGCCAGGGACACAATGGCGAACATGCCGAATTGTTTCCTTTTCGGCGCGATAGTGGGATATAAGCCATCGGCCGCAGTTGTGGGCGTATCTGTTGTTGACCCAGCTCTCTCATCTTTGGCTCGTTCCATTAGCCTTGTCATAAGGTGGTGAAGAAGAGAACTCACTGTTATCAATGCCGCAAGGGGATTTGATATCTGTAGAAGCCATCGTCACGACCAAGTCTTCCGAGTGGGGATGGACGAGTCTGTGCTTGCAGAAAATCAGTGGACCGGGTCAAGGGGATCCTATACTTATAGGTAAAGGGGCTTCTCTCGAGCACCCCAGCTTTGAGATGCACTCTGGGGCCTTCGTGCAGTAGAGATACGCCTTCATGTCTGTTAGGACGGCCGAGAATCACCGAGCACTGGTACAATACTCCCACAGGTGCTCTCAGGCGTTGATCTAGGCGGACACCTCTCGAAGAGGTCAATCGGGGCGCGGGGCAAATGAAGCCAAAAAGCTTCTAATGAGCTATTGATTAGTACATTCCCCAGATTATGTGCGCTGCGCCTCTTGTCACGAGGTAAGCGCGGTTTGATTCGATCGGGCCTAGTGTAATCGTCTGTCAACTTCCGATTGGTTATAATGACTTGACGACCCACTCTATATACAGATCCGTCAGGGTGCCGCTCGTCTGCAGCAGCACCGAGGTCTTCATCAACCTCAGCCAGGCCTTCCTTTTGACATTGCCACTCTATGCTTCACTCATCTTCTAATGCTTTGTAGCATGTCCCTCCGGGCCTTCTTATCTAAGCGCGCTTTGGCTGAGAGCTTATGGAGTGGCCACCGCTTCCTCCCCAGTCGTCGCATAGGATTTACGCTAGTTTTTGAGTTCCAGCTTATTGCTCGCGTAGAACTCCGCAGAAGCTGGCGCTTCACCGTGCTAGGCATCTACTGAGTCCGGAAGTGAGGGAGGTTTATCTTGTGCCTCGGTGAATACAAGTACAGCCTGAGGTCTGCCTGGGTTGGAGAAATGGGCAGCAATAACTTTACTACCAGCTCACAGATTCAGAGATCAACTTGTCTCGTGCCTTATTCCTCTTTTCCACGCCCGCTATGCTGTTTGACCGATACCTCGCCTGGCTGCTCGCCACTGTTCTGTATGCCGTTCGGGCTTCGCTCAGCCAGCAGCATGCTCCAACTGCAAGCATTGACGCTGGTCTGGTAATTGGAACTACAACTTCTGTCTCTGGCGCGGCTGCCACGGTCAACAAGTTTTTGGGCGTTCCGTTTGCCGCCTCGCCAACGCGCTTTGCACCGCCCGTCCGCCCAACGCCGTGGTCTGTCCCCCTCCAAGCCACGGCCTATGGGCCAGCATGTCCTCAACAGTTCAGCTATCCCGAAGTGGCCCGGGAGCTGCAGATGGCTTGGTTCAACACACCGCCTCCTCCCGCTGGCGAAAGTGAGGACTGCTTAAACCTCAACATCTACGTTCCAGGAACTCCCGGTGGAAACAAAACCGTCATGGCTTGGATCTACGTATGTCTCAAGATCGAAGCTTACCTGGGTGTTCCGTTAACGCTAGATGAAGGGTGGCGGCCTTGCATTTGGCGCCAATTCGTTGCAAATATACGATGGGGCAGACTTTGCCGCAAATCAGGACGTTATCCTCGTTGTCTTGAACTACCGAACGAACAGTAAGGACCATGTGCGAAGTTCTGACCCTTGGGTTGACACAGTGATGCCCTAGTCCTGGGATTTCCAGCTGCACCCCAACTTCCATTAACCGAGCGAAACTTGGGGTTCCTCGATCAAAGTGAGTATTCACAGCCGTAAATGGCCAGTACTGACGAAACTTCCTCAGGAATGGCGTTGGACTGGATACAACGAAACATTGCAGCATTCGGTGGAGATCCCCAAAAAGTCACCATCTTTGGGCAGAGTGCAGGAGGAAGAAGGTATGTACGGCGCATGACAAGTCCCCTCGGTAATGGCTGATTTTGTCCGTTACAGTGTTGATATTCTTGTGACATCTATGCCCCATAATCCGCCATTCCGGGCGGCAATCATGGAATCAGGAGTTGCCAACTATAATTTCCCCACCGGAGACTTGTCAGGTCCTTGGAACCAGACCGTTGAAGCCCTTAACTGCACCCACGCCACTGACCTTGTGAAGTGCATGCGAAAAGTTGATCTCAACACTATGATGAGCACGATTGAGCATCTGAGCATTGACTTCGAATATACGGTAATCCCTTGGCCATACTTTATTCGAGAAGTTCAAAAAGCTAAAGGTTATCCAGCTCGACAATGTGACGGCGCTGGCGTACTCCGAGGCCGCTCGCGAGAGTGGTCATATTGCCCATGTTCCTATCCTCATTGGCACGGTTGCCAACGACGGACTTCTTTTCGTCCTCGGTGATAACGATACACAAGCGTTCCTGGAGGATAGCATCCCGGACCAGCCTGCACTCTATCCGGCTATTCTGGACGCATATGCAATTGGCTCACCCGGGATTGGTTCCGTTCAAGATCAAATCTCTGCAATCGAGACAGAGGTGAGATTTCAGTGTCCTTCACGCGTCGTCGCTCGAGACTCCCGGAAACTGGGGCTTCCCACTTGGCGCTACTATTACAATGTCAGTTTTCCCAATATGGAACTTTTCCCCGGTTCCGGTGTGTACCACAGTTCGGAAGTCGAGATAGTTTATGGGACGTACCCTCGGGCAAATGCGACCTCGTTGGAAGTGCAGACAAGCAAGTATATGCAACGCTCGTGGGCGATGTTCGCGAAAACTCCCATGGCTGGACCGGGGTGGAAACAGGTGCCAAACGTTGCGGCAATCGGTTCACCAGGGAAAGATATGGAGGTAAATGTCCAGGACGCAGTGATTGACAAGAGATGTGGTCTATACACATCATACTACACCGAGTTGGGAACCATTCAGTCAAATGTCAACTAGATGTTGATTGCTCAACAGACACGACAAAAGCCAAAAAAATGTCCTGTTGGGCGATAAGTAACTTGAATCAAATGAGCTCTTGTGGAATTTGAACCCGGCGAGCACACTTTGAGTCACTGTATGTAACAAGGGTCTAAGTCCCCAGAAATACTCTTGGGACGGGTGTAACGGATATTTACCATGGAGACCATACTCAAGATTGTGCCTGGTCACTCAGACTTCGACGTTCCATTTCTAGCCAGCGAAGGTCGACCGACTACATCGTACCTTTGTTCGCGTTATCGCAGTCTAGCCCCCAAGGTTTTCGTCGGAGAAAGGAAACAATTTCGAGTTTTACCACCCAGATGGCGCCCGATTCCTACCACCAGCCGGTATCATTGATCGTTCTATCGTCAATATCCATAGGTGTAGCCGCCCTAGCAGCACTATGGATATTAGTCGACATTGTACACCGACGAGGGTGGAAATCTATGATGTTGATTATGATCCCAGTCTATACCATCAATGCACTTTACATATGGCCGATAACGGTTGGGGTATATTTGAAGTACGGCAGAGCGGCGCAACCTCGGCATGAACGTTCAGCCAGCGATTCCAGTACCCTGAATGAATCGCTCACGCCCCAGCCCGGTCGCAATCCTTCAGATGGAACCAGAGAAATGAAGAAAGAGGAATCGGCAAAGGATGATCCCGACCACGGGGAGAGATGCCATCACTCGGGGGAAAGACCAATATTCGCCACCGCCACGATAGCCGTCTGCCTCTGCGGCGCTGCCTGCGTGCTCGGCGACATCGTCGGGGAATGGTTGGTGTACGGGACGGAGGCGAGAATAGGAGCTCCCGGACGACTACTTTGGACCGAGTTTCTGGTCAAGGAGAATCGTTAGAACTTCAAAAGCTCTGTTAGTTCACCAACATGGCTGAGTGCATGCAGCGTACGTAGTCACGTTGCTCAAGTGGTAGGGGCCTCCCACCTGGACCAGCCATCTTTCCCACCTCAATTTTGTTCTCGTGTGTGATAGAAACCCATAGCTTACGGCAGGAATGTGAACAATTCGCAACACTAGGCCCAGTATTCGAGATTCTAGCAGATTTCAATTCCCAACGGGAAACTTTCTAACAGAGAGAAATCTCGAGCCGTCATTTTCACAGTTACTGTCAACTGACCCTCCAAAGCCCCCAAAACAGCACGAGCGGTCGATCATCACGTCGGCACTCACCCTTTACTAACCAGAACGCCGGAAACCATAGCCTAAACCGACTCCAGCTCTTTATTGTGGAAACTACAGGGCATTGACAAGGATACGTGTCACGCTGCTACACTTTATGACGAGGTAACTTCCGTATTTTCCTTTTGTTATAGAGTTGTTTAAAACTCTGACACAAGGAGGTGATCTTACACAAGTACTCGGTACAGAAGGACTGTTACGAAAGCCGCCGCCCTTTTTGTGTTGCAACTCCTAGGAAGCAGCTAAGTATTAACAATACTTCTCGCCGCCGCTGTCGTTGCGAGGGGTTACTTGTTTCCCATCATCTGCGCGCCGGTGACGTTCTACCTGCTTAATGGGAGTTCGTCGATCAAACCCTCCAGCACCTTTACAATGATTTAGCCTCCATGGTAGCATCCTTAGATTCAATTGAATCATCATGCTCCGTATGGTGTCGGATCTCGTTGGCGGCCTGGACGATAACGTTTTCCCGGTAATGTCCCTCCTTGAAGCGTCGGTGGATAGCTTCTTCCTCGGCATCCTCTAAAGTAATGTTGTCGCCAAAGATCTCGGCGATGTCTTCGAGAGACCTCCCCTTGGTCTATCGAAAGTTAGCCACATAATGTCCAAGCTATGAGAAACAAGAATAGGATGGAAAAACGTCATCCAGAGAAACAAACTCACCTCTGGCCAGTAAAACCAGGCGACGAAGAAGAAGAAAATAGTGACAAAGGCACCGACAAGATAGTAATAACCGTTGATATGGGCAAAGGCAGTGGGTGCAGCCTGCAGGAAGATAATCGTGGCAATGAAGAGACCAGAGATGGAGATTCCGATGCCTCGGGCTCGAAGTGGCGTCGGGAAGATTTCCGCGGTATAGATGTAGGAGGTAGCATCCACCGAGACACAGAAGCAGGCGATGTGCCAGAACAGGAAGAAGACGGCGGCGGCGGCAACGGAGCGGGACTGGCCATTGTTATTGTAGACAACGACCGTCGCACAGGCTCCCACCAGAGCGGTAACGGTGCCCGCAAATCCAAACACTAGACCCCCAAGATCAGCTCCAGATTTCCACCTCTCAATACTTTGGAATAGACACTTACTCAATAGCCTCGTACGGCCTATTCTATCCACAATGAAGGCATTGATGAGATTGCCACCGGGACAGACCGAGATCCAGCCGGCCTGAATCAAAAGCTGATCGACAGTGCTGAAGCCGAGTCCCTTGTACAGAATGGGTCCGTAATCTGCAGGAGGGAAAATATTAGTCCCAGGGGGTTGCGATCGTCAGATGACGTGGGGTATAGAAACGTACTGTTGATGACGAGAGTAAATGTTCCTTGAGCCGCGAACATGACACCGAACCCTACCACACACCTCTTGAACAAGTTTGGTCGGGTGAAGAAGGCGCTGAGAGGAACATCGTCTTTCATCTCCTGGGCCGTCTGGGCGGCGAGCAGACGAAACTCCTCCTTGACGGCGACTTCGTGCTGGTCATCCTTAACCTTGACACCGCTGTCGTGAACCCTGCGGAAAGCCTTGAACGCGTCGTCTTTGCGACCCTTGGCGAGGAGCCAACGAGGCGATTCTGGAACAAATGGGAGGGCAATCATCAAGCCCAAGGGCCAACACATCTGGAAACCCAGGGGCCCTCTCCACTGGTTACCACCGTGGACAAAGTAGAAGCCGACCCCGATCCAACTGGCAGATGTATAGCCAATGCAGATCATGACTCCGTGCAAACCCACGAGAAATCCTCGCAGGTTGGTGGGGGAGACTTCACTCTGGTACAGCGGGACCAAGCCGACCAGAGCACCTGAGCAACGACCAGGGTTAGCTTCAAGAAGGACCTTGTAGAAAGGAAAATTAGGTGAAGATTTAGGTGGGCCATACCGATGCCGATTCCCGTGATTAACCTAGCAACGATAAACATGGCAACATCGACACTCCCCGTCTGCAAGGCGGCACCGACGAGGGAAAAGCTGGCACCGATCAATAGGGCGAATTTGCGCCCTATCCTGTCCGGGATCCACAGGGATGAGAGGGAGCCAAAGAGACCACCAATTTGGAAAAGAGCATTTATGGCTCCCTCGAGCTGAGTTGCGTTAGATGCCGTATCCAGGCCCATGTAGGACAGGAAACTCGGCTGTCCGAGGGTAGTTGCAATGATACTGCTGCAGTAGCCATATGTCATGGACCCAAGGGCCACTGCGAGGATAAGCTAGAGGGTGAACAGTCAGTGGGCTGTGGTCAAATTTTGCAAGCACGAGGGCCCAGTTGTGGCTTACTCCGATCTGGAATGCAGACACCATTTGGGCAGCGTGTCGTTTTGGGTGTTGCTGAAAGATTCAGGATGTAGGCACCACTAGGTCCACGAAGGTTCTTTTTTTGGAAAGAGATGAGGAAAAGAGCAAAGGGAATCTATGACGATCAGAAGGGCAACATGGAATGTATATACACAGTAAGACCGTGCATTAGGTACCTGCAACACCACAACCGCCTCACTGGGCCGACCGGGCTCGGAGACCATTCCCCAGGGTGGAGCTTGACATAACATCCGTGAACGGAGCGGGAACCGAGACTCTGATTCGCAGGAATGGGTTCCATCTGCTCGAGAAGGGGGGCGAATCCCCCTTCCCTCTCTTCAAGCGAAGGCAGCGATGCAGCGCCCACGTGGCTCACGCTGTTCAGTCTGCTCGGGTACGTCGGCCCACAATGCCGGGTCTCCAGGCTTCTTTCTCATCCCCAAGTTTTCCCCAGAGGGAAAGTCCTCAGGTTTTGTGGAGTAGGGCTATCCTCCAGGACCCGCCGGGCTCCCGGGCTGTGATTAGACGTGACTCTCGGGGTTGTAACGCCGATATTATCGCAAGCCCCTTACTCCTTATCACGGCTCTCCTCCAGATGCTCCTATCTCGCTCTTCCCCACAGACCGAGATTACGCCCACTCCGCCAAAGAAGCTTCCCCACCCGGAACCGAATCAGAGGGACGACTTATGCGGCTCTCGAGTGACCGAGGGAAACAGAGTAAGAAACCGTATTCGCTGCGACCAAGGTGAACTCGAAGCAAAAGAACTTGTGACACACCCGCAAGGTCAGGCAAGTGCAGCTTCGGAAAGCAGGGCATCGCCACATCTCCACAGAATCTCTGGCTCCAGTCCAGAAGAATTCCCTCCCTCACTAGCCACGCGTGATAGTGGCAGCACCTCTGTGGTGTCTTGGTCGATAATTCAGCGGGCTGCCATATAGATAAGATTGCTTCTGATGAGGACCAGCCGGATCCGGATTTTATGGCTTGGTTTTCCCAGGCCCGGCAACCCGCCGGTCGTGGTTCGAGTCATCGGAGAGCATACACAGTACGGAAAAAGACCGATCAGAACAGGTACCACGACTGAGAGTCATATCATATTTTAGCATGGAGACGCCTTGAAGTGATTCGTCACATACCGGTAGAGTACCTGGTAATTTACTTGATTGCGCGCGAATGGTCCCCAAAAAGGCGTGAAATCGTTGCCCAAGCATACGATCCACTTCCCCACTCAGAAGGCTCCATGATTTATCCCTTCATAATTTTTGTTTTTGTTTCCTCCGTCCGCTTCTGGCGGCAACCGGTGTAGGAGAAGGACATTCTCCGATTCTCCGAAAACGGACCTGTGAGCCGATATCTGTGCAAAGGACTACATGATAGCTCCGACTACCTGGTGGCCTAGACCACTTAAGCGGCCTCAGTGTTTCTCCTTCGAACCTTCAAGTTTGCAAATACACGGACATGGCTGAGAGCAAAGTGACGGCGCGAAAAGTCCTTTCGGTATAGTCGTCTACAAGATGACTTCAAAGGGCAAAGCGCTATTTGAGAACATACCATTATTCCCATGTCAGCAGGCGGAAAATCAATGATTGACTGCCTGTCATCGTCGAATAAACAGCTGCTCCTATTGCGGGTTCTGCAGGAACATCGCGCTCGCAGCCAAAGTCAGCCTGGCTCCCTGCATATACACGCAGGTCATTCGCCTCTTCTGCAAGCTACCGGCCACGAACCATTTCCTCCGCTGTATCATCCCTTGTAAGGCCACAGTCACAACCATTCCTCTACGAAGCTAGTGTGCATTGTCATACCTATCAGCGGCTGCTTCAGACCTCTTTGTTGGGATGGCCATGGCGGATCTCGCTCATCCAACTCCACGTCTCTCTTTGGCTGCTTGTAGCCTGTGGCACGTGAACATGAGTTTCAACAGTCATCATATCTGCGTACCTGATTGTCAGCTGCAGCAGTTGCACTGTGGGTCTGGCGCCGGCGCCGGCTCCCGTGAGGCCTCCCTGACCATCACATTGACTGCAGGCTCGGCAGCCCTATCAGGAGCTGGCATCGGTTCTGGCTCAGAGTCGCGGGTCATCGCCTGACCGTCCACTATCGCGTTTTGCTTGGTAATAGTCTGTCTTTGCGTCAGTATTGTCGGCGCAAAGGAGCGCATGGAATGCGCTAACTGGCTTGGGTACTGCAGCAACTTCCATCGGTCTCTTCATCGCCTGGACTTGGTTGTGGAGCTGGAACAGGCTCTGGAGCCGGCTCTGGCGTAGGTGACCTGACCAGAATTGCATGTCGAATAGCGGCCATGAGGTCGCGTTTGGGTTGATTATACTCTGATACGAATCAGTTTCACAGCCACCATGATGTCTTTGCAAGTTGGCTTACCGTCCTGGCCGCTGCCACAGTTTCCACGCTCATCGAGTTCCTACGGAAAGCTGTGTCCCGTCTGAACAACAAGGGCAGCTACTGCCATAAAAGCAGGGAGGAACTTCATATTGAACAAATTACGCAGCGAGCAAAAGCTGAGACGCGATGAGAAAAGTAAAGTCCGAGGATCTTGTTTTCCGAGTCGTTGAAGGCAGAAACTGATGCCTGGAGGTGCACGTCACCCACTGCCTCTTCTACTGGAAGAAGATCCATCGACAGAGATACACCGGCGTGATGATTGAACCCCGGTACGACAAGGAGAGCCACGTGATGCATTGCTTAAACGCGGTCTTGCATCCCCGTTGGACGACTTACTCCGGCGTGGCTCTGAACTCGTGAGCTGGTGCCTTCCAGAAGACTGGAAATGAAAACCCTCGAGGAATAAATCAGCGGGAGGTGCATAATCTTACGTATCTCAACGTGTATCTTCAAACGTAGAGTCAGTATGGAGGGCTATGGTCCGAGCGCGGCGTCAGCTCAAGGCAAGACATACCTATTGCCTACCTAGGTACCTAGATACCTAGGCAGTGTCAAGATCTATTTCATGCACATATACCTCGCACCTCGTATCGTGAGTCGGTTATCTCAGTCTGAATAGAGTGTTTGGCATGTTTGGCATGTTTGGAGTGTTTGCGGCATTTGGACACGAAGGGAAATCCTCCTGCGCCGAAGCTGCACCTCCACCTCTTCATCTCCGTCTCTGCAACTTCATTCGCGACCGTCTTTTCTTCGGCAACATCCACCTCCACCTCTGTCTCGCAAACGAGGATCATTCACCCCTAAGCAATGTTGTCCACTGGCTCATATCAACGAAAAGCTTTGCTCGGCATAAACAAGCCATGACTGTCTAACTCGCGCGCCTCCACGGTGGAGAATTCGTCCTGATAGACAACACCTCTAGCTCTTGACCAGCCTACAGTCCTCGCCACTATTGCTACCCTCAACTTTTCATTAGCTTCTTGTGGAGGAGGTTGAATCAGAGCCAGACATGACAACAACCTAGTGTATCTGCTTTGTTGGGGAGGGTATTTGCCTCAGGCTGCGTAAGCTCTGCTTTCCATAAAACCTCCGGCATGCGCTCCCCTTCTCCTCAACATGCCGCCCTCGAACTCGACGACTTTGCAACGTCCTCTTCGGATGGGCTTTCACGCCGGGAAGCCGCCGAACCTCTACTGTCACAGTCGAAGGATCTAGTTGGGTTGCCGTCCGAGATCCCAACTATGCCCAGATTCCATAAATCCACGGCTGCTCGCCTGCTCTCGATGCTGCAGACAGAATCGGAGCCTGGCCTCACAAATGCTCAACTGATGCTCACCAATCATGACTTGAAGCCAGTTGAGCCACAGCGACGCCAGTGGACGGCTTGGAGTTTTGTCGGTATGGGATCTCGCAGGCGGCTATGGTTGTTCTCACTGACGCACGCCTTTCAGCCTTCTGGATTGCCGACTCGTTCAACATTAACACCTGGATGATTGCTTCAACCTTGCTCACCTCTGGCCTTGCCTGGTGGCATGCATTGATTTGTATCCTGATTGGGTACTCGATCTCTGCCATGCTGGTCTGCTCGACCGCGCGAATAGGAGCCACCTATCATATCTCCTTTCCCGTCGTTTGTCGCGCATCCTTCGGTATCTGGGGTTCGCTGTGGCCGGTCTTCAATCGAGCCGCCATGGCCTGTGTCTGGTATGGCGTACAAGCTTGGATCGGTGGCCAGTGCATCACTTTGACGATTCGGTCGATCTGGCCCTCCTTCTATACGCTGCAGAATGGTATCCCTCATTCGGGCACCAACACAAGGGACTTTGTGGGGTTCTTCATTTTCTGGATTGCATCTCTCCCTGCAATCTGGTTTCCCGTCCACAAGATTCGCTACCTCTTCATCGTCAAGTCCTGCTCTGTGCCCGTAGCTGGACTTTCTCTTTTTGTGTGGGCGGTTGGCCGTGCACACGGCATGGGTCCGATCGTGAAAGAGCCGGCGACTGTCTCGGGCTCTGCGCTTGCACGGGGTTGGCTGGTCGGCATCATGAGTTCTATTGCCAACTTTGCAACGCTGATTGTCAATAATCCGGATTTCTCCCGTTTCGCCGGAAAGCCACGAGATGCTCTTTGGACGCAATTCTTCACCATCCCCATTGGGTTTGTTATGACCTCTTTTGTAGGTATTATTGTGACCTCCTCATCCAAAGTCATCTATGGTACAGCCATCTGGAACCCCTTGGACCTCCTCTCTCAGTTTCTTCTGGACGACGCTACGTCAGCTGAGAGATTTGGCGTCTTCATGATTGCGCTCGCTTTTGCCCTTGCCCAGCTTGGAACGAACATTGCGGCGAATAGTGTTTCAGCAGGTACGGATCTGGCAGCTTTATTACCCAAGTACCTCAACATCCGCCGAGGAGGCTACATCTGTGCAATTATCGGCCTCTGCATGTGGTAAGGCTCGACCCCGAATCGCAATCCTGTTGAGGAAACTATGTTTGCCATAATCCCGTCCTTTATCCAGACAATCCCCTTCGATGCTAACGGCAAAACAGCCCATGGAACTTGTTGAAAACGTCGAACAATTTCACGACATACCTGTCAGCTTACAGCGTCTTCCTGTCTTCGATTGCGGGCGTCATCATCTGCGACTACTACCTCGTGCGCAAGGGCTATTACTCGCTGAGAGATCTCTACTCGGCTGGGGCAGGCTCACCATATTACTATCAACTCGGCATATCATGGCGGGCATACACTTCGTACGTATGCGGCGTCCTCATCAACGTCGTTGGATTTGCTGGTGCGGTTGGTGCCAAAGTACGTTCGTTCCCTGTCCGTTCTCTCGTGTTATGTCTCCTGCAATCCGTACTACCAGGATGAAAAAAGAACTAATTCGTATTGTCCCTTGGAAAGGTGCCTATGGGCGCGAAGTATATCTACAGAGTGGACTTTTTCGCTGGGTTTGTGGTCTCCTCAATCGTGTATTATGTCCTGTGTTTGATCAAGCCCGTCCCCGCGACGAGCTCCGTGTGGTGCGAAAAGGGTGACGAAGCTGATGACCGGTTCAGCGTGGTCAATCCGCTGGATGCAGGATATGAGATATCTGATTATCCTGTATAACGTGAGGCCGTTGCCTCTCAGACAATCCGAATTCGCGGCGGATTGCTTGATGTTTAAATTCAATTGTGGAAGCCTTGTATGCAGGCAATGGTCGTTGTGGAGCCTCGCCACGAATGTGCTTTCCAAGGTTAGGGAGGTGGTACAGGGTTGGAAGAGGGCTCCAGCTGCTTGCATCCGGACCCCAAACACTTCTGACGGACTAAAAACGCCAAAGCCGTCGATTTTGGCGCAAAGCAGACTCTGTGCCTTTGTCAGTCAGGCGCGCTCTCAGATATGCTATTCTATCCGCAACTGCTCTTGCTACAGTCCTCTTCGAAGGACAGCTTAGTCCAGAGAACAGCCATCAATCTCATACGGTAAGACCAAGCCGGAGGAATCGTCGCCAACAGCACCGGTTAAACGAAGCCCAGGATAAGGCTGAGTCGGAAATCTGCCTTGCCCTGCCAGCCAATGTCCTGCAGAACGAAGTGCATTGGGCCGAAAGATGCGAACCCCTCAAGAAGAATAAGCGAGCGCCTTCGGAATACTTGTCGAATAGGACTGCGGAGGCTGTGTTTTGTGGCTTCCTTGCTTCTTTTTCTGCCGGGACCATACTTCTTCATCATGTTGTGCGAGGACTGGCACAGAAAGAGACATAAGTGTCGAGTAGCCACCGCGAGGCTGATACACAGGTTTTCTTCGTACGAAGGAATCCAGTCTTTTCTCAGCACGAGGGAAAATCCGGCAGAAATAGTCTCTGACTCTCTTGGAGTTCAGCTTTCTGACAGTACTCGCTCTCAGCCTCATCGCTGTTTGTCATTGCCCGCCATCACATATCTCAGCTCCACATCAGGCTTTCCTTCCTCGGGTTTCAACGCGAGCAAGCACCTGCCTAGGCCCTAGAACGTCTTCAACATGTCCGCTCCTGCACCGCTTGATGCGGAAACTAGCTCCAGCTCCGCCGCCGACGACCACATCTCTCTGCCTCTGTCGCCCGGTTCGCTTGTCGGTATACGTACACCAAATGCCCAAGATGAAGACCTAGAGAGAAATGCAGCCGCAGTCCTGCCTGCACCATCGGAGAACCTGTGCAACAATTTCTTCCTACATGTTGTTGACATGCCATTCGACGGTAGTGACCCTACGGACGTCTTTCTTGCTAAGGATCCTGCAAAGGACATCAGCACATCGTTGCGAACTCTGGGGCAACATCCAGAACATGTCACAAGAATCTTTGACTACACCATTGACAAAGAATTAATTCCCCCAGAATACGAGGGCCCAATTCGGCAAAGTTTGATCGGGCATATCGCCGACGCATACGGAAAGATTCATGGTGACCTGGAATTGATGACCAGCAGCAGCGATAGCACATACGAATCGGGTTTTCCAGCGACAGATATTGACGCCATATGCTCGCAGCTAAATCAAAAATTGACGTCTAATCGGTTGGATAGGATCCGGACTCGGACCACACTCTGCCGTGACGAGGTCAGTGGTCAGCTCCAAGCCAGGAACTCTTCCTTCTGCTGCGTTGAAGTCGAGGGAAATCGCCTCCTCGGTATGTTTTTCGGCCTTCCTGTTGGTCGCTACCATTACCTAACGCAGGACAGTGATGATAGTGAACTATAGCAAGGCGTCGTTTACGTTTTCATCCCGAGCGAAAACCTTCAATTTCTCGAACCCCCGTCTCAAAGACCGACTTCTATCCCGCCAAGGGTGGGCCAGGCTGGTAACGGGGGCACCGAAGATATGTGCAGCCGCCCTCACTCCGGACTTTCTCCTCACGTCTGTGCACATGCAACCCGCGAGATCCTTTGATTATTTTGAAATAAATAGGGAACGGCGTCAGCTTCTCCCTATGTTCTTGGGTATCCCTCATGCTTACAAAAAAATTCTCCGCGGGTCGGACGCGGAAGTCGCCTACCAGCCTCAAACATGTGCGGGGATTCTACAAGACGTGCAGGACGTTACAGAGGCGATTCTTTTCCTCCTCACTGTTCTCAACCTAGTCTCGTCTGGTAGTCAGATCAACTTCGAGAGCATTCATAGAATGCAATATCTGAAGATCAGGGAGATATGCTCCCAACGCCGCCTCAATTGCGAGAGAAGAATCGAGCGGATCAGTCGAACCCTGGAAACGCGGAACAAGCTTCTGAGCATGCGCGAATCCACGAGTGTGAAGAGGTTGACAATCCTCGCGGCAATATTTCTCCCTGCGTCTCTGGCCTCGTCCTTTCTCAGCATGTCGACAAGGTTTCACGAGCTCGGCCCCATCCTCTTTGACTGGCTGGGCGGCTTCGTCCTCATCAGTTCGGTCACCGTTGTCGTGTACTTTGCCGTCAAGGTGATATTGCACCTCAGATCCAAAGGCTGGCGGGTATACCGGCCACGAAGGGCTTATTGGGCCATCGGCGGCAAGTTGGATAACGGTCTGGAGAAGCTGGGTGCGAGGGTATCGGCCGCTCTCCAGCTCTCATTGCACCTGTCTATCTGGGCCCTCGTTTTGGCCTCCTTTATTTTGGGCATGTTTCGGAGCATCAGTCTTGGTAATGAAGTTTTGTTCTATGGGTTTTTCGGTACCTGCGGGCTCTTTGTTCTTCTCATAATGGTTGACTGTTCGGCCGTAGTGATCCGAGTGATGAGGAGGATGACAAGGGGTTAAATGCAAGGCTGTAAAAAAAAATTTTGAAGATAATGCTTCTCATGAAAATATGTGCCCTACCGCCAGCTACCCACCCGTCTTTCTATATATGGACGCATAGTGTATGAAGTATGTAGAATCATAGCCATTGATGATATCTCGCAACGGATGGACGGGCCGAAACACGCCTCCGAATGAGAATGGGAAACCCAAACACGCGCCACGTTGGAGAAACGCAATAATCAGGATCGGAATCATCAGATGTCGATATCGATATCGATATCGTCGTCAAGGACAAGTATTCCAGGCAAAACGTCAGGAGGGATCCTTCGGCGGGGGTCAATGGGCAAACGTAAACGTCCAGTATTTCAACATCTCACTTTTTCACATTTTTCACAGAGTACTTGTCTCTCTCTCACACACACAACCACTTAGCCTGGCAGCGGAGTCAATTCAACTCAAATCAATCATCCAGGCCCCTAGCCCGTTCCTTCGCCGAGAGCATCTCCCAGCCCGTGGCGAACTTTCCCCCCTTTCCCTTCTTGCGCCGGTTCCCCTCTTCCTGCGTCTCTTCGATATCGCGCACGGCGGCGAAGAGGTCGTACACGATCTTCTCGTCCACGGCGCTGTCGCCCCGGTAGGACGGGTGGGTGCGGACAAACTCGCGGATCCATTTGGATGCGGTCCACAGCGTGCCGTTGGCGCGTTTGCGGATCAAGTCCAAGTACACGGCCAGGTGGCAGCGGGTGTCGACGTCGATGTTGACGCTGTCCAGGTACGACTCGACCAGCGGGATCAGGCCGGGGAATCCTCCGTCGCCGCTGCCGTTAATGACCTCGTTGATGCTCATCAGCGTGTACTCATCCTCGACGGGGCCGAATGCCGATTCAGCACCAGACTCTGCTGTTGATGCTTGCGCATGGTATCCTGACCTGTTCGGGTTCTGCTGCTGCTGCTGTTGTTGTGCTTGTTGTTGCGGCGTTGAGTCCCCGCTTGACGCAGGCTCGCCGCTGATCCCATTCAATACAGGCGACTGTTTCGGGCTCTTCCCGGGGAACGGATCCTTTCTGAACCAAAATTTCTCCTTCATGACCGCATCCCGGATGTGCGCAGTCTCCATATTCTCCGTTGTCCGCGCGATCGGGATGTACAGGTTGAGGTCGAAGCTCAAAATGGCGCGAGTGACGAGGACTATGAAGATGGCAAACGCCGCGTTCTCAAAGTCTGTGATTTGGATCTCCATGCTTCGGAACTCGACGCGCCAGCCGATGTCCGCCTCTGGAGGAGGGGGCTTGAACCGCATGTGCTGCCAGTTCGTGCTCTGGATGTTTTCGAAATGGTTCGAACCCTCCGGGTCGAGGGCCTTTAGGTCTTCGGAGAAAATGACGATGGGGTCGCGGATGAAGAGGTGCGCGAAGTGCGTGGCGAGAAGGTCGTCCATGCCTCCATCGAGTAGCTTCTGTTTAAGTTCTTCGTTGACAACCAGGTCAGGGTCCATGTATTCGGGCCGCAGGCGGGGATCTTGTGCGATGTATGTGCTATTGCTGGCATATCGGGACTTGGGTATTCGCCACCGATCGTTTTTCAGGGGCACCTCGCCGAGTTCTTCAGCGGTGCGGTCGTCGACCGCTCGAGAGATTTGGTTCCATCGGACGTCCGTGTCAACCAGGAAACCTTTGTAAATCGGCGTGGCAGCGGTCAACGCCAACATGATCGGACCGAGCGGGGAGAGCTGATCGTAAAGGGTCCGGCCTTCACGGATATTCTTCGCTTGAAACGTAATCTGCAAGCAGCAGCTACCCATGCCAAAAGCCATGGCATCCATGTAGACACAGTCCGGCTTGACAGCGCCGTTGCGCACATCGTCGTCTTCGGGCCATTTATGCAGGTCGTAGTTGACCGTTGGATCGTTGAAAGGAGACGGCGTATTTTTATCCTTGAAGACCGGGACGTTGAGTTCTACTTTCCTCCCCCTCCGTGACCGAATGTTGGCAGCCAATGTTGGGAACCGAATGTGCGGATTGGCGATCTCGTCCGGGACGAATTGTGATCTCAAGGCTGGGCCGGAAGGGGGGTAATCCGGCTTGATAGAGTCGGGTAGTCCCAGGCGAGGGAAGGTCGTTAATGTGATAGGGAATTCATTAGATTCCATGTGGTTGGTGGCGATTTCGCGCCGAAGTCTCATGTCGGGCTCGACGTCGAGTAGATCCTTGAAATCGATACCCCATGGCTTCCCAGGGGTAGCTTCGAGCATGAAGCGACCAAACTCCGGATGGAAGGTCGGAAGTGCGCCGCTTCGACTGGGATCAGCAGTCAGTGGAAGACCAACAGTGGGCAAGCAAGGACCGTGGAGTACTCACACAACGCCATCTTGTAAATCAGGTACGACGACATCTTTCTTCGACAACGCCTCGTCCCTCGCTAAAGATTTTAGGACATCGGCCTGGCAAAGCGACAACCGAACCTTTTGATGTTCTTCATCGATTGCGACAACGAGGTACTCGACCTGGATGTGGATGGAGGGGGATGTTCAGTAATACGGACGGAAATCCGGCCGAAGGAGGGGAAAACCATACCTCGTCACCCCAAAGGAGGGCATCACGCTCTTTACCCTTGGCCTTGCGCCATATTGCGAGCAGTTGCTTGGACGGGTGTTAGTAGGTAGAAGAAGGGGATCGAAGTAAAATTACGGGCACTTTGTGCCTCTCGTACCTCGATGCCCCATTCTCGGACCTGGTTCGCGGCCTTTTTGGCGTCTGGCCAATCCAAGGCCGTTCCTAGAGCTCTGACATTCCGTGAATAAGGTGGCCATAGGGAGAAGAGACCGGAGCAGGATTCAAGAATCTTGAGTACCTACAAAAGACCCATATTGAAAAACAAGTCAAGTATAGTTCAAAATGTAAGAATGGCTACTTTCGGAAGTCTCGCCGTAATGAAGCCGGGGGGCAAAGAATGATCAGAGAGAGTAGGAGAATCAAAAGATGGGAACGATCAACCCTAAGTTTTGCGACTCGACTCTGGGGTGACCAGCCAGAGCGATGGTGCCACTTCCGGAGCCATCTAGAGGAGATACATGGCGTACTTCAAGAAGAGTAACAAACTATCGGTAATCGGTCGACACTTTCTCTTTTTCCCCAATTGAAATGTGAATAGATGATGTTCGTCTCGAGAATGGAAAGAGTCTCCGATTGCCGAAATAGAACGTCGGGCCCGACTCTCGACTGGCTGACTGACTGACTGGTTGTGACGTTTTCTTATGCAATTTTTTTTCTGGTCAGGGCGCAGTGACTAAACGGCAGATTTCGGGCGGAAACAGCCGCAGTGTGTGGGAGAGAGGGAAAACTCTGGCTAGTGGTGGGTTTGGGAGAGAGCGCCCTCGACCGTGGGGTTGAATTGGCAATGGAAAAGACTCTATGAGGATGGAGAGAAGGCGGCAAATGAGACGGTCTCCATATTTACAACTTGTAGGCCGGAGATCTCGCGTGGTACGCCATCTCACATTGTGCGAGGGTGTGATGACGAGCTTCAGTCAAGGTCAGAAGCGAGGTCGTACTGATCGCATTGATGGCGGATTCTTCAGAGACCTGCAATTAGTCATCATCAGCTGTGCATTGGGTCGTTGGCGTGGAAAGACAAGGGATGGGTAGAGGAGCAGTTCTATGAAGTGAATACTAGTAGCATTCTTCCAGATGCCGCTGGGCGCCGGTGATATCCGCGGAAAAGACTGCGACCTTGGTGAGAGATGGCCCAAGGGCGCGCCTACAACGCTTGTCAGCTCAACCGCGTATTTGCTTAGGCCAACCGTGATGCATCTGGGCAAACAGCGTGGGGTTCTCGCATTGTGAGTTGCATACCACTTCACCATGTCCAGAAATCTACTGCGAGGCGAAGACTTGATGTGAGCATCTATTGTGAGAAACTGGAGCCTGGTAACGCGGTCACGTGATGCTAGTTTTCTGCCAGAAGGGTGGCATATGATCAACCCACGAAGCTGGCCTTGTCTTGAATAGCAGATTGCTTTCTCTTTGGTCGGATCAATCGTCCTCATACTAGCTGTCCCTGCCATAGCACGCTGAGAATATCCCATGTACACAGTCTGAGGGAGTCTGTCTTGGCCGTGACCGTGTATGTTATCGCTCCCTTGTAGACGCCTTCGAGAGTGCATGACCACGGAACTCTTTCCCATATATACAGCCGAGGACTCTTGCGAGTCTCGGATTTCATTTTTGTTGTGCTCGCAGCATTCCCTCTATTTCTCCGCCGCAGCCTTGGCCGCCCGGATTTCGTCCATCTTCGCAACCCGCTTCTTAAACTCCTCGTATTGGCATTTCTCGTAGCTATGTCGCTCGGTCTGTTGGCCACCAAGGAAAGGTGTAGAACCACCGGTTAGCATATGTCCTCGTCGAACTTCCAGCGTCCATCCAATGAGCATCCTTTGTGGTTGGGCGGGCAAAGCGAATGGCAAAACCCACCTCACACTTCCAGGGCAGGTACCAAGTCTCGTGTCGGCATTTATTGAGGGGTATCAGAAGGTTTGCGCAGCTGTCTCGGTAGGCGAGGGGAAGCCTGGCTTCGGACATTGCTTGTCTGGACGCTGGAGCTGTAGCAGGGAGAATGGCTGGGCTTAGCTTTCATTCCCAGTTCGTCTCATTGTACGGGGAAACGAGAGCAGGAAGAGTCAGAGGATGCATACCGGTACCGTCTCCCAGGCCGATGGCCTCTTTGACCGATTCTATGACCGCCATAGCGAATGGCGAGCCTCCCAATCAGTAAAAAATCGGAGTTGATGGCAAAGCATTGAGCTCTTTGACCTGCGGTTGATTCTCGAGGGTAGCTGCAATTTTGATCCGGCGGAGTATTCAGTTCAGTAGCGCATTATGTACTGTGGAGCAAAGAGTGCTATTAAAGCTCAGCTTGGAGTCTCCATTTTCCTAGCCACGTGATACCGTGCTCTATTCGCGAAATCGCCCCAATTTACGAGGTAGCTCGTCGTGCCCGTCCCCGATTCCCGAGTGGCTTACTCCCTGGATCTTTCTGTGGCTAGCTCACTCGATACGCGCATCTGGTTGTTGCTCTGGATGTGGCCAATCATGTACTTGGAGATTCCATAAGCCAACCTTTCTCGGAGAGTATTCGTACTACGAGCACATCAATCATTTCATTGATATGTCGTGGCTGAGCTTCGTCGGGCCTGATGACTCAAATCTCCTGTGCAAGTCTATTCTACAGCGAAACTTTTCTCCGTCAAGAGATAAATAGGTGCGAGCGACTTTCCCAGAATCTCAATGCAAGAAGACAGTCAAGCAATACGTCCTCCCACTCAGACCAAAAAGCCAGGTGCAGAAGAGAATCATTTGGCACCCATTTGGTCACGCTTTGATATCGACTTGGAAAAGGCTCTTACAGTCACGACAATGGCCATCACCGAATTCCAGGAGGTGAGTTCTCCCCCCTCAAACTTCCCTGCTGTACCTGTCCCATTCACTCTAACATGACATGAACGAAAAGAAAGTCTACTCCCACCTCGTCCTGATCCCCCCCGGCCGTGTAACTACATACGCGGCTCTCGCCCGCTCCCTGAACTCTAGCCCCCGCGCCGTTGGTGGAGCTCTTCGAAACAACCCTTATGCACCAGAAGTACCGTGCCACCGCGTCATTGCGAGTGACGGCTACGTAGGCGGATTCAAGGGTGATTGGGAAAAGGCGCCATCGGGGATCAATCAAACCATGAAACTGAAGTTGCTCAAGGACGAGGGCGTCGAGTTTACCAGCGAGGGCAAGTTGGTAGTCAGGAGAGGCGTCAATATATGGTATGATGGTCCCTGGGATTCCCAGAAGGGAAGTCAGACGTTAAAGACGACCATTGCGCAAAAGGACCGGGTATAATTGAGGTTGTTGACTTATTAATTTTGCTGTTTCATCTGTATCTGTTCTCAAAAACCCGCGCAACTCTATTGCATGGATATGCCAATTTCATATTCAAGGCTTGTTTGATACGCCGAACCAGTCCAACAGAATGCGCCCAACGCTTACATGCAAAAGAGAAGCCAATCCATTTCCACACCCTTTCCTTTAGACGGTCGACTCTATTTGCATCTCTCCTCCCCGCACAAATCAAGTTTGCGCAATCATTTTGCAGCTTTACAACAAGGTAGCGCCAAACAGCGTAAACATGGCCACGAGCGCACCGCAGACCAAAGGAGCAGCCGACATTTCGGGAATCGTCACGGAAACAGCCGCATTGCTGGTACCACTGCTGGTGCTAGAGCTGCCAGTTTGAGTGGCAGCTCCGCTGCCTGCGGTAGCGGTTCCAGTAGAAGCACCACCCGCATTCTGGGAGCCTGCGCCAGTAAGACCAGGTCCTTTGCCAGCGGTCGTACCTTTAGTCATGTACTTTTTCGCACCATCAGGAATGGCGGGGAGAGAATCATTCTCGACGAGCCAGTTGGGTGACGAGTAAGCAGGGCAGCCAGATGCACCGCCAGTCGAGTTATAGCCGCCATCACCTGAAGGGTTAGGGTTGGCAGCGTATTGTTTTTCGAGAGTGCCGAAATCGGGCAATTCAGTGACAGAGTTGCCATTGATCTCAACCAGCCCATAGTTGCTCGCCTCCTCCGAGTATTCATAGACCAAGCCTCCCGAGTAGACAGGGGTCATTTGGCTGCTGTAGAGAGCCACAACCTCGCCAAAGTCCCGAGTGTTGGTGTTGCAACCATACTCCGAAAGGAAGATGGGAATACCATAGCCCGTGAAGTTCTTGACCTTTTGGTCCCAGCCAGACTGGGTGAAGGACGAAGGATCGCACCAGGAATAGTCGTTGAAGGCGAAGAAATCCGAGCGCTCATCGTCTGTGCCACAGTTCATGTACTCGGCCATTTCCAAACGGTTCTCGGCCACATCGGCGGCAGAGTAACCCACAGGAATGGTCCTGTAACCCTGGGCTTGAATATACCCTCTGATGTCACGAGTGACAGCCTTGACGTAGGGCGCAGCTGCCGAGGTCGAAGGGTCGTTGATGACTTCGTTGCCAGAGAAGAAAGCCAAGGTGTTGCTATAGCCTTGGAAAGCGTCAATCGTGGCAAAGATGCTCTGGAGATATACATCGTTGTAGGATGGACCAGGGTCGGCTCGGTTCAAGGAATACTTGGGGGTGTTGACGTCCAAGATAAGGTAGATGCCAGCATCCGCCAAGGCATTCATGCATGTGTCATGATTTGCGGTATTGTCAACAGTGTAGACTCGGATAGCGTTGATTCCCAACTTTTGAAACTCCGGAATGTCTCTCTGGCAGCCGTCCGCGTCGGCGATGGGGTCTGCCACGTCGGAGGAACCACCGGGTTGATAGTCGACACCACGAATGTAAAATCGGTCGTTGCCAGCAAAGAATGCTTCATAACGGTCAGTCAGGGCAACAGACGCGAAGGAGACGCGTTAGAACGTACCATTTCCCTTGACAGAGATCGTAGGCAAGCTGCTTGCTCTTTTGACAGAAGCTGCAGAAGCAGCACCAGCGCCCAAAGCGAGGGTAGTCAAAGTTGAAGTGCGCATGACGAAATCAAGTGCTCTCCTTTGAAGTCTGTTTCGAAGAGGAATTCAACCAACTTGAAAACGGAGAAGAAAATTAACGGGAGTCGGGATCCAAGGGAGTGAGGAATTTCCCAACAGAAGAGACTGGGTATTAGAAGTGAGTAGAAGGTAGCGAAGGAGGAGCGACACCCAAACGAAGTGGTGACGGCTCTTGCTTTTTGTGATGAAGGATTGAGGGAAGGTGAAGAAGTCGAAGGGCAGGAAAAGAAGGAAAATATGCAGGCGTGCAAGTGCTGGTTGAAGAAGGCAGGATATTTCGAGACAGGGATGGTTCCATTGAGTTGCTGAATTGTCCGGTTTCCCTTTGTTTCCCCTGTCGCGGCTGTGGCCCTGTGCGGTAGGGCGGGGACGCCTCCCCATTGATGGCCCCCAGCCCCTGTTAGAATTGCCTTAGGTGGCTGTTAGGTGGCTGTTAGGTGCCTGCTAAGTGCCTGTTAGAGGAGGGTGGCGCACCACTCACATGCCTTTCCCTCCATCCCTCTCCCTGCCCTCCCGCAAACGACTTGCAGATGAAGCTCCTTGGATCGTCCCACTTCCACCTCGCGATGGAGCTCGATTGGCACATGTTTCGAATTGCGCACAAGGGGGTTTGTGAAGCTTGCTTTCCTGCTTTGATCACTGGGGGCACACAACCAACGACATTCGCTTCTGCTGATCATGTAATTCCGCTTCCAACCTCGACGATGCCTGGGTGTGGATTTCTTGTGCTCTGCTCAGGGTTGTCGCTTGATGAATGAATGGTGATCAAGGACGAAACCACTGGAGAAAGCCGCGTAGAAAACATGTTCAATGCTGTGTCTCGTGCTCCAGAAGAGCCGATCTCGTCTCGAGCAAATTTCCAGCATCCTTAGACGAGTCGAGCACTGCCACATTTATGGCTCGGGCCTTGTTTCAAGACGACTCCATTGCCTCCAGATCGGTCTCAGAATGCACTTAGAGTCACTCCCGCTTCTGTTCGGACCATGCTCCTGATCTTCGAGATCGTCAATTCCTCGTATGTCATTCGATGACCAGAAAATGATTAGCATGGGGGTGCCCGGCATGCATATATTACTCCAGGGAAACAGAAGTCGCACAAATGTCTTTGCTTCAAAAACAAGGGCCACTTGGATGTCCGTTAATCAAACGGCACCCACAGAATTCTGGGCCTTGGACCAAGTATATAGTTCAGAGAAGAGCCGCTGATGCGCAGGTATAAAGGTTGTCGCTCTTGTTTCTTTGTTTCGTCTTGATATAGGTAGGCTTCGAAATCGACCCTGCGAGTGGTGCGGGTGTTGCTCTGGGCATGTATGACCGTCTTCAGCGTCGATATCCAGCGTTTCAGACTCCCCCGTCCCAAGCGATGTCATCATTGCGAACGAATTCTGAACTGGATGCCAGTGTCGATGATGCAGAAAGCTGTCCAACAACGTCTTATACAAGTCAGAGAGAGATCACGTGGGCGTCAGCGTGAGAAATATTGCGAAGAAATTCAGTTGGACAACGTCGACAATGCGATGCCAGTCTTTTTGGTGACAAGATACAATCTGATTAATGTCCTTACACATCTGGTCACTATCTCAGTGCCGCACTATCTGTGCGTGTTGCAGCAGTCTCCAGTCGTCCAACTTCATCCATATCCTTCTATCCTTGCTGTTTACCAATATCCCTTCCATGTACACAGTGTGTATTCCCTTTGCCTACCAAAACTGTAAAGAAGCCAACTTCCAGGAGGAAGTGCTTGAACGCCCAAAGCTATGCCCGTTGCAGATTGCTGATCAAAGGAGAGAAATGCCGGTGCCGTATCGTCGTTATGTACGCTGAAAATCCCACGAAAACATCACATCAGCCGCCAGGAAACCCATCGGCGGAACTTGCTTTTATGTTGAGGACCACCCCAATTCTGCCTATAGCGCAAGGAAGAGGAATCCTCCCAGACCAGCAAATATAGAGGCGAGACCTCCCATTCTTATCGAAGAGCCACTATTCTGCAGTGAGGGGCTGCCGGTGGTGGTCGCAGCACCGGCGGCACCAGTGGCATCACCGCTGTCTGTCACGGGTGCATTGACCACCACCACTGATGTCGAGGTCTGAACAGTTCCGTCGCCGGCGGTTGCGAAGAAGAGCTGGGTGGAGGTGCTGGGAGTGAAGTGGACACTCAAAGCAGAGGAGGTGAGGGTCACCAGGCCGCCGCCGAATGTGCTGAAGACAACAGCACCATCAGAAGTCGCGACGGGAGTGGCAGAGGGCGGAGCCGTCGGTGGCACCGTCACAGTCGTGGCTCCTGGCACAGTCGACGCGAAGATGGCGGACGAGAGGATAGAAGAGACGCTGGCTGCCCGAGAGCTCGATTCCGAGGCGGCACTGCTCTGTGCAGGGGTGGAGGGTGTTGTCGAGGCCGAGGTAGTTGAATTGCTCGACTGTCTCTTCTTTGCTAGATGGACTAGTTTGCTTGCGATGACGGGGTTCTCGGAATGGACGTGCTCAATGGCTGCACGGTCCTTGCTGAAGACACCGTCTTGGAATTTCGGGGAGAGCGAGTGGAGGACGGAATGCAAGGCAGCAGGATCGACGGTGTCGAGTAAGGATTGGAACGCGTCCCAGTTGATCAATGCATTGTCATCTTCTGGAACATGGGCGGCGGGCGAACTGAAGGCGCCCAGCAGCAGCGTGCTGAAAACGAAGGCGTTGCGCAGGCCGATCATGGCTGTCAAAGGGAATTGCAGGTTGCAGGAAAGCAAATCAACGAACCAAACGAGAGGTAAGTTCGTGGCAGGTGCAGCAGGTGCAGTAGGTGCAGTAGTGAATAGTGAGTGACAATGGAGAAGTGGTACGAGTGGACGAGTGGAAGACTGGAAGATGGGCAGAGAAATAAGAAGGCTGGAAGGCTGGTAGAGAGAGGCACGAGAGGCTTCTTTTGGCTGAGTGAGGAAGTGTCGGAGGTGCCAGTCACCCACCAGTCACCCACCAGTCGGTGCCAGTTGCACTGTCCCAGTTAAGAAAGTTTTCTGCCACTAGTGCAGCAGGAAAATCGTGGCTTGGTGACTCGGTGACAGCGGGTGTGAGCCTGTGAGGGCCACCGAGCCACCGAGCGCTGAGCCCACGGGTGCCCATGGGTGTCCACTGGTGCCCACTGGTTCGGGCTGGGAGTGTGTGGGAAGTGGGAACCCTGTCAGATCAGACGCGGGATATGCGAGTCTTCCGTGATGCGCTGCAGGACGAGTAGAAATCGAATGATTTTCTGGTGACTGGGTCCGCACGAGGGCGATGCGAGGACCCTAACGAGACCACGCACGGAAAAGGAAGTACGACTACGGCGGGCATGTGCATTGTAACTATACCGAGTACCTCGTACCCTTGGAGACGATGATAGAGAGGCTGAAGCAAGCAGGGCACAACCAGAGACACTTGTGGTGATGGAACTGTGTGAAGAGCCGCACGTGGGCGATGCGAGAAGTCGTAGTGCGCACCTCTGAAAAAGTCGATGGCTAGCCGAGCAGCGACGGGAAAAAGAGCCCCCCATGCGATACGCCCATATACTGCCATGACCAGCCTGGACACTTCGCGCAATAGGTAAGCTGGCAGTGGCTGGCTCGGGTGGGTGTAGGTTGCCCCAGGCGGTCATGGGCATGACTGCACCCGGGAGATGCCTGCTGAGCGGAAAGTCGGCATCAGAGCAAAACAGCCACTATCAGCTTTCAGCCTTTGGCTCGGAGCCCGGTATCCGCCTGCTTTTCTCTGTCGTCTTCACACTCTTTCTCTCCCATGCAAACTTCCTGACGGAGAACATACTTCTCTCTATTGTTTCTTATGCAGCTGACAAGCTGGCCCAGAACACGCCTCTCGTTACAGCACCTCCTCCTCCTCTCCTCTCCTCTCCTCCTCATCCTGCGGCAGGTTTCAGCAGGAAAGCTGGGCGCTTTTGCCACCTGCAGCCTACGAGTGGAACCTGGCCAAAGAACCAACACCAGAGGACCCAGGAAGCCCCAGGAAGCCCCAGAAAGCCAGGCCTTGCCTCAAACTGAGCAAATCATGATTCCGGCCTTGAACATCCGCCCTCCACATCGGCTGCCCTCCTCCCGTTGTGCCATCCATCCACGTCCACGGCCCTCGCTTGCGTCCTTGACTGTTCCACCAAGACACGTCCAACTCCAAATCCATCGTCTCCATGCTCCATGCCCTGCGTCATGCGTCCTGCTTCCTGCTTCCTGCATCAGTGGCTTAACAGTGAAACGCCCGTCACGTTCAGCTCCCTGTTTCACCGACCGTTTCCTGCAGAAGACTCAACGAATCCTGCCATGTGGATTTTCCGGTGAAGTCATGATAGCCACAAGTACGGAGTAGCGGGTGAATTGGAGCCCAGAAGATAAGAGCGGCAGAAACAACCGGGCGATTTACTTGTACGTGTGTAACTTTTGTCGGATTGAGTTATCTAGGCCAGGATGGGCCGCATGCGAACAACGCATGAACAACAACGTTACTGATTTGAGCAGCCATTGATCACACGCCCTCTCCCGCTCTATATCGCCGTCCGGTTGGGGGTCTAGCCCGTCGAGTTTCTATTTCTGTCCAAATGCCCTGCATATCGTATAAGTCTGCGTGTCACCCATACCTGCAGACGGCCGGTCGGGATTGGCACTGACATCTGGTACCTTGCATCGTCATCCCAAACCTGCAGAAACACTTGAAGAATGTTGGGCAATCACCTGCTTTTTCTGCCTTAGCGTTGGGCCAATGCGCAGCATTCGCTGAAACTCATACGAGTTTGTTCGAGCGAATCAGACGCTCAAACTGTCCTGAATACAAAATGCTCTACACGCACCTCCACCACCCAGTCTTGACGCGCGTTTACCCAGTGCGGCCACTGCTTACTCAGTCAATAAAGCAAACTTGAGCAAGTCTCTTTGCTCTATCTGGTCCTTTTTGGCTATCAATTCGTCCATGTCCCAGGTGGCAGAGATCAGTCTTCCACTCAGCCAATTGAGATGCCTGATCTGTTTACTGAGAAACACACAGACCGCTCCACAGAGATCAACCTCATCGGTCATGTCTGAGGGAAGAAATTAGTCACGCACAGCCGAGGAGCATCCCGTCTCGAGACAATTTTCCAGGGAACGAATCACGATAACTTACAAGGCAAAAACTCTTCCGGCGTGTTCCCGCTTGCCATTCTCGTCATAACTGCTCCAGGATGGAGGGCAAGGCTGACCAACCCTTCCCCAGAATATTGTTCATGAAGATACTCGACCAAGCGGATCTGCGCAAACTTGCTGACTGTGTACCCCGTGTTCGCAATTGGCCCTCGTCTGATGCAACCGGCGATGGACCCAATGGCAATAAACCCTTTTGCTCCGGTTTCCGTCTGCATGAGTAGGGGGACAAAATAATGGGCGGCAAGGTAGGTTCCAAAGGCATTGACTTCAAAGGCGTGTCGAACATATTCAGGCTTTCCTTGGTCCATCTTCGTGATGACCGGCCCGGCGTAGCCTGCGTTGAGGATCAACATGTCCAATCGTCTGCAGTGGATTTTCACATAGTCTGCCAGAGCTTGTACAGATGTCGCTTTCGAGACATCACACTCAACTATATGAACATGGCCGGAGGGGTTGATCCGTCTTGCTTGGTCGGCCACGGCCTCCAGGTCGCTGATTGTTCGAGAGGATATGACCAGCGTTGCTGCCTTGGCCCGGGCAAAGCTGTAGGCGATATGCTCACCAATTCCGGTGGACGCGCCGATGATGCAGACCGTGAACGAGTCTTCCAGACTCACGCGGGCAGGATCCAGAGAAGGTGGAACCGACTTGTGCTTGGTCTTGGTGAAGCCATCGACGGCGGCGACACGAGGGTCCATGCTTCTGAATGAATGTCTCTGGCGAAAGAAGCAGAGGGTGTTTGGTAAATCTAGTTGGGATGGTGGCACGATAGAATCATAGTTTTATGTTGTGCCTCGCAGAGATATGCAGGGTCTCCTCGCCGAGTGTTCCGTGCGACTTGCCGCTCCGATCGAGTAATATACCCGCCGATTGCCCTACCTAGGGGCAAGTAGTAAGTACATAAATCCTCCGTATGGGTAGTTTGACTTCCAATCATTTCTACATACCTAGGTACCTACCTGATCAAATCAAAGTCGTGGAGAAACATTTCCACCGGGCGGTCAGGTTTTTCCCTGAAAAGGAAACCCGTAGGAAAAAACTGCAGGTTTGTTTCGTCCGGGCGGGAAAATTCCACAGAACCGTCAAGTCCACCATTATCCATCTATGAAACATTCTATATGTGACTGAACATGTCTGGGTGGACGTCTCTATGATCCATCTATCTGTCCACTCCGTATGGCTACTAAGGGGCTATACAAGATAGATGGATATATACTTAGGTACCTGAACCTAGGTAGATATTCGCGGCTCCCGAACACCAGTGTATTACGCATTTACCCAGCTACCCCATTCATACATCTATTTGCCTATCTACCTATCTCTAGTGCAGCCTGTATATCTCTAGCCATCCTGTCCCGCAATATATTCCCCCCATAGATTCCAGTACCGTCTCCGCACTCGGGACGTGTGACATTCAAATTTCGCGCGTGGCATTCAAACTCCTATCGAGTGCCCGAGTACGCATGGGGCTTTCCGGGCTAAATCAGAAGAAAGTGAGGCGGCAGCGACGGAGTAGGTATGCAGGTTGACAGGTGGGCAACTCATGTACACCGCTAGCTCGATACCTGTACCTATTATGTAGTGTTGGGTATATTGGTAAGGCACATCATAGGTTTTTAGGTGGGTAGGTAATGTAGGTCAGGTAGGTCCGAGTCAGCGATGGCATCACCCTCGGGGTGTCTCCACCCCCGCCCCCGGCCTGGGTGCCGGCTGTACTACATACTTGTACTCGTTTTGGTGGCTCCAGTAGCCTCGCCCGGGGATCGGGGAACTGGGCTCGCTACCTAGGTACCTACCTAATTTACACCTACAATACCCACTGCATGCCATCCCAGCCTACCATAGGTACCTAGATACTTACCTGAATAATGCGACTTATCTAGACATGTAAACCCTCAGGGCAGGATCTCTCATGGCCACTATATCAAGCAGCGCGCCACAAGTAGCACGAGGTCTTTTAGAAACAGGCAGCGTGTAGGCATGGAGAAGAAGAATCGTCATCAAAACTGTGCGCTAGATAACACAAGACAAGACATGCAAATCGCGCTGGATTTGCTGAGCGTTGAGCCTCCAGGAGCGTGGAAGAAGGGAAAATCAAGTCATCAAGAACAACAAGCAAGAACAGCAGCAACAGCAACAACAGCAAACACGACAGCCACGAGCCCTTTCCAACAACTCCACCCCATGACGCGCCCGGACTCGCAAAAGGCCTGCCTGTTGAAGGCAGCGACGCGACACATCGATCAACAAGGGGCTGGCGAGATTCCGTTTTCCAGCCTTCGGCTCCCATCGTTTCCCCCTTCTTTTTGTTGCCTTTATTGGTACTGCCCCGGGTTACCAACGGGTTTCCCAGACAACATATTCTCTGGTGCATCGTCATCTTCATCCTCATAGTCCTCCTCTTCCTCTTCCTCGTCATCATCGTCGTCATCATTATTGTCTTGGTCATCGTCTTTTCTCTCTTCCTCCTCCTCTTCCTGGTCCTTTTCTGGCTCTTTCTGCCTGCTTCCTGTGGTCATGCTTGAGTCTGGGTGGGCATGTGGCACTGCTGGCTGTCCGTGCCTGTTTGCGGCGACCAATCTTGGGTCGACAGGGTGGCCCAGTGACCCTGCTGGCTCTCCCTGCCTGTTTGCGGCGACCAACCTTGGGTCGACAGGCTGGCCCAGTGGCTCTGCTGGCTCTCCCTGCCTGTTTACGGCGACTAGCCTTGGGTCGACTGGGAACGACTCTTGGCCTACAGATCCGGTTTGGTTATTGCCTTGCCCTGCGTACGTGTTACCTCCAATATCGCCGGGGTTGGCATGTATGTATGAGGGATATTGGTGGCTTTGGAAGGGATCGAGCATGTAGGTCATTGGGAAACCAGGCCCGGCTGGCCATGACTCTTGGAAAGTTTCTCCTGTTCTCGCTGATTGGTACGGCCCCTCCTGGAGCGAGGTGGAGGCTGAGGTGGGAGTGGTGACAGCACTGCGAAGGGTGTCAACTGCAGTCCCCGTCGTCAAGATGCCTTGAGACGCACCTCTGGTCAATCTGCGAGACGGGCGTCCAGTCGGCGTCAGTCGAAGGTCGACCTCTCTCAGGAACCACTGCACTGCGAGATTGTCCTTGGAGAAGTTCGTGACTGCAATACTTCCCTTCATCTTCACACTTCTTGCACTTCCTTCCCGGTCTTTTTCTTGTGCACTGAGAGTATAACATCAGTCTGGAACCTCATATAGCATGAACAGACATACTCTGCGGTGCCCCTTTTTGCATTGGTCACAATTGTTTAGCACTTCCTTGCCCGGCGACACCCTCTTGATTTTAAAAGTCCCGTTGCGTCCCGGGCCACCACGATTGTTCCGAGCACCAGGAATTTGATCCTTTCCGTTCGTCGAGGCTGCCATTGTTGTCGACAAATCAACCAACAGTCAGAGGATGTAAATAGAGTGGGAAGCCCCAGCCAATTGCGTGGTGCCAGAGTTGTTGATCGACTGCGAGAAGGAAACTTGGTAAACTTTGATACCTCGAAGGTATCTAAGGCAGACAGGTAGTCCCCAAGGAGTATGGTCAACGGGAGAGCTTTATAGGATAGTCTTCAGAGGACACCAAGTATCCCTCTCATGACACCCCAAGTTTGCCTTGCCTGCGGATCAGGATGCATGTCTATTGCCCACTCGCAAGCAAAGTGAGGCGACGAGAAGCGCAGAAGAGATTTCGCGCCTTTGAAGGGGCGGTGCGGAAACTTCTCCTTTTGGAACGTGGAAAAGAAATCGGGCAACAGCGCCATCGCTACAAATGATCACAATCCCATCAAGAGACCAGAGACTGCCCGATTCAACTTCTTCCTATAGTCATCAACCCCACGGGTAGGCTCCGGTAAAGTTGAAGCATTTTAGTTTTTCTTTCTTCCCTTGTTGCAACTCCCTCTTCCTTTGGAACAACTTTCTTCGGCGTTCAGACACTGGCATGCTGCCATCGATCAGCAACCTTGCAGTATTCGAGCAGTCCAGGTTCAGGCTGTTGGCCTCCCTGGCAACCCGGCGGCCGCATCCCTGGACGGGATCAGATTCGTCACTTTTTAGCTTGCAGAGTATGGCCCATCCACGCCAATGCTTGGTCCCTTCTTCAGCGTCGTCCTGTCCAACTTCAACAGTTCAAACATCGAAGACTGACCAGGCTCGATGGAACAGTTGGGGCGTTCAACGAGTCAGCCACTAGTCCACATGAGCGTCTACAGACTGAGCCGCAACGGCTAGTCCGGACACTAAGTGTGTATTGGGCTCTCACCGCCATGCAGACTATGCCCTAAACCCAACGCTACCAAGGCCCACAACCCACAGTTGAGTGTTCGACTAAGTCGAATGAAAAATATCCCGCCACGTAGAGTTCTGGGAATGCGAGATGTCATCCAATGGAACTCGATCCGTGGGATAGTCTCGGCCAATTCACAGGATATAATGCGGCGGACTCCCAGGAACGCTGGGGGTTCCGTTCGCGTCTGAAACAGTGGAGCTATCTCTGGGTGGACCACCGTCATGCTTGGGGTTCGTAGACGTGTCCGCCTTGTTGCCTTGTTGCGGCGTGAACAAAGGATGGTAAGATGCCTTCAAGGGCCATGCAGGTGGCCGGAAGGGGTTCTCTGGATATGCTTTTAAGTTTCGGACGTCGCAGGCCACATGGCAATAAAATATTGGTGAAGCCGTGGATGGGGAGTTGAGAACGTCTTTGCGCAGTGAACGGGGCGTCAACCTCTGTCAACCTAGACGGCCGCTTTTGCGGCGCTGTCAGACTGTTTCGTCAGGCCTTGTCAAGAGCGTGAGCAGCCATGATCTGACCAACACCAGTGTTGTCTGAAACGCGTTGGTACAACAGGCGGTTGTGGTGATCCCTCCACAAATCCCTCTAAAACAGTCACCCCGGTCGTGGCCTGTTCTGTCGCGATTAGGGAGTATTTCCATACCATAGAGACATGGGTGAGAACGGAGACCCCAAGCGTGTATTGTCAAGTTCGTCTCATAACCAGGACAGCACAATCATGCAATCATGCATGCGCCTCCCTTTCCATGGGCACCGAGCAAGTGACGTTGTGTCCTAGTCATGAGAAAGGGAATGCACCAGTCTCGAAGGGGTTTGATCTCTGAATATCCTCCAATTGCGACTGGCCCGTTCCATGGAGCGACTGGGCGAGGAGAAGCAGACGAGAAATGTTCCGATCAGTCGCACAAATAACTCGGGTGTGTATTCCATCTGCTTCTTTCGTGCCCATCTCCATCCTGGTCACCGGTTACGGCCACAGGTCCGTGTTCGAACACGTAGAATCGGCGATTACGCCGCAGCTGCAGAAAAGACTTAGCTTCACGATTGGCGAAGAAAGCGTGTTGATTCGAATGCCGGAATGGTGATCGGTTTCGACCAAAGTAGGGCTGTGCAAGTTGGAGCCCAAGGACTCCTAAGGATTATCTTGAGACTGCACAACCAACTGCTGTAGGAATTATCAGTAAGGCCATGTACAGTGCAGTCGGCGCGAGCCCCAAGTTATGCTCTCAGAGTGATTGTGTAGGGAGGAAAGAGGAGGGCTGACCTGAAATTCCGCTCCTACTCTGTCTCCAGGATGCTGACAACTAGTCCAGATTCAAAGACAACCATACATGCTTCCACCTCAGAATGCCCTGCCCTAGATATGCCAAGGGGAAGTCTGAAGAGGAATGTGCAAAGCTATCACAGTAGAGTGTCCCCTCGTGATATGTGACTGGCCATGGTCACATGACAAAGTCGAAGCTGGGAATATTATGTATATATAATTTAAGTCCACAATTCCCATCGCCTGCCCTGGTAGGAACATTAGCCTAGTGGAAAGAGGTCCCATTCCCCTTACCCAAGCCTTCGCATCAAAAGTAGTTCTTCGGGACTCTCCACACTCAACTTGACTGTGGTTCAATTAGTAGTTCTTCGGGACTCTGGCTTAGGTGGTTAATGGGTTCCTTTAGAGATGGCGCACGCAGGAAACTGCGAACCTACCTCTATAAATACCATTCTTTTTTTCTTTTTTTGTTCCACTATCGAGCCAAATTTTGTTGTGATCTGTTTTGTGTGTGCCATCTGCCAGTGACGATCCTGTCGGTGCTTGGCGATGTGGCTGTTGAGACGAGGAGGGCATGAGGTTCAGCACCGGTACGGCAGAACCAGAGTGAATACGTGAAAGGTTTGGCATAGGATCCTGTGGCCGCCAAGAGGCAGAAGGTAGTGATATGTAGCAAAGTGAATCGCCTGCTTTGTCACTAGCAGCAGTTGCGTGTTGTTTTGAGGCAGAATCACTTTTTTGAAATCTTCTCCCTTTTCCCTGTACCTTACTCTCATCCTTCATCAACTTCGAGTATTGTTTTCCTTCTTAGCCTTCTTCGACAGTCGGGTAGCATCGGCTCCCTATTGTCGTTGCGCAAAGCATTCCCAACTGCGTCCTCCCGCCTAAATCAGGTCAACTTGTCCAAGATGGCCCCAAAAGGCACAAAGCACAAGCAAAAGCTATTGAATGCGAAGAAGGATCGACAACTGCGACAAAAGATGGATGACCTGGACGTTGCCGATGGCGCTGCGCAAGACACCGTGGCTGATGTCACGAAGCCTGAGACCACCATCACGACCACCAAGTACCCACTCCTCGAGAAATGGGAAGAACTGGAAGCGGCAGAAGCTGAAGAGATCGCTCACAAACACAAACATACCACTGTAGGTGTCCACCCTTCTCAACGTGGCATTATGCTAACATCTCTTCAGGGGTGGTTGTTGCCTGAGTCCTTGCCAGTTCTGGTTCATGTCGCAGCTCCCAATGCCGGCCGCTTCACACGGGAGGTGCAATCCGACATTGAGCTCATGAATTCCATTGAAGCTGTGAAGGACCTCGTGAAGGACAGCCTCATTTTTGAACTGAAGCGGACCAATATCGACGTCACCAAGACCCGGTTCGCTGGATTGATGGTGTACGGGCCGACCACCGAGTTTAAACCTGAAACCATCAAGGGGTTCACGCGTGGTCTCTTCTTGCAAGAGGCCGCTTACAAAAAGTGGTGGCTCAGTGTAAGCATGTCGCAGCGCATACCCGGGGACATGGTTAAGATCGCGGTGGTCTTGTGGCATCAAGACGAGGCTTCTGCAAAACAAGTCACCTTGCCAAACTTCTGGACTGATGAGACCGCACGAGTCCTTGGAAATCATCTGGAGAAACTTGAGATGCCCGCCTGGGATCTCGAAATTGAGAAAGGTTGTCGCGCCTATTCGAAAATGCAGGAACAAGTGTTGGAGGAAAGAGTCAAGAGAATAGAGGCTGAAACCAAAGCAAGCAAAGAAGCTGATTTGAAGAAGGAGTTGCAGAAGCAGAACGAAGAGCTGACAATTCAGTTGGGCAAGCTGGAGCGGAGGGTCAAATCACTGGTCAATGCCATCGAAGCGAACGATATGGAGAAAGCTGCTCGCCTTGTGGCCCAGTCGCAGAAAAGCAGCAAGAGAAAGGGCAAGGGCAAGGCTAACGACGAGGGATTGATCGACGAGGGTGAAGCCGCTGGTGACGAAGAAGAAGAGGGAGTTGAAGACCAAGACGTGGAGATGGCGGATGGCGGCGATGACCCCAACGACAGCGATTACGTTGAGGAGTGATCCGACCATGGTATGACAAACCGGAACATCCATCAGTTGTGCCATCGCCAACCACACGGAGGTCGTTCTTGAGAAGAAGCCAACCCATTATGTTACGAGTGACCGAGACCGCCGTGTAATGGCCAGCAGGAGCGAAGCAGGACGAAAAGCAGAGCTCGAAGGGCCGAGAGATATGGCGAGATGGACGATTCGACTCTTCGATCTTGCAGGCCAGACACGGGTGTGGACATTAGCTTCTCGGACAGATGGATGCACAATGGAGTGAAGCGAGGATGAGATGAAGAAAAATTGGTGGTGCCCAGTTGCAAAACTAGGCGCAGTTTGGCGGTGGGGGGACAGCGAGCAACTGCGCCATGAGCCGCAGTCGGACAAGGCCGCCACCAACCACCAAAAACCACATCATACATACCTAGGTAGATACCTAGGTACTTAGCGAGCCAGCTCGCCAGGTACTCCATAAACCCACTAAGTGCTTACTTGACACGGAGATATGTTTCCGAATACAATGAATTGCCCTTTACTCGTAAGTGGAGTTCAAGTCTATCGCTAATACAATTAAAGTACAGATCACGGCCACGCCAGTCCACCCCTTTCTAGATTCTCCTGCGAAATTCCCCCCGTATGACATCCTCATCTACACTTTCTTCTTCAGGCCGATGCCAACGAGGTGTATCCTAGCTGCCGCAAAGAAGAGACACCCAACAAGACAAACACAGCCTCCGAACAATTGAAGGTATAGCGGGTGACCGTGGTCGCGAGTGAGCAACGCTCCACCGATGGGCGAACCAGTCAAAGCGCCTATCGAACCCGCTGCAAAGACTGTGCCTGTACGCACACCGATCTCTTTGATTGGGGACACCTGTGCGATCAGAGCAGGCGTCAACCCAATAGCTGCACCCGAAGCAAACCCGAACAAAGGGGCAAACACCAGTTGACCGACGTTGCTGCTGGCAGGAATCCACACAGCCAGGATGAGAATGGCTGTCAGAGTGCAGAAGACCGTCATGACGTTGAACCGCCCGACCCGATCACCCAATAGCCCTGGCAATGTTCGACCAAAGACAGATCCAGCGTTCAAAATGGAGACGAGGTACTGGGCCAATTGCAGCGACATGCCCCTCTCGTTGGCCACAGCCGTGATGAAGGAGAAGACGGGGAACATGCCCCAGTAAAAGAAGAAGGTGGCACCAACCAGCAGGAACATGGGCGTCTCTTTGAGGGGGCGGATGAAGGCCATGAGGCTCCAAGGACGTCGAGTTGGCGGAAACCGAGAGCGCAGAGTGAAGATGGCGAATGTACACAGGCCCAGAATCAGGAATGCGCAGGTGCGCATGGCCCACGGGAACCCAGTCTCGTCGATCATACGGCTGACAATGATGGGAAACAACACACCACCGAGAGAGCTGCCCGCGGCGGTGATACCAATAGCCATACCCCGCTTGTGAAAGAACCATGTCGAGACACATGAGACGGCCGGAGTGAAGATGAAACACGCTCCAATGGCGCTGCAGACGCCCTGGCTGAGGAGGAACTGGTAGTATTCCTTGGAGATGGAGGCCATCATCAACCCGAAGACGTGCATAAAGCTACCGACAATGAGCAGCTTGGTCGGGCCATAGTTGTCAAAGATAAATCCCGCGACCGGCCCCGTGGCAAGCATAAAGAAGGTTTCCAGCGAGGGAATCCAGGCCACGGTGCTGGGCGAGTATTGCTTCAACTCGTCGCGCATATAGGCGTCTTGAAACACTCCTATACAGTTGATCCATCTACAAACACACATGTATGTTAGCATCCCAGGTCACTAGAGGCAGTTTGAGGGAGCGCATACCCCCAGGAAACAAAAAAGCAGGCGGCAGCGGCAGCGACGGTGAGCCAGGCTTGGGGACCGCCGTCTGGAAAAGAAGAAGGGTCCATCCATGGATTAGCGGGCTTGGGAGGCTCGTTTTGGGCGGGCTGGTCGAGCGACGACTTTTCAGTGGCGGGAGCCGAGAGACCTTTGCTATCGGGGCCAACAACGTGACTCTCTTGGGCTTCAGACCCCGGCTCCTCCTGGATCGGTATCTGCTTCTCCAGATCTTGCGACATGGCGATGATTGTGATGGTTGGAAAGGTCCAGCTGAACCAAGAGGGCGACTGTCTGTTGAGGAGGGTGTTTGGCGTCTCGTACAAACAAAATCAGGCTGTGAGAGTGACTGGTTGTCCGGTGCGCTCTCTCTCTGTCTGCGCTCAACGCTAACAAAAACACGAGGAGAAAGAGGGATCTGAAGAAAAAGGACTAGGTTCGACCTGAAGGTTATCTCTCACGATTCTTGATATATCGAAAAGTCGGAGACTAGATCAAAATGCACCCGAGTTGCCCACCAGAACCAGGGACTTACGAACTTCGGCCTTACGAAAGCGCGAGCCACGACCCCATCCAACAAATTTGGACGGTGATAAGATTAGATGAACCTGGTTCATTGGATGCCGTGTCGTTTCAGCAGCGTCGCTGTCGGGGGGTTGTACGATGCCGTACCCACCAAGGCCACCCACGGTGGCTTCGCTCATAACAGCTGAGCTCGGCCATAGATGGACGCACTGGCAGCGACAGGAATTTCGTTCGTGGCCCCTGAGTCGATCATTTGGCACCAAGACAACAAACATTCCAAGAGTGGAACCCGCAATGTCGCGTCTTAATTGCATCGACCACAAACAAGCCTGGGCGGAGTTAACAGACTGCTCCATCATATTGGTAATCACATCTCAGATCTTCGGCCGAGCTTTTGACTGCCGACGTTCATGGCCATCAATCGAGCGACTTCCACCTTTGGCGATGAACTTGGAGCCTTTCTCAGGGGAAAAAGGTTGGCGTCGAAAACATGGGCCAGATGAATACACTTCGGCGTGACAGCGAATTCAGTGTGTTCAGCTCGACTGCCTTTACATTGGCGTTGTCAAAGGTTGTTTTGCGGCGCGACAGGGTCAGAAGCCAAAAAGCAGATGATGCGGCACGAGGACTGGGCGCCCTTTATATTGTTTGGAAAGGGGTGAGGCGACACCGTAAGGCTGGCCGTCAGTAAGAAGCTTACCCGGTACGCCTGACCCGTCCTCCGGTATCACCATGTCGAAAATGACAACCCGAGGCTGCACCCTACTCTTGGTATTCCAAATTTTGCAGTATCACCTGGAGGACCATCCAAGCTGGCCCATCTACCAGATGGCTGAACTGCAACAGCAGGTAAAGGAAAGCAACCCAATATCCCTTTGCCAGCTATATTCTTGTTATCTAATTATTGCATCCCCATGTCTCGAGCGAGATTCTGCTCACTGACAGCCATTAGATCTCATTATGTGAAGACTCCATACCTATTCCCTGCCCCGTTGCTCTTCTTCCCCTTTGCTACACTCTTCCACTGTCCACCCCTCCATCTATCTCATCAACGCCATATACGTCGCAGCAGCCTCCCTCCTGGTGGTTTTCTGCTCAAGCGTCTCTGGCTGGACTCGCGGCTTGTCCTTTTTGTTTTTGGCGTGCAGCAGAGCCTTGAGGCTCGAGCTGGTTGAAGTGCTCTGGATCGAGGCTGTTTCGGTGTTCAGGCTGTGGGCCTTGGGTTTCTCGTTCATCGGGCCTGGCATTTTGCGGACGATAGGGGGTTGGGGCTGAACGTATTGGTTGCAGTGTGAGTATGGGAGTGTGCAGGTGTTTCCTCCAGCGGGCATGGAGATCTCTGGACAGTGGACGTCTCCGAGTTCAAGTATGAAGCGCAACAGGATCAGTGGTCAGCCTCATCAAAACGGATTGTGCTCTGTGGGTGAGTGGGTGGATTTGTGGGAGGAAGGAAAGGCTGATGTAAGATAGGAGGCAGTTGGGGTGAGCTAGAACCAGGTAGGAAGTCAGTCAGGCCAGATCCGTTTATATACGTCCATTGAACGTATAGAATCACCCGTCACGAAACACACGTTTGTGGTTGCCTTGCACCGAACCGCCGCCCTTCTATAACACCCTCCTCCACACATGGTGGGTTATGAGTACCTACCTAGTTAGGTATGTTAGCTCCACAGGACCAGAGCCGGGGCGTACAATACATTTCCGTGGCGCTTCTGTTTCCGAATTCTGGTGATTGACTCCCAAACATCAATCTAGGTACATGTGTTAGGTTAGGCAGCGCAATATCTGGACTTGGGCTCTAGGCTACTACCCCTAGGTCGTTGCCCAGCATTGGTGCCTGGCCTTGGCGGTTCCGAGGAGGAACTTGAAGTCCAATACGAGTACCTAGGGTAGGTACTCAGTAGATCCTCCGCCTGTATACGCTTCTACCAATGGCAGGGTTAGTACGTGTGGGAGTCTCCGTCCTGGGGGATATACTCTGCCATAGATTGTATACGAATACGGAGTACGTTCTTTGGGGGGTTGGATCAGTTACGTTGTTTGTGACTCACTCGGCTATGAACTATTGTGCTTGATGGACTTTTGCCTCCTCGGGGATTTCGAGACGGTCAATTCAGCTGGTCAATCACCAAGTCAGTCAGTCAATCAATCAATCAATCCATCCTCAGCTTTGTCGCGGGTCGGAACTCATTGGAAGGGAGATCAGCAACCCTCCCACACAAGACAATGGTAGGATCGGAGGAGAAAAGAGACCCTGGAGGTCGTATGTAGGCACTCTGCATATACGTTCCAACCAGGTCGATACGGAGTACGAGGTATTCCATCATTGTCCTTTGCAATCCTTACATACAAAGTGCCCTTGCCAAGGAAGGTGTGTGAACTTACAATGTTCGGGGACAAGGTACGTGCCATACATGATTGGGCCCCTGCGTGACCAAGTGCCGAGATTCTGCTGTAGGCATTGTCAAGTGTTTCAGTCTGGCTATGCAAAGGGGTTTTATGAATGATCAGGACCGGGGATCTGTTGACCCTGTTGGCACAGGCTGTTCACACAATCCGTTTATTGCTTAGTGGTCGGCAGATAAACAGATAGATACCTGGCGAGCAAGATATTACCTAGGTAGATAGCCGGACAGATACATAGATCGCCTCCTCGGTCTTGTGTTCACCCGAGATGCTGCAACTTTGCCATCTAAAGGAGGCCGAGGTTGATCCCCTGGGCGCTTCTGGCATGTGCACCCCGACGGCCCGACATTCCCAGGCTCGCCAGGTACTACGATATTTCCACCGTTGAGTCTGACGAGTCTGACAGAAACAACATTGAGGGTGTTTGTTCATACATCATGATGTTCCAACGGATCGTCATGCTGCTTCCTCGCCGTGCGCAGCATCAAATCCTTCTCTTCGCAATCTCACTCGTTGCGCGCAGTGAGAGATCATGGGTTTTTACCCGGGATTGTGTCGGGGGTGGGTGCGTACTTGACATTGCTATGTCTCTGGTGTCTCTCCTCTTGGAACCACTCACCTCTGTAGATTCTCACCTCTTCAGTCGAGCCTGTTCAAAGCACGTAGAGTATCGCCCGGTGCGGACCACATCAATACTATCCAAGCTTTGTTGCACCATCTTGATTGTCTCGACTCTTGCTTGAATCCCATGCCTCATGCGAACGACCTGTGCGGCCTGTACGATCCAACTCTGTAACATCTCACAAACTTGGTGTTCTTTAAAGGTAGACTGCAAAGTCTGTTGTGCTGCAGACGTTGAGGTATCACCCGTAGTGATGGAAGGCTGTCGGATTCGGCCTGAGATGTAGACAATTTTAGGCCACTCTTAAAGACTCGTCATTTGGTGCAGAACACATTTTCCCCGGCCAGGTGCAGAGTGGCAGTCTGATATTCTCGGCAACGTTACAAGGCCTGAAGCAGACGCTGAGCCAAACAGGGGAGCAGCGGTTGTCTTGTGGACTCGTCCGTCGTATGAAGATCGTTGATGCTAAGGCTGGCTGGAGCACGTCTTTTGTCACAACCTGACCTGCAATGCAACCAAGGAACAGCAGCGCAGTTCAAAGGTAGAGCAGGTTTGAGTTGGACCACTCCATCCTGTTGTACAGGGAACGAATTCTAGGTTGGGTCAGATCTTCCTAGAAGGTTCAGTCCGCCAGCAGATTCGCCTAGACTTGTCAAGATGGTGCCCAGGCTCGTGATATCTGGGTGAGCGTGCAATTCTCTGCACCTGAGAAAACATCAGCGTGATGAGCGACCGGACATAGGGTGCTTGTCGCATCACTGAGGCAGCACCCAGTCAGCCAGCCACGAGCGGACAATCGAGGGTCGGCGCCAGCTCCTGGCAGCAGCACAACCTCTCGATCGCCACTATTTGGGTGTCTCTTCAGTGGCAAGTGGCGACACTCCGGCCAGCATCGGTGCACTGAACAGCATAACCAGCACTGGCCAGGACTTGTATGCATCGAACAATGAAAACAGAGTCTCGTTTGTCGCCGGGCTGAGAAAATGCAAGGGGGATCTCCGGTGCCTGGGCCCGTTTGCAATGCGGGGCCATGCGCGTTCTTAAATGAGGTCCTTGCACCGCAATGGCACCAGTGGCAGACTGGCAGTGGTTGTTAGTGGGTTCCATGCTTCCGGTTCGTTTGGCGATGATTGTAGCCGATTCTCAACTCGGGGAAAGAAGCCAAACACGATCTGGTGTGTCTGGTCTCCGAGGCCGCCGACAGCGCCGAACTCTGCCCTCGCTGCCCATTAGCCCTCGCTCCACCTTCCCTGTGTCTGCTGGATCGGCCCTATGTTCTTGCGGCCAAACAGCCACACAGCCTATTGGGATTCATTCTTCCCTCAATATCAGCTGATACCCGGACGTCCCTTCGGTTTGCTGCTTCCCAGCCTTTGCAAAAAGCATATGCTGCTGACTCCCCCAACCTTGGTGATTTTCCCTCTGACAGAGTCCCTTGAGCTACGTCGCTAGGGTGCGTGACGATCTTAGTAGTGGACCCCTCCCCCAGCTCGCTTGCTGAATCGGATAGGTCCGCGCGCGTCCTCCGCAACTGCTCTTTTGACCATGGATTCGAGCCGGGGCCAATTCCAGACAACGGCCGAAGGTGATGAGACACAGCCAAAGATCGAAGCTCTGACTCAAGAAGAGATCAATGAGCGTCTGCGCCGCAAGCGCAAGGCCCGCGGACAGAAGGCTTGCCATCCATGTCGGCAGAGGAAAGTCGGTTGCAATTATCAACACCCTTGTCAAAAGTGCATCGACCGCAACCACCCTGAGCTCTGCATCTATGAGCCCTTGTCCAAGCGCGCAAATCTCGACACTCCTACCAGTCAGGGGGTTCCGCCCAGCGCTGCCAGCGAGGGTCCGGCGGTGGGATGGAGCAGGATCAGCGAGAGACTGCAGACGATCGAACAGGCCATTCAAGAGCTGCGAAATGAGTTGAAAGATTTGCCAGGACGGGACAGGTCTCCTTCGATGCTGGTTGGCCGGCCCAAGGTCGAGAGAACGGGACGAGACTCGAGCAGTGAGGGTGTCGATCAGGACAACTTTGCCATCCACACCAGCAACGAAGTCACGGGCGAGACCGTCCACCTGGGCGGCAACTCTGTCCCGGCCATGGTCTTTTCGCTGAAGAGTGACCCCAACGAATATGACGTCCAGGATCTGCTTGGCAAGAGCATCCTACCTCTGTTCGGCCTGGACAACGAGAGTGCCACCTACCCTTTCGTTGACCTTTGGGGCTTACCTCACGGATCCTATGCCAGACTGCAGGCAATGTGCAGACTGTTACCCACGGACGCCGATTGCTTGCAGTATTTTGCACAATATCGCGATACGGCGCATGTTCTTTTCCCCGGCGTAGTCGACATCAAACAGTTTGAAGGAGAACTCACCCACTTTCTCATCAGCAAAGCTGCCGTGGCTAGGGATGCTCCTTATGAGGCTCTGTCGAATGACAACATATACGGCAAAACACTCCACTGGGTTGGATTGCTGTTCGCCATCCTCGCGTCCGGCTACCAGTGCTCGTCATTGCCGCGGAAAGAACGCCAACTGACTAGTCAGGTATACGTGTGCTGTGCATATGAATGCCTTCGCATCATCAATTACTTGTCCAATTCGAAGTTGCTCGATATCCAGACGTTGTTGGTGCTGGGGAACGTCATTTCCAATAACATGAACTCGGGCATCGCCTGGTGCCTGCTCGGACTGACCATTCGCATAGGGCAGAGCCTTGGGCTGCACCAGAAGACTTACCGGGCCAGCTCTGACGCCGAGAGGTCGACACGAGAAGAACTTTGGTGGCGCATCGTCTGGCAGGACAGCCTTATCTCGATCACATTTGATCGAGCATCGGCTACGCCCACCATCTCGCATCACAAATCAGTCCAGTCGGCCGACAACACGTGGTTGTCATATACCGACTGTATGAAGATCTTGTGTGAGACGGGTCTCGAGATTGTGCGGGAGAGGAGTAAACACTCGGATCCCCGGCATGAACTCATGCGGATCAACCGCCACCAGGGCGAACTGGCCAGAATGATGGAACACGCGCTCCAGCATCTCAAGGATGCCACGGCGTGCCAGTCGATGAGGGATCAACTCGAACACTGGAACCTCTATCTCCATCGGTCATACATCCTGTCGGAATTGTACCGGTCGGCCTTGAAACGCAAGCAGACTTCGGAACTCAGCAGCTTTCGGGCCGCATGCTTGGAAAATATGGCCAACACGGTGGATGCATTCCTGGGATTGTCCAATGTAACTCGGTTTGCCACGCAATCTTGGGCTGCGGTTCATCGGTCGCTGAGTTCGGCGCTTTTGCTTGGAATTCTGAAACAACCCCAGAGCCAACTCCGGGTCCGGACACTGCTTGACAAGCTTATTGTAGTCATGTCGAGCATCAGCTCTTCGCTGGATCCCACGGAGCTATCTGCTCCGATTTCGAGAGCTGTCAGAGCCCTTGCACGACTCAATGCACACCACGGCTCCGAGGTTGGGACAGAGCACAGTGCGGGTGGGCATGTCGTTCCGGGTTGGGAGCGAAGCGCGAGCTCGGATACTCTGATGTATATGGGGCATCCTTCGAATGAAGCGTCTGGGGATGACGCTGGTCGGTCTGATGATTCGCCTTATGAGTTGATGGAGAAGATCCTCTGGGGATCGCAGGGTATATCCCCAGTTTGAAGAGGATTGTCTTTCTTTCTTTGACTTTGATCTCGCTATACCTGAAGCATTCTCGAGTGCTGCTCTGGTGTGATTTTACAATGCATCGATGGCATTTCCACTGCGAAAGAGACCAAAGCTGGCTTTTGAGTCGCCCCCTTCTACTTCCTCATTTTCTATTTTGATCTTTCTCCGGGAGCTTGCAGTAGCTCCTTGGGTGACAAGCCCCTTTATGAAGCCATACGTATAGGTGACCTCGAAGCGTGAGGTGACCAGTTCGGGAAGGCTCGGATGTATTTCGGAGTGGTGGTGTGGTTGATCACCAGCGAAACGCGCGGAATACGGGGGTAAAAACCAGATACGCGGATTGGCGCAGTCCAGGCCTACGAGGCTATTGCTTCAATTTGCTTGGCTCAGGAGACCTCGGACTTGCAGCGCGCAATGGTCGGAGCAGGTCTAGGCCCCTGGCTCGAGTCTCTAGGCTTAGCTACCACTGCTACCTAAGGGGTGCCTAGTGTTACTTCGGCCTGAAGAGCCCCCAAAGATGCCCCCACGAAGGAGCCAAAAGCAACAACAATAATCCGGGCTTGGGCTTCTTAACCGTAGATACTCCGAAGGTACCTACCTGGGTACCTAAGTCCCCTACTGGTAGTGGTACGAGCGATCGGTACTCGCAGCTCTCGCTCGCTCCGCCCATGCTCCGTATCTCGCGAGGGTCTCGACTCGTCTTACTTTGACCTCCTCGTGCATTGCGCCATCACAGATTTCATCATCTCCGAGTTTCAACTCTCTCCCCAACCGAACCTCTCTGCTTCATCTCCGAAGTCCAGCAAGCGTCTTCCCATCGTCCCAACATGGCTACCATATCTCAGTCATATAAGACCCTACCCACGGTGTCACTCCTGCTACAAGGGATCTACAACTCCGAGACAACACCAACCTTGCCCTTTGAAGCACGAGCATCACTCCTCGATTACAAAGCTCCATAAATGAATACCATCATCTCCCAACCAGAATCCTTAATGGACATGGACGACTGGTACAATTTTGACTTGTCCACAGCCAGCATGGCTGAGCCGCTTGCATACTCGTCCAATCCCATGGCCTCCTACTGCCAGTCTAACGTGGCCGATTTCACCCTGTCGCAATACCTGGCCAAGCAGGGAATTCAGTATCCCTGGGACACCATTGACTCAAGCCTGTTTCACCAGAAGAACCCCATGGACTCAATGACCGCCGCAAACACATCTTTTCCTCAGTATGTGCCGGAGACAACGCAGTCCTGCAGCCAAAACAATCTCCTGGGGCGATGTGCTGGCGAGCACGAAGTCGCAAACAGCGTTTCCAGCTACGACTACAAGCTGCTCGATCTTGAGCCGTCTCTTTCTGATTCCTCAGCCTGTTCCGAAGTCGAAGATTGTGCGACGACAAGGATAACGCTGCAGCAAACGCCGCAGAACTCGACGACCACACGAAGACGGAGCCGCGAGAAGCGCGCCAACAACAAGTCAAGAAAAGTCACGGCAAAGACAGCTGCGTCTCTAGATCAGACGTACCCCTACAGAATCTCCAAGTCCAAGAGGACAACAAGTTCGAGTAGTGACAGCGAAGATATCGAACGGACGACGCTCGCAAAGCAGACCCACTCGGAGATTGAGCGCAAGTACCGAAACAATCTGAACGCGAAAATGCTGCAGCTGCATCGCACCTTGGAGAGCACGAGCCGGATGTCAAGCAGCAGCAGCAGCAGCAGCAGCAGCGACGACAGCGACTCGTCACAGCAAGCTCAGCCGGAGCAGCAGCCGCGAAAGTCAGACATTCTGAGCAATGCGTTGCAATACATTGACGAGTCCGAGCTGGAGATGCGGCACATGTCGGACGAGATCCTGCGGTTGAAGAATCGGCTGGTGGTGTTGCAGCGCATGGTTCGGTGCGAGGGCGATTGTGATGCGCTCAAACAGATAGTGAAGATGAAAATGGCATCATGAACAAAACCAAGCTTCTTCCTCACTTCTTATTCTTGCCTCTCTTCGGTAGCTGAGGAATTAGTACTATATTCCTGCGCAGTACATACGTCGATCCATGACATGATCGGTAGCTACCAGGTATGTACCTATTATTCCAATGCATGGAACGGTTTGAGGTACTCGGCGAGTCGGTACCTGGTACTTGTAGTGTTAGCAGGAAACGACGCAACAAGTACCTAGCGAGCTAGGTACCTCGTACCTTGTACTCCATATACCAATATTCTCAGCGGCGAATCTTCACCTCTCCAAAGTCCACTTCCGTTTCCAGACCTGAGCATTCCACCATTTGACCTGAGTCGTAACTAGGCCATTCTGAGCTGCTGCTTGGCGAGTTTTCTGAGGCACGTACTGAGTGGCGTAAGCAGAGCCCCAAGTCTGTGAAGGTTCCTACAACTTGGCCCCCGTGCTCCTAGTCGTAGGTGTTTTACATATTCGAAACGCCCAAGTTCCGGGCTTACTCTCTGTTATTGTTTCTAGGTGTGCATTGCTACTGCTTGGAGGAAGGTACCCTCCGACCATCGAGTAATCTGGTAGTTGGTGCCACCAGGTGCTTTCTGCTAGACGTCGTGATCGAGTTGAGCCAAACGCGTATCAAGAGGACGCTATCATCTGCACGCTAGCCTTACCCCGCAACCATTTTTCAGCCTCAATCAGCTTGAGATACGGCTGGTCAGACGGCAGTACAGGCGATTCTTTGCCATTGTTGTTTTCTACGAGCTTGTTACACTCGCCAGCTGGATCAGATCTCCTCAGCCAACAACGAGCTGCCGCTTGCCGTCCCTCCTAGTATCCTCCCGCCTCTGCTCAGCGCTCGGTGGCATCCCACCCACTGCGTAGAAATGCGCCTTTTGCAATGCAGCCTCACCGGCGAATTCAGCTTCAAAACCTTCGGTGACGACGATGAGATCCCCGCCTATGCCATTCTTTCGCACACCTGGGGATTGGACACCGACGAAGTTACCTTTGAAGAGATGGAAAGTGGCACTGGGAAGGATAAGCTCGGCTATGAGAAGATCAGATTCTGTGGAGAACAGGCTAGACAAGATGACTTGCAGTACTTCTGGATTGACACCTGTTGCATCGACAAGAAGAACACAGCTGAGCTCCAGCAAGCCATCAACTCGATGTTTCGCTGGTACCGTGATGCTGAGCACTGCTACGTTTATCTAGCAGATGTGTCTATCCCCTTGCCTAGCAGCAACGATGAGTACCCGTACACAACATGGGCATGGAAATGGACCTCCGGGATGCTCATAGTATGGGTCTTTTGGGGCTGGATACTAGGGCTCCTTGGCCGGGGATAAATCGGCACTAAGGAAAAGTATAATCTACAGCCGCTGGAATCTCAACTGCCAACAGGAGGAAGACAACATGCGTCTATGGTGGGTTTTACTTTGCTGCTCCACCAATTTTGGATTGGCTCGGTTGCCGGGTGCCAGCACCGGCAGGCTAGTCATACTTTAGCCTGTTACAGCTCCTGCGGAGAGTGATATCTGAAACCATGATGGGGGCAAGGCGCTTAAGAGCTCCGCGACCCGAGATCTGAGAACTGACACAAATAACAGGCAGATGTCTTCCAGATTAGCCCGTTCTCAGGGATTCACTGAATCTTAATTCATATGGAGTTTAAAAGAACGCTAAGTGTACGGATCTAATGAGCTAGAAGCTAGACCACGACATCTACTATGCCTTCTAAGCTGTTCTCGCAACTTCAACTTCCTGTGCCAACTCAGGAGAGGGGAAGAAGGAACTCTTGGCGCGAGAAGTTGAGATGGCCCTCCAGATCTAGGGAATCATCCCGAAGTCGACCTCCACGAGAACAATCTCCTGACTCAGAGTCATCAGAAAGGTTCGTATAGCCAAGGGCTTCAAGGGCAGCGATGACCTGACATTGGTAGACATGTTGCTGTCTCCGGCCACAATGAAGATGCGCCTATTCTGGTGGCGTCCAGCCCGCCAATCTCATCAAGCGCATCCCTTACCGAAACTCCCATTACCATCATCAAGGACGACAAAGCTACAGCGGGATCTACAGATTTATGGAGCTCGGCGTACCTCGAGGCACTCTACAGTTTCGGGGATGAAGTGAAGAGCGTTATCTTGAAAGGCGAGAGGATTGAGACGCTCCTGACAAGCTTGCAACAGACCAACAAAGAACTTGCGGGCGATTCACTGTTCTGGCGAGGACTGCGGAGATTGCAGGGCCCGCTCAAGACCTTCAAATTGGCCTTGGACATGGCCAGTCCCATTGCGAGTGCCCAGCTCACCGCATCAACGGCCGTTGGAGTTGTGAGCTGCGTAACTACGGTGAGTAACTCAGTCAGCGGTTTAGCAGCCACTGCGAGATTCTCAGACATAGACTAACCCAACCGAAACAGATTGCTATTGCCGTATGTGGAGCTGAAGACTCGCTCAATACTCAGATCATCAGCATGCTGGAACATGTCGCTATTATCGACGATTGTGATACACTCGGTCAGAAGTTAGATGTCGAGAACGGTATTCATAAGGTACGTGGATGTCTTTGTTGGCCCCTAGACTATGCTGTTCGAGTTCTGATCATGTTGTCAGGCTCTCGTCCCCGTGTACAAGGATCTCTTGAGCTTTTACATTGCCGCATTGGACATATTGACCAGCAAGGCGTTTGTGGTTGCACTCGTATGTGACCAGCTTAGCCAGCGCCTACCGACAATTGTCTCAGACTTTGTCAAGCACGCCGCTCTTCTGCGTGACAGGATCGGGAACGCAACACTGGAGCTTGTCACGGATATCAAGAAGCTGCTCCAGGACAATAAGAGTGAGTTTGCCCGCGAAAGAGAAGCTCCTCTTCAGCACAGAAGCTAAAGGGCCCGCTAGTTCAAAAGCTACTGGGCGTCAACAAAGACAAACAACGGAGTGAGTTCCACTCTGATCTTCGCGCACTTCGAGCCAGTGACGCTTGCAAATGGATACTCGCGGATCCCAAGTTCGTCGAATGGTACAATGCTCCGACTTCGGCCCAATTGGTCGTCTTTGGGCACATGGGATGCGGTAAAACTGTCATTACAGCACATGTCATTGAGGAGTTGATCCGCCTAAACAACCACAGGTTACCTCGTCCTGTCATATGCTACCATTACTGCGGAAACGACGAAAGAGGAACGGCACTGTACATCTACTCGAGTCTGATCCTGCAATTGCTCGATCAGCAAGAAGGCCTCAAGGTCGAGTTCGACAGGTGGTACGACAGGACCAAGGAATCAGAACGGTTGGATCCGGCACAGTGCTCCGCGGACCTGGGGAAGTTCTTGTCTGCCTGTGTCAAGAATCTCGACAGAGAACTGGTTGTCGTCATTGACGCGCTGGACGAGTGCGACAGCGATTCACGGGACGAGTTGATCATGCTGCTCGACAGCCTCTCAAATGAGACGCAGAGACTGAAAGTCTTCCTCTCGTCTCGGCCGGACGAAGAAATCGAAGGTTCTCTGCGGCGAGCCTCACGAATTCGCTGGAGTCCTAGTCGGGACCGTGATGCAATCATCGTGGAACACACTGTAAAGCGGTATCTCAAGAATTCCCCTCCAGACATTCAGTCCCTTGTGACCCAAAGGCTTTCCGAGTTGGCACAGGGAAGCGCAATTTGGGTCAAACTTACGGTCCAAGTTATCCAGAAGCGCAGGATAAGGGCCCTGGGTCCCATGAAAACTTTCTTGGCTGATATTCCTTCTCCGACGGAGCTCTCGCAGCTGTACAGCAAATTGTTTGCGTATGCAACTGGAAACGACCCTGCCAATGCGCAAGTCGCCGCGAGCGCACTGCAGACTCTGGCAGTGGCTCGAAGACCACTAAGCATAATGGAGTTGGGTTGGGCTGTAGCGTTGAACGATGCTGGCACAGACATCCGGACCGTGTCGCAGCTCGAAGCCTTGGTGGACGAAAGAAGAGTCCTGAACCTGCTGCAACCCTTCTTATCTCAGGTCGACTTCGAGGATGACAGAAAAAGACAGGTTACACTTGTGCATCAATCCTTGAAGGAGCTGATTCTGCGAGATGGCCCTTCTCATTGGACCCGGTCGCAAGACACTGACGGGAAGTCATCGACCGATGAGCAACGCATCCATCTACGACCGTCCAAACTGGAAGCAAATCTTCTACGCGTATGCGTCAAATACCTTCTCCTTGATGAGTTTAATGAGAACAACCTTTTCTCCGACGAACAAGAAACAATCCAAAGCCTCGAGGAGATGCCCGGCTTCGCATCATTTGACCTTTCCAGCGATGATGTCCCGCCACCTGTCCCATCTACCGCCAGTCCAGTTCTCAAAGACGAGGAAGAGGCCAAAGAGGCCAAAGAGATCTACTACGACCCTGCAGAACGTGGTTTCGGGGAATTCTACGTCTACGCATCTTGCTTCTGGTTAGATCACTTCAAAGTGGGTACACCAGATCTTTTGCCCGACATTTCGGATATCGTTAAGCTCTGCAAAGCAGGCTCGAAAAGGCTACAAAACTGGATTGGGCAAATGTGCCGCCCGGACTGCACGGTCACGCCAAAGTTCGATTATGACAGCCTCTCCCAGGACCCGCTCACCGTTGTCTCATTGCACGGGCCGGAGATCGCACTGAAAATGCTCCTGGAAGACGACAAGATCGATCTCGGAAGCAAGGAATTTCTGGTCGACTCTGTCAGGCAAGCCGTCAAGCAAATTATCCAGTGGGGCGACATCTCCCGACTGTCGATCCTCTTTCGGGATGCTCGAGTCGGCCCAGGGATTCGAAACATCGGGATCTTTCACCAGATGATGACGCAGTGGGCTTCCTCGGACAAGGAATCGCGACCATGGGCAGGCTCCTTTGATCTTGTCTTCGAGATTTGCGATGATTCCTTGGTCCGGGGAAAGTGGGGCAACGAACTCCTGTGCCTGGCCGTGAGCTGTGGTTGTCTCCCAATGGTCAAAAGACTCTTCGAAGAGGCGGCTCGGAACCCGGCCATGAGAAACGAAATTCTGCGAGATGTACGACGAGACATTAGGCCTCCGGATTATCACCAGTCGGTTGGCGAAGCGGTCTGGTACAACCACATCGAAATCCTTCGTTACCTGCTGGAACAAGAAGGCATCGAGCTCCATCTTCGGCATCGCGACTCTGATGGATACAACGTCATCCATAGGGCAGCGCGCTGGTGCAACCCCGAGGTGGTGTCCGTCCTCATTTCACACTTCCCGGAAGGTGTAAATCAAAGCAACAAGCATGGCGACACACCATTACACCTGGTGGTTTTTGGGGCCCAAGGGATGGTCGGCCGGCTGGAGTCAGCAAAGATCTTGTTGACAGAGGGTCATGCGGACGTGAGAGGAGGGCACACGGGTGAGCTGAGCAGCTGGGGAGAACCACTTCGAATGGCTGCAAGGTACGGCGACGCAGCGATGTGCTGTGTTTTAGTGGAAGTTGGTGGTGCCGATCCTCGAAGCGTGCTGAAAGTCGAGAATGGGCGCCCTGAGTTGATGGACCCTGTGGATTTCAAGGAACTAGCGCCCAAAGTTTTGGAAACTCTGTGCTCGCTTGCCGGCATGGCTTGCTAGGCGCGCGCATATCGGTGACAGATGTACAGAATAAGAACAAATGGTGCAATTGAGGCAACTCTGGTCGTTTGTCACGGGATGAAGAAGCGGGATATCTCGATTTCCAAACGTTTGTGCCCAATGCATTTCCTACCTAGGTATCCACGGAAGAAACCCTCTCTGTTTATTGCCAAAAGTGACGAGCGTGGGTTTCCCCTTTAACAGTTGACGCTTGCCGCTATCAAGCTCCGTGACCTCAAGAGCTCGTTTGTAAGAACTTGTCGATCTACGCGCCTCACGACATTAAACATCAAGGAAAGGGGTAACCTGGTATGAGGCAAACATAAGGAAGCACGATCTATCTTGTGCAAATGGGATGGGAGTGTGAGAGATTGTATCCACCGTCTTTGCAAGGAATCCTAGTTTCGGGAGCTTGTTACCCTAAAGCCGTCCTATCGTGGATGGTGGTGCCATCTTTCCCTATCCTCTAAGAGACACATCTACCAAGCATGGCGCGAGAACCCAATAGTAGTAGAGGTCCAAAAACGAAGCGAGGAATTGTCCCTTGACAATATTGAACGCCGCAACGCCAGCTGCCACAGGAAAATAAAGTCGGTGTCAAGTACCCGTCCGACTTGAATTGTGCACAAGCGGGCCTTGTTGTCCGGAGTATCCATTTTTTATGTCTCTTTATACTTTCATACCTAGGTACTCGGTATATTTATGCCATTGACGTGTTTGTGCATTTCTCACATGCGCATTACCTAAGTGTTTCCCTCGTATCGAGTACGTTGATCGATTGATCGAGATCCAAGCCAAGTTTCAACGAGTTGTCCCTGCATATGCCATGCTCGGGTACGAGGCACATTCCTTGGGAGTAGATACCCACCCGCCTAGATACCTACCCGCTACCTATCTAGGTAAGGAAACCACCTACCGGCTATCCGACAACGTCAAACTCCCCACCTCACCAAGGCCAGTGACTACCTATGTAGGTCCTTCCTTTCCGCTCCGAAGGACTTCTGCCCCGGCCAGTGTTCAAATGGACAAAACCGCGACGGATCGTCATTTCACTGCTACATCCATCTTTTCCAGATTGACCCCCATTTCTTTTGACCTTGCCGCCGTGTGGCCGGTAGGTAATAGTTGGCCATGTATGTGTAAAGGAAATGAATGTACAGTACCTACCTCAACTGGGAAGGTAGGATACTAAGGGAGAGCAATATTAGAGATCCCAGTCAGGCCACGATGCGATATGCTACGAGACGGGATATTGTTGTATCTCGCCCTGTCTCTCGTGTCTGTGCCTGATCTCTCACAAAAACGCCCTTTCTTCACCCAAAATTAACCAAAAAAAAAGGACGATGAGGGACAGCAAAAGTAAAAAGAAAACAAAGGTGTAAAATCTCAATAAGACGCCCACCATCAAACCATCATTGCGGCGGCCAGACGATAGTCAAGACTCACATATCACATATCTATCTTATCTCGCTTTCCATGGCTCTTTACACTATACAACAAATACGAGCACGGCCATGGCCGCGCCCCCACGCCCATACGTACACGTTCCTTTGGATAATCGGCCGTATCCTGTTGAATGAAGGTTGATTTCCTCCCATACAGCATGCTCTGGCTCTGGCTCTGACATATGCAAAACCCCTTTCGTGATGTAGAAAGACGAAGACAACGGACTCCCAAGTGTCCGGTTCAATCTTTCCTCCCTCTTTCAAGCTTGCCAGATTCCCTTTCACTTGTCAAACGCAAGCGTCCTGAGCACAGCCCATTCCTCGCACTTGACGAGGTTCCTGATGGTCCGCTCCTTGTCCTGCAGGTGCTTGATCTCGTCGGCCATATGCCGCATCTCCACTTCCGATTGGTGGATGTAGTCGATGGCGCTGTTGAGGATCTCGGACTTGCGGACCCTGCTCGGCGGGTGGAACGAGCGGACAGCTGCTGCTGTCGCGGCGTTGTCGCTGGACAAGCTCGACAACCGCGAGTAGTGCGGGCTCGGCGAGTTCACCTCCCTCAGCACGTAGTACAGCTGGCTCATTTTCCCGTTGAGGTTGTCGCGGTACCGCCGCTCCACGACCGAGTGAGCTGCCTTGGCTTCCTGTAGGGCGGTTTTGTCGTCCTCGTCCGCTTCCAAGGCCTTGAAGGTCGGTTGTCGTGAGGCTCGAGGCTTCCTTCCCCTCTTTTTGGGCCGTTGTTGGCTGGCAGAGGTATTGTTGTTGGCGTTTATAGACTCTACATCCTGGGCTGCTGACTTTCGTTTGCTTCCCCGCGGGCGTCCGCGTGTGGGCGGCTTCGTCGAGATCCATGGCACGACCTCGGACCACTTGATGGGCGGGGCTGCCGCGACGGTGCTCAGCGTTGAACACTCTGACTTCTGGCAGTCCTGGGTTGAGCCGGCCTCCTCCTCATCCTCCACCGGCTGGGTTCCAAAGTTGACGGTGCTTGAGCGGTAACAATCTTCCGGAGTGGTGGATTGCAACGTCTCGTAATCAGAAAAGGATATGGGCGGCGACAGCGGGAACTGTGAGGGTGGACCTGCACCTGTACCAAGCGGCTGACCGGGGAACGTCGTCACATTGTGTAGTTGGAGTTGTTGTTGTTGGTCTGGTCGTGAGGCTCCGGGCTGGTCTTTCAGGTACTCGTGACGGATAAACGGCTGGAATATCGAGATGTCAATGTCATTTAGAGGCTGCAGCAGAAAAATCTTTGTCAATACCAGACAGCGCGATCGGGGTTCCTGTCATGCACCCACCCCATTGCTAATGCCAAAGTCCACGAGGGAGTGGGCAGACATTGGCATATAGTCCATACAAACATGAATATACTCCCCAAGTGACAACAGTCCTTGGGGTCAGTTAACCTTGGTTCTTGGGCCTCGACAATGACTTTCTGGGAACTCTCAGGAGGGGAGCTCTGTTGTTATCACTGCTTTGATGTAATACAAGTACGGGTACGTGATGTTCATAGACTCGGCTTGCGTCAGATGCAATCTTGGCTGGGAGGGACCCGTACTTTGTAGGTATGGAACTGCTCCAGAAGCCAGGTCTGGCCAGCAAGTCGAGCGAATCAAGAAGCCAAATCACCACCGACCACGAGCGGCCTTTCGGGTGGTGACTGCCGATTTCATGAAAAATTGCTGCAAAATAACGTGGACGATCAAACTGGGAGACAGAGTGTGAACATGTGCTTCGCTTAAAGTGGAGTGCTCTTCGTGGAATTGTCGTCGACTCGCCGGGATTAGGGTCGGCATGACATATCCACCAATGTTGTAGTTTGGATCCATCTTCCGGACGCTTCCACCAGTGATGGCATTAGTTCCACCCCCTGACTGGGAAAATCCCCCGAATTGAGATAGGCCTGCTCGGGTTGCTCGGTCACTTCGGCGGCTTCGGCGGTCCAGGGTGTGTCAAGGCTGTGCTCCTGTTAGACGAGCCAATAAGCTCCGTTTTTAGATTCACTTTGGGACTGCATGGAATTAAATCTCCATCATAAAAGTTGAGCACGTAAACGCGGATCTTGAGGTACCCTATGTTGCCACTGGTAGCCTTCAGTGATGTAGAGAGGCGTGAAGACTTTGACGCGAGAGCGAGTTCGGTGCAATGGATGATGATTCAACCCGCCAAGCTAGCAGATTTATCGGCAATGGGCGTGCTCCTCGCAAAGCAGACAGCGATCCCCCTTGAGATGGATGGGATCCATGCATCGCATTGACGATTTGATAACGGAAAATTACCATAGTGTAGATATCGCAGACTGAGGCTGGGTCGTGCTAGTGTATGGATGGGGAGCGCATAATTAGTGGTACAGATTGCTTGGTCCATCCCGAAATCGAATCAGTTGAAAATTGCCCTTAGATCCATTGGAGAAAGAACAAGACAAGGAGCTGCGGTAATAAAAGAGAAGATGAGTTGGGTAGGTGGAGGGAGACGATATTATATAGTATAGTAAGTCTCGGAGCATGTGCCAAAGACCCTCTATAAATACCCGTCGCTTGGTTGTTGCACAACACTCTGTGGGACTATCACCGCATACCTTTTCCGGCCAGTGAGTTGGCGAGCACCATTTCTGGACATACCCTTCCTTTGAGCTCAAGGACCAGTCCCCCGTAAAGCTTCCCCAGGTGGTGTGACTGTTGAATGTCTGGGGGACCCGGCCCGTGCAGAAAAGCAAATCAGGACTGCGGGCTGTCAACCAATTCTCAAGATGAAGATGCTAGATAAATATATATGAACATACCGCCAATCCCAGTAGCTCTTTCAAATCATTTGCTCATGACTCTGTATCCCTGCTTGGGACATCCCAACAATCCAAAGGCTTTAACGATCAGAACTCCACCGCGACGCCGCCATTTCGTGTAGTTTGGCAATGGATTTGGAGAAAGGAGTAGGCAGGTGCGCCCCAGCACATTGCGTGCAGGGGCTTTCCATGACCGAGATGAAGTTGTGGACCAGGTACTGGACCGGCCTCGTCCTGGCAAGATCGTCCATGGTGCATAACATCAAGGCAGCGCTCATTGCTCTCTGCACGAATATTGAAGACTGCTTGACCGCCGGGGCAATGACCTGTAAGTGGAGGAAGCCGGTTATTGCACCGCTCAGACATCGCACATAGGCGTCCATGTCGTCCGGACTGGAGCCTCGGTCTCGAAGAAGCGTCCGATAAAGCTCAGCATTGACGTAGGAGCGGTGTAGATATAAGCTCCAATATTCGAGCCGAGCTTTGGTGGTGTGACAGAGTGTTGCATCCTTGAGGTACGATGCAGCCTCCTGGGACATTTCGTTGAGGACTCCCGAATATCGCGATATATCTTCAAGACTGATGAACTGGCCGGCTCCTCTGTTAGAACGTTCCCGGACAATTTCCAGCCCGATTTGGCAAATTTGCTTCATGCAATCGTTGTAGGAGAGTTCGCTGGGTCCAGGGGTACCGCTCGTCCTCTGCATCTGGATAGTCGAAGGTCTGTCGAAAGCTAAGGCAAGCGAACTTTCTTGCCATATGATGCGCCACCTGTTCTCAAGTTAACAGACACTCGACGTAGCACGTGGAGCTCAACGAACCATAATTCTTTCCTGAGCCTTTGCAGGTTGTCTGGTGTGGACATGGGCGGATCAAGATGTAGTCCAAGGCTTTGTGCGAGTCGGATAGTCAACCCTTTGCCCTTGTTAGTATTTTCCTCTCACAGAGATGTATATTTCCCAGCATTTTACCCTCAAAGCACCAGGCAACACCAGCATCGAGGCTGTTGGCCATGACATCGGCAATGACCAACATGGTTTGAACGTCGAATAGAGTCGGGTATCCGAGGTAATTGGTAGATCGCAAGCATTCGTAGGCGCAGCAGACTGCAACTTTTGTCAGTATAGAGGAAATACAGTAGGGGAAAAGTGGGGGTCAGAAAAATCAATCACCGTAAACTCGAGATTTCCAGCGACGTTCTTCACATGGAAGAGTTGAATATTGACAACCTGAGGCCAAACATGCAAAAAGCAACCCGAGCCAGTGAAGGTCTCTGCCGCCGACTAGCTCCGAATGTGGTGGCGAGTCCGTCTCTGAGAGCGGTGTCTGTTGGGTGTTTGGTCGTCGAGTAAGGAATTCGTGGAGGTCACTCTGAAATTGGTCGAGGTCCGGGATGGCTGGGAAAACTGCATGAGCAGTCTCGCTGTAACAGGTGAAGAGGCTGCGGCAGTCCACGTCGCCCGGTAGTAATTCGCACAGGCTCTGAAATCTCGAGGCCGGCTCGTTGTGCAATCCCCACAGCGCTGAAAAGGGGTAAGTGACCGACTGGTTCTCTAGGGCGAAGATAGAGAGGATCTCCTGGTTCGAGATATCCTGTGCCCAGCCTGTAAGGTCAGCGCCTGCCGTTGCCACCACCGGAGGCTGCTGCACTGGATGGCGTCCCAAGTGCATAGGCTGGCCTGTGCCCCGCGTGCTCGGCCCTGGCGGCGGAGCCGTCCACCAAGTCACATCTCTGCTGGGACTGCGTTGCGATTGTTGCCCGACCACAGTGGACGATTCTGGTCTGGGCGGCGTCATTGCGCCCAGAACCCGGTCGATGTCATCTCTCATCTTCCATAGCGTCTGCTCGAACAGAGCGGCTTTCTGTGCCACCGCCGGCTCGTCTGAAGCTGCGGGGGTGTTGGTGCTGGCGCTGGCGCTGGCAGCGGCCGAGGACGACGAGGTCTCGGGAAACGACTTTGCGCGGGGGGCGTCATAGATGCAAATCTCGGGATAGCCCCTATCAATGCAGGTTTGACAGGGCTTCACGTAGTTGCACTTGACTTTGCGTTGATGGCAAGGGTAGCAGGCCCTTGGGGTTCTGTTGTCCCGGCGCTGTCGAAGGACCTCGTCGATATCCTCTCGCGATAGATCTGGTTTGCGTTGTTGTAGGTCCTGAAAACGATCCATGCTCCGTCATGGTCTCGATATGGACCGTTCTGGCATCTGAAACTCGGCATTTCCCTTCCTCTATATGCCCCCAGAATCAAAACTCAGCCTCTTATGAAATGGACAATCTGGTATTGACTGGTGGCAAGTGACTAGGCTGTAAGGGGCAATGGGCGGGCTACGTCTCGTGTGGTGGGTACGGCACATGCCGCCTATCCAGAATAAATGGCACGACATTCTCTTTCCACCCCAGTGTTTTCTCCCTAAGCATCGCGTAGAGAATACCTCGCACCATTCTCGAATCTAGGAGAACGTAGCCGCGCCATTTATCGAATCTCCTAGAATGGTCACAAGACTCTATCCTGCTTTTTGTTTGTTAGGCGGCCCGGGGGCTTAGGGGCCTCGGGCCATATTGGCGCAGATGCCGACTACGTACTTGGCGACGCCGCTGCTCGGGACGACGATAGAAACACTTCTTTCAGACTGCGCCTCTCCAAATCACTTGGAGGGGTATTCCAGAGAATCTAGAACGTCTATTCGGAAGCAAGAAGGCCCGATGAGTGATAGTGAGCAACCGTGGACGAAAGATGCGACCGGATATCACTCAGTACCGGACGAGCAGTTTCTTGAACTTTCAGACGGTGGTAGAAATGCGAAATTGTCCGCATAGCCGTTGCTGTTTTGCCAAAGAAAGTCATGTTGTTCCGATGCGCGCAGAGTCAGTTGATATATGTGTTGGATAACCATGTATGCATCTCGAGGCTGAAATAAATCCAAGAAGTGGCTCCTTAACCTAGTATTTGTAGGTTCGTTGGATCTGTCCCACCAAACTAGACCCGCGGCCACTGTATCCTTCCAATTACCGGCGAGCCGGGTGCCGACCACTTTTTGGCCACCAGTGACCGGAAATTCCCCAGAATAATCTGTTCCTTTCCCAATTTCATACAAGTTTGATCTGGACACAGTGGCCATTGTTGCTCTGACAAGTTTGCCATCGACTGCCGGAGTGAAGAAAGAAAGTGGAAGGAATGGACACCAGGCCTACACCAAGCCTACACCCGTAATAAGGTGGAAAGACCCCGACAGGTCCAGGCCTTTGTTCGGGCCCTGCAGCTTGTGGGCCCCCCACAAGTAACGGGCGCACAGGATGACCAGGGTTGTCGATCTGAACTGCGCGGATGGACGGGGTTGACTGCTCAAATCTGCTGAGCTATACCGGAACCGGTGGGGAAAATTCTTCCTTAGCAGGCATCACGAGAACCTCCAGAAGTATTCGATGAGTCCCAATCCACAAAAGGGCTCCAACGGTGTTCGGACCCGTTCCGCGCTGGCTGTCATTGATGATTTCTCTCCCCCGCCTCCCCCAGAAAGGACGAAAGTGCTGAGCGCCACATCTTGCTGCGCTCAAATAAGCGAGTCCGCGAACTTCACACTGACCCGTCGCTTGTGTCCAATGCAGACGGCCAGGGTAGTTGTTTCGTCTGGAAAATGTTTGACCCAATGCTCCCCCATGTTCAGCGCTGCCACTGCTGCAGACTCGGGAATCTCGAAGCTTGTGCAGACCTGAACAGAACAGCTGACATGAACCCTTGACGACTGGTTGTCGACTCGCGGCTCGTGGTTCTTCGTCGACCGGTGTGCCGTGCTCAGTTGGTGAACAGTAGAGTAACCATTCTACCCGCAGTGTGGAGCTCCAAGCAGCAAAATCTTTTTTCTCTCGGACACCGTAGATGAATCGGTACCGCGGACTTTCCCCCTTCGTCCGTAGAGATGTCTCATGTATGGCATTGGTCACATGCACCATGTGAGTTGATTTTGCCTTGCGATGAAAGGCTACACCAAGAAGGTTCCATGCAGCCAGCCTCGCAGCCTGCAGGGCCCTGGAGGGTCTCTAACGAGTAAAAATGTCACAAGAGTGATTACTTAAGAAGATCTAGATTTAAGCTTCAGTACCGGTTTCCCTTTGGCTGTAGTTAAAGGTACTTAATACTCCGGGGTACCTCGCGAGTACCTAAGTACCTATCGAGCTATGTAGCGAGGAATTAGCGCCAAGGCACCCGACATTCCGGGAATATCGCGGTCTCCTCCGTGCTCCGTGCTCCGGGCTCCGTCCCACATTGTATCTTTCCGGCCAATGACACAGTGTGTATAGCCAGGTACCTAGGTAGCCGCTACAACACACAATGTACCGCTTTGTCGAGGGATCCCAATTCGGGCTTACCGAGACCAAAAAACTATGATGTTGATATTTTAGAGCAATTATGACTGTGCAGATCTTGTGGACGACATGACCGAGTTCTAACCTTTGTCTGCCTACAGTACTCGGTAATACCTGCATTACTAAAGATGTCACACCACGCAACTTGTATACAACCCACCTGCAGACACCCAATGTCACCTGATGCCTCGTGCGTAAATCCCCAAGGTCGAGGGTGCATAATCCATCTTTGCTTGGTGTGGTGCACTATTCATCTGATAATCCCTCAATGCAGTGCCGTCAAAGGCCTTGGGGACTACTTCGTACTCTATGTATGAGAGATTTTATGCAGAGGGGGCCTAAACCCAAAGGCAATATGCTTTGCTTCCTTTTACCAAGCCATTGCACCGTCCGTGACCCTAGTCTCCAGAAACACAGGAGAGGCCTCCCTCGTAGAACCATCGCCTTGAACATACCGGATATCATTGAGACTTCAGTTTGTCCGTCAACTCAGGCACCTTTTCAAAGAGATCCCCAACCAGTCCTACATCCGCGACTTGGAAGATTGGCGCATCGGGGTCCTTGTTAATACATGCAATGACTTTGCTGTCCTTCATTCCCGCGAGATGTTGGATGGCGCCCGATATTCCCACGGCCAAATACAGTTGAGGGGCGACATTCTTCCCCGTCTGGCCGACTTGCAAGCTGTTGTCCGCAAAGCCACTATCCACTGCCGCTCTCGAAGCTCCAATGGCCGCGCCCAACGCGTCTGCCAGCGGAGGCATTAATCGGTCGAATTCTTCTTTGGATTTCAAGCCACGGCCGCCCGAAACAACCTTCTCGGCGGAGGCCAGCTCAGGACGATCGGATTTTGTGAGGTTTTCAGAGATCCATTCGGTGGACGACTCAGCCTTGGTGTCCACGCCATCCTCAACACTAGCGGAGCCGCCTTCTGTCTCTGCTGGTGCAAAGGATGTTTGGCGCACTGTTAACAGTTTGGTGGGGTCGGTGCTCTGGACCGTGAGAATGGCATTGCCGGCGTATATAGGTCTGACAAACGCTGTATCACATCAGCATAAGTGTCGTGTTTTCGGTGATGGGGTTCCAGCTCACTGTCTTCGCCCTCGATACTCATAACATCCGAAATCTGCTGGACGTCTAACAACGCCGCCACTCTGGGAAGCAGACTCTTGCCAAACGCCGAATGCGCCGCAATCACATGAGTATATCCTCCCTTCTTGATATTCTCTACCAGCAGCGGCGCCCAGTTCTCGGGTAGCCCTCTGTCGTACGCCTCGTTCTCCACCGCGATGATCTTCTCTAACCCTTTGATTTTTGACGCTTCTTGTGCGACCGTCTTTGCCGACTTCCCGGCGACGAAGCCATGTACAGAGCCTCCAAGCTTTTCTCCAGCCGTGACTGCCCCTAGCGAGCCACTGTTGAGTTTGCCATCTCTTTGCTCGAGGATGGCAAGTGTGGAAAGTAGTCGTGCGATGGATGACGATTGGAACTGGAATAAAAGGCCGCGGGGCGTGGACTGGGCGCGAACTGCCCGGATTGCGGATTGCCCAGCTAGTGACAGCATGGCTGGAAAGGACGTCTCTCCTGCTGGAAGAGCAGATATGAGGAGAGATTAGAGGAGCGACGCTGGAAAACCAGAGCAATGTCGTGTAGATGAATTCTTGGTCGCGGTCTTTAATTCGGCGATTGACGTCTTCGAGTAAACGGGAGCCGCCCAAGCTTCCACCGAGCCAGCCACTGGTACCTCGACCTCGGGAACTTCAGGGTTTACGCGAGTTTCTCCCGAAGGCAAACATTCCGATGTCGGGAAACTCTTTTCCAGGCACAGCCTTGACTTCAGCGTCCTTTGGATTATTGTTGAAGCTGAAAGGCAGGGTACAGCAATACCTAGTAGGGTTGAAGAAGGAAAATGTTCCAAACACACATTCTGCATTGCATTTTCACGAGCATATTTGCCCACTCCATTCTCTAACTTCACCCATCGGAGCTCATTCTGGGCTTTGTCTTCGACAGTGATACGAAAGACAACAAACCCAAGTTTCCGGTTACAGATGAAAGACGCTGATGTCTGGTTCCCTTCCGCTATGCATGACGCTGAACGCTAGACAAGAGACGACAGCCTGTCGTGTACACAGACGATTGCACAGACATGCAACCCAGAAAAAAAAGACACAGTAAGAAATCATGCTCGGGAGACAAGCCGCGCGCTCCCAAACCTATCCCGCCGCTTTCCACTACGACGATGTTGGAAGGACAATGTCTCGCATGGACTATTTGGGCTTCCGCCAGAAGTATTGCTATGCTGTGTCAGTCCAGAACTGCTGAGAGAGCACGAGTCGGGAGACCTTACCTTGTGCTGTTTGCGGCAAGCTCGCAAGCCCGGCTTTCGTAAATCATTGACTACAGCTTCCTTTCTCTTCTCATCCTCATCTTGGTCTGGAATGTAGTAAAATTCGCTTTCCAGAGGCTTGCCCGCCGCATCTTTTCCTTCCCTGGCAACTTCACCAATGCACGCTGTCTCACGGATGAGGTTTCTGATTTCATTGATGGACAAAACACCAGCCTCGCGGGGAAGGTGGCTTAGAATGGTGGACAAGGGAGTAGATGACAATCTCGAGAAGGCGAGCTGGTTGATAATGTGCCCCTGCACGTCAAATTCTGGGTCTTTCTTTTTAGGTGAGCTCAAACCGTCGCTGTGAGGAAGAGGTTCTGTGTGGGAAGAACGTGTGCTTGTTGCCGAGTCACTAGGGTAAGGTGAATCTCCAGCGGAGACTGACGCCATGCGTGGCAGCAGATTTGCACCAAACGGTCCGAAAGAATGGATGATGGGATCGTTTTCCTCGTCATTGTCCGAAAACTCTTCGGCAGACAACGCAGCACTATTCTGAGAGGTCTCGGCGTGTCCCAAGTTCTGTGACAATGCCAGTGTAGACTGTGACACTTCAGTACCGGTGACCGTTCCACTGCTCTCGTTGGTTGGTTCGGGATCCTCATATATTTCGACGGTAGCTGGAGGAAGTGGCGGTGAGGAGGGCATTACAGCTCGAACCGCGGGTGATGGGGAGATGGGAGAAGCAAGTCGTCGTCGAACCTGCATTGGGCTTGGGCTGGGTGGTGTTGAATGGCGCATCATGGCGCGCTGGCGCTTGGCCGGAGAACTATCCTCCTCCTCGTCTTCAGAAGAGAAGGCGCCCAGGTGAGGTTTAGGAGGCCAATCCACGACGACGCGACTGTCATGAACGTCAATCATGATCTCAGAGTCTCTAATGTCGGACGAAAACGTCTCTCCCTTCTTGACCTCATAGACCTGGCCCTTGCAATGTATCTTGATCCCATTCCAACCAGTACATGTGATTTCGACACGATCACGCTCAAGACGCGAACCGGCAACTTTGTAACAAGCTTCCACGTGGACTCTGGAGATCAGACGGTTCGAGGAGAATTGGTAGTCGCAAGAAGCGCTGGATCTTCCCATACGCGTTACCTTGCCATCGGCTTGCAATTGGATAGAGGGCACAGCACCCAGAGGAGTACGTTCAGCAAGGGTAGACGAGGTCCGTGGAAGACTAGGTCGGGATTTGGCTACATGTGCTGGTGAGGAAGACAGAATAGCGGTAGAAGAAGTAGGTACGGGTGTAGGATAGGTCGTGTGCTCGTCGAGAACATCTCTGTTTCGTTTGAGGGGTCTGGGTAAAGCCGGTGACGAAGACAGCGGTTCGAAGGCGGGAAGCAGTGATGTTGCTGCTCTTTTCGGGCCTGGAGAGGGTGAGACGACTGTCTCTGCGAGGGTGGTCGAAGGAGACATGGTCACCAGGCGTCACAGTGCCCAGCTACTCAGGAAGCGCGGTCGCTGGGGGTCGAGTTGCCAGCTCAAAAGCGCGTCCTCGGCAGAGGAACGGGGCCCAGCGGGACGAATCTGCTCATGAGAGGTTCAGCAGAGAATCAGACAGGAGGAAGGAAGAAGGACAGCACGTCAAGAATGCAGCTGGCCACGGAAGAGGTCAGAGGGCATGAGGTTGGACATTGAAAAGGTGCTGGTGGTGCTGGTGGTGCTGGAATGGATGGACTGAGGGCAACTCACGCGAAGTGGAATCGTGGATTGGAGAAACGAGACCAAATGACACCCACCCAGCGAGCCAGGCTCCGGAATGGCAGAAAAAGGCAGATGAATGGCAGATGAATGGCAGATGTGGAGTGGCCCGAGTCAAACGTTCTGCGCGCCAGCATTTTTCGCACGCTTCTGACGCCACTAACTAGCAAATGCCCATGACACGCATCGAGGAGCGCGTCTGGCACCGATGATCGAGAGATTCGCTCACAGTTTGGCCCAATATTAGAATAATTAATATCACCATTTCAATTCCGAGGATAATCTGGCTTTTTATTGAGGAGGGAAGAAATGCAGTGTGAGAAAATGGCTCCTTTCTGCCGCCATGTCGTTGGCCACCATCTACGCTAGAGTTACATTGCATTGCATGTTTGGCTTCATCGTAGACCGAGCACCCGTGAACGCGGTACTTCGTATATACTAGGTATCAATGGGATGTACTCGGTAGTGCTCCTGCCCCAGCCAAACATGCCATCGTCGCAGCAGATCATTCACGTAGCTGTAGCTCAACACATATCTATCACTGAGTGCTGCATCGTCACGGAGCTCGCTCTTCTGCATTGCATTGCATCCCATCCCTTCCGGCTCATCGGCTGTGGGCGGGATCTTCAGTGGGAGAAAGTTGGCGAGGCACCGTGATTGATGATTAGAGGCGGAAATGAGAATTGGAGAGCGGCGGCCAGATCGAGGAAGGTCAGCCGAGCGAGATTCGAATTTTCCCCACAACTTGAACTGCGACTCGCCGGCAGCAAAGTCGCCCGACCACTGTGACCAGGGTCCTTTTTTGGAACTTTTTTTCTTGATGCGGCTGTTGAAGAGAACACCCTCTCGACCAAAAGACAAACTGCCCAACTCCTAAGATGGCTGCTCTTACCAAGGTGACAACCACGGTCATGTCCAAGCAGCCGCAACAGACTCCCTATCAGCTCCATCCTGACCAGGTATGCATGCAATGGCCGCCTGTCCTGAATCGCTTTCTCTAACCGCTTCCCTTCCAGACTCTCAAAGCCTCCCGGGCCTTGCTACAGCACATTCAGGCAGAAACCAAGCGCTTACAGCAGGCATCTTCAAAAAAGAGCCTCCTGGCCGCCAGCGGCTCTGATTCAGAGGACGATGCCACCGACGACCCAACGGCCCCGATTTGGCTCACCCTCACCACCAAACAACACATTGTGGACAAGAACCGGCTGAAGCCCAGCAAAATTGCCGTCCCACATCCCCTCAACACATCCCCAGACCTTCGGATATGTCTGATCACCACCGACCCTCAAAGAGCAGTGAAAAACGTGGTGGCTGACCCTGCATTTCCCGAACATCTCAAGTCTAGAATCACTCGAATCATCGGATACACCAAGCTCAAGGCGAGGTACAAGACATTTGAACAATTGAGGGAACTGCTCTCTGAGCATGACCTCTTTCTCGCGGATGATCGTATAGTCACCCGCCTGCCAGGAATCCTGGGCAAAGTCTTCTACAAGGGGACCTCAAAAAGACCCATCCCTATCATGATCGCTGATCCCAGGAAAGACAAGCCAAACAAACCGAAAAAGTCAAAGGAAGACAGCACTGCTGCTTCTCCTACATCTCCGTCAGCCCTGGCCAAAGAAATTGAAAAAGCGCTCAATGCTGTTCCTGTCAGTCTCCGACCCGGTACACTTGTCGCCGTACGTGCTGGCCTTGCCTCATTCAAACCCGAGCAGCTGTCGGAAAATATTGCAGCCATTGTTTCAAAGTTGATTGAAAAGCACGTTGTCAAGGGATGGAGGAATGTAAGAGGCATTCACATAAAAGGGCAATCCTCATTCGCAGTACCGATATGGTTGGCGGATGACCTGTGGACCGAGCATGGTGACATAATTGCCACGAGAGATGAAAATGATCCTTTAGAAGATGGCGTTCAGCAAGGACAGAAGCGAAAGCGAAATGCAGCAAGCACAAAAGGTCCCCAGGCTGGCTCTCGGAAGCGTCTAAAGGATGACCAAGGAAAAAACGAAAAGCCTGTGGCCGATCAAGAAGCCGCACGTGCACGAAAAAGCAAATTGGCTGCTCAGAAAGCGAAGGTATTTGAAGAACAAGTCTGAGCAATGACCGTAGCACATGTAAAGGGCTATCACTGCGACACATAATGAACAAGAGTTTGATGTCCACTCTAATGTCCAGCGTCTCCGTGCGGCCTGTAATTCCCATGCAAGGCTGCTCCAGCTTGTTTTAGGTACATGTCCATGTACCTGGGTAGGTACCTCGCACACGCTCGTACTTTCACATTCTAGGGACGCTGCTGGCTGGTTCGTAGAATCGTAGGGGCTCTTGGCACCCATCATCGGGGCGGGCTCTAGCGAAGCCCGATACCAGGGTGTCAGGCTTGTGGGAAAACATAATACTGTCCGAGTGCCCCTCCAACTCAATATCCCTGGAAAGTGATTCATTCACCCTTCACTCATCTGGTGCGCAACCCTACAGTGACGAACGCGTAGTGACATCTGCCGTTCGATCTCCCACGCAGGATTCCTGCAGCTTCTCTGCACCTTATCCTGTCGTCATGCGAGCGTCAGGATCCTCTTTACAAAACCGCGGGCCGTCATGGACCGCAAGCGCAAGAGTAGATTCACTCCGCCACGGTTGGGATACAATACACTAACAGTTTGACATCAGGAGAACTACGTGACCTAAATTTGCGCGTCTGGGCAGGCGCAAAGGGTACGCATCGTCTCTCGGCGCCATGGGATCGTCTCTAGCTGACATGGCGCAGACGTCTATGAAGTTGCAAATTCACTCGATTCCTCACTGAAGAAAAACACCGCGTTTATTAAACGACTCCGAACCGGGTTATCGGCCGCCGCACAAGACACCTTTTTGTCGGAGATTCGCACCTTGTCCCTGCAAAAATACCTCTCCGAGATCACAACGGCGACGGCTGAAGGGTTGGGCAGACTCAAGACCGCGAGTGAGATTGCCACGGGTGTCGAGGTTGTCAGTGCATTACACCAAAGATTTGGACCCCAAGAGTTTACTAAGCAGCTGGCATGGCTTCTGGGCAAGGGATTGACGACTCCTGACAAGGCTCAGGTGAAGTTGTGGAGTCAGGAGGTGCGTGAACGTGAAGAGAAGGAACGCCTAGTTCGACACCGCGTTCTCCTTCGCGTCGTCACCGAATTCTGGTTGTGTGGTGTTCTTCGAAGTCTGGACGATGCGGATCGGCCAGACGAAGGTACATCGCGAGGCAAGGACGCCGCTTCACAACTCGAGTCCAAGGCGAAGCCGAGCACAAATGGCATTCGACCCGACGCTCACGTTGAGCATGAGCCTTTTCCTCTGGAAGTCCTCAAGGACTTGTTGGGCCATGACCCGGAGCACGCTAATCTCAGTCTGGCCGTTCTTTTTGTCAAGAATTTCGCTTGGGATGTTTTGGGACTCAAATTACCCGCTGAAGAAGGCCGGAAAACAGTCGATGCAGACGGTCACGTTGTCGAGCACGTAAAAGATGGCGATAGCTCCACCGATTCACCCGAGGAAGACGCGCCCATCATCCCCCAGCCCATCCGGCAGAGATTCATCAACATTTTAGAACGATACTTGACTGCCGTCAAAGCCCACGTCGTCCGAGACCAGAGATCTCTCAACAACCAAAGCCGCCGCAACGCCGAGGCTTATGTCAAAAGCGGAGAAATCTTCGAAGACAGGCAAGCAAATTTCGAGAAGCAGTCTAAGGCTCTAGAGAAATTGGTTGCAAATGCCCAAGTCCTTTGCGATGTCCTTGGACAAGAAATGCCAGATCTCGAGGAGAAAGGCAGTGCAGAGACCGCCGCATCAGGGAGCGTCGGGATGATCAAGACAGGCGACTATCTCAAGGGCTCAGGAGAAGGCGCTGGCATCTGGGAGGATGAAGAGGAACGTCGCTTCTATGAGAACTTGATTGATCTCAAGGGCCGAGTCCCGGGCATCCTCCTGGAGGATTCCAAAAAGAGGCTTGAACCAGACGATCATGGTGAAGCTTCCACCGCAGCCGTTGAAGGTGGGACGAGCAAGCCTCTGGAGAACGACGACCAGTCCACTGCCATCACGAACAAGACGGTTGGCGCTCAAGTCGATGCTATTCTCCTGCGTCTCCCAGAATTGCAAACCAAGGATATGGTCGATCAGGTCGCTTTGGACTTCTGCTTCCTCAACTCCAAAGCCTCCCGGAATCGCCTGGTCAAGGCGATTCAGGAAGTTCCCAAGGGTCGAATCGATCTGCTCCCTTTGTATGCACGACTTGCCGCCACTCTTGGGCAGTACATGCCTGATGTCGTACAGGGGTTGATCTCGCATCTAGATGACGAATTTCGCAGCCTCCAGAGGCGGAAATCCAAAGATTTTCTGGGGCAAATTCGCATGGCTAACATACGTTACCTGGCTGAACTCACCAAGTTTGGGATCGTTCCAGAGCACGTCATTTTCCATTGCTTCAAAGTCAGTTTGGACGATTTTTCGAGGATGAACATCGAAATCATCGCCCATCTGCTCGAAAACTGCGGTCGTTATCTTCTACGCAATCCTGAGACCTCTCCCCGGATGGCGTCTTTCCTCGAGACGCTGAACCGCAAGAAGTCCGCGCAGCACATGGGGGCTCAAGAGCGAATGTTGATCGAGAATGCTTTGTACTATGTTGACCCTCCTCAGCGGTCTGCGATCCAACAAAAAGAACGTACGCCGACGGAACTCTTCGTCCGGCAATTGGTATATGTGGACATGACCAAACGAAACTACATGAAGGTTCTCAAGACCATCCGAAAGCTCCATTGGGAAGAGAAAGAAGTTGTCCAGATGCTGGAGAAGATTTTCAGCAAGCCGGGAAAAGTCAAGTTCAGCAACATCCATCTCCTGGCTGTTCTCCTTCAGGCACTTTTGCGGTATCATCAAGAATTTGCTATTGGTATCATAGACAATATCTTGGAACAAATTACTCTGGGTTTGGAGCAGAACGACTTCAAGTTCAATCAGCGGAGGGTGGCTGAAGTCAAATACCTGGGAGAGCTCTACAACTACAAGATGATCGACTCAACCGTGGTGTTCGACACATTGTATCGGATCGTGACATTTGGTCATGAAGGCGGAACACCCCAACCTGGAAACTTCACACCATTTGATCCTCCTGACGAATTCTTCCGCATCCGATTGATATGCACTCTCCTTGACACTTGTGGAATCTGTTTCGACAGAGGTAGCTCTCGCAAAAAGCTCGACTTCTTCCTGACTTTTTTTCAATACTACATGGCTACAAAGGATCCACTGCCGATGGAAATTGAATTTCTGGTGCAGGACACCTATTCTCTTGTCCGTCCTAACTGGAAGGTGGTTACCGAGATTGGAGAGGCGGCTAAACTATTTGCTGAAGCTGTAAGCGCGAATTACAGACAGCAGGGGGCGGACAAAAGTGCGGAGCAGCCGGAGGACGTGGAGGACTCCGGCTCCGAAGATGCACTTGGCGAGGGCGATGCTGAACTTGAAGCTGAGATTGCGCACTCATCAGATGAAGAAGCCGAGGTAAGCACTTTGGCGGCTTGACTCGAGATCGTCTGCTGACTTTGAGGAGGCTGGCCCAGAAGAAGACACGGGTGAAGAGAAAGAAGACGTTGACTCCGACGAAGAAGAACAGATTGTGGTCCTGCGTCAAGAGGAACACCTGGACCCGGAGGCCGAGGCTGAGTTTGACCGAGCGTTTGAGAAGATGATGGCTGAAAGCTTGGACTCCCGCAAATTCGAGCGCAAGACTCACTTCGACGTACCATTACCCATTCGTAAGATCCAACGAGCGCCGGTCGAGCCGAATGAGGATGAACCCAGTCCTGCTCCCCAAGCTGAAGCCAATACGATGGCGTTTTCGTTGATGACGAAGAAGGGTAACCGACAACAAGCAAGTCTACCCCACCAACCATCTTTTGACTAGTACTCTAGGTAAGGCCTAGATGGAACGGATTACTAACATCTTTTTAGACAAAGACGATTGCATTACCATCAGACTCGAGCTTTGCCGTTTCGATGAAATCGCAGCAAGCCGCCGAAAGGGAGGAGCAGCAGCGCATCAAGAACCTAGTCTTGAATTATGATCTGCGCGAAGATGACCAACACGATGGTATTCCCAACGGATTTCTTTGTGGCCCTATTGTTCAACCGCCCTTGGAGAAGAACCCCAATACTAAAGGTCTCAAATTAGGACCCGATCACTACAATCCTTCCCTCAGTCGTGCTGAGAGGTCGGGACGCCACGCGCCCCGAGCAAGAAGACTCAATTTGAGCGATGTGGACTGGTACGGCTCCAAGAAATTACATCTCACGTCGGCAACGTGCGAGAGAGAGGCGACCAGCAGCCCTCGATCACCGCACAGTCACTCCCCCATTACCTCGAAGAAGCCAGGCTGATCGGCCATTTGGCCTCAATAGGACGTGAGATACTGCCGCTTGGCTTATCACCCAGCACCCGACTCTGCTTCGTGTACTCCGCGAACCAATTCCGTCTCTCCGCCCTGGTGATGGTTGTAGCAGAGCCGCCCCTCACCAGGTGGTTTCAAGGTTGCACCACATGCGCCCGAGCATGAAAGAGTCCAAGCCGCTCGAGGCCTCGATCCGCACGCAGAGAAGCAAGGCCTGTCATTCAAAAACGTCTGGCCGCGAACCTGACAGCCGTCCTTGTATTGGGGCCATCAGTCGATCCGCCAAATACACAGAGCAACTACCCGCGACGACGATTTGGCTCCCACCATCAGCAGGCTTGTTGCAAGACGACCGGTCACTAACCGAGGCTCAAGCCTCATTCGCCAGTAGCCGTGAGACGGTTGTCCAGCTCAAGAGTGAACAATGGTCTCGGACCCTCGAAGGCAATGTCGATTTCGGAGGACCGGATATGGTTACTGGTACTCACTTGGCCACCAAACTCGGTGGGCCACTGTTCAACGTCCCACTCAAGACCCTTTGTGGTAAGGAAAGTGCGCCCAAGAACTGGGAGGATTCCCACATTCTCGGCAAAATAACCCGGTTCGAGGTGGATGAGATTGCGGCCATCAGCTAGAACAAATGACAAACTCTGTTCTGACAATAAATAAATGCGGCCCTTCAAAAGCTCCGGATGGTTCTCCGCCATGAAAAGGTGGTGGACTTGCGAGAAGCCTTGGTCTACCCGACCTCCAAGCCCCCCTAGTACAACGACGTCCATAATGGGCTGAGGCTCTTCGCCGTGACCTGATGCGCCACGTTCGAGCTTCGATACTGCCCAGTCGCGAATCCATTTAAGACACTTGGTGAAGTCCGTAGAGTACTGATCTGGGTCCTTGATCACTTGGGACCCTAAAGAGCGATAATGCTCACCGACGGACTCTGTCAGGGAATCAAGATCGCCCACGATAGCATCCGGAACGCGGCGCTTTAACTTTGACATGCCGTTCCGTGCCGCTTTGTCGTAGTTGTACAGCCTGTTGGCGCCACCGTCGGCGCACACGAGCAACGAGGCTGACCCGATAACGGCATTCAAGGCGTTTTTGTTGACTGGCTGGTTGAGGATGATAATTGCATAACGCTGTGTAGGCTTGTTGTTCAGAAGGCCGCAAGGGTGCCAGTCTGTCACCATTCTTGCCGAGTGCTTCCCCCTGCCGAACGTCCGCAGGGCCACGATGGTGAGTAATCGCGACATCTCGCCAGGCAGTATTTTTGTCTACGAGGATGATGCCATGATTTATCCGGATATTACTTGGCGCAAGCGGAATCGGACATTCGGGAAAACCGGAAAAACACATATCCCGAGATCTGGTACGAGGGGCCTGACAACCCCGAGTTCAGATCCAACCTCGCGTACCTACTAGGTAGGTACCTCCTCGAGACGCGTCAACATCAACGCCTGCGCTCAGTGGATGCCTCTCATCTCATGTATACCGACCTTGAGACTAACCCGAGCAGATAAGCCTCAATTGTATCGGACCACCTGGTGCATAGTCTCGGGGAGCTGGTCGTTCTGGGACCATCTAAGCCCATTCGGTCGAGAGCATGACGCATAGAGCCCATGAATCGCAACACTCATCTCCCCCGATGGCATTCGAAATGACCGAAAACAGACTACAGTAAGCCGATGCAGCATCGAAGGTTGTGGTCTGGACCAGGGCGGAGGGGATCATGCTCGATTCGGTCCCCCCTCAGGCAAAGCATCTGCGTTAGCGAAGGTCTCGAACCTCGAAGCTGAAAATTCATGCAGGGTCATCATGCCGAACCCGCTTAAGCGTATTGTTTAATGCACTCTCAGGCCCAGCCCTAGAACGTCACAAATCTCAAAGCTGAAAGTATATGGTCGGCCGCGCTGCAGCACCAATGTGCACGTCTCTATGCAGGTCTTTCCCGGTGCGTGGCTGGCTGTATGGCCATGATTCTGCAACTCTCTTGCAGCGTTCAGCTCGTCGTTCAGCGCCTCATGGATTGCACAGGTTTATATATATGTGAAGAGAAAGCGAGCAGAATGAACACTTTGAGATGCTGCCAACTTATTCTTCAGACTCTACCGTGACATCTGTCTTAACACGATGAAATCCGAAGCCGAGAAAAAGGATGACCACGACCGTCTCTTCAACGGCTTCGCGTTCTTTCATAGGCTTGCTGACATCTACGCTTGGAAGGAGGCCGACGCAGACGTCTTGCAAATCGCGAATACACCTCTCTACGAGCGGCCGGGCAGCGGTGATTCGACCAAATGCAAGGTCCTCGTCATGCATGATTACAGGGGCAATTACCTCCCTTATGAAACTTCCCAGGGTGGGACCCAGGCCCGGAAGGATTATGTCATGGAATACTGGCAGCATGTTGAGGTCTTCAATTACTTCTCGCATCGACGGGCTACTATCCCTCCACCGGCCTGGATCAATGCTGGACACAGAAATGGGGCGCAGGTCCTCGGTACTTTCATCATCGAGCCCGACAGCAAGGAGGAACCTAAAAGGATATTCGACAAAGACTCGACGAAGCCCATTGGGATGAACTATATACTCCCAGACATCCTAGCCGAAATGGCGAGAGTCTATGGCTTCGACGGGTGGCTTCTGAATTTCGAGAGCAGGATTGTGGAAGGCGCAGACATAACTCAACGCGATAAATACGGCAACAAAATCAAGCTTCCTGCATGGTCCGAGTTTAGTGAAGCCATGCTCAAGGACTGGGTCGCGCAGCTGACGACCAGGATGAATGAAAAGGTTGCACATGGTAAAGTGATTTGGTAACTGCAGCTTGCCGTTTGGAGTCCTGCATTATTCACTGACAATAAACAGGTACGATGCATTGACTAAACTAAACAGTGAATATGGCTCAATGAACGAGTTGAACAATTTCAACAATCCATATCGTCAAGCAGCAGGCTCGATCTTGACAAACTACTTTTATGCGAACAAGAAGCTAGACAACACGATCAAGAACGCAGGGGCGGAACTGGAGACTGTGTACCACGGTATTGATTGTGTAAGCCACCTTTTGCGAGACACAACCAATGTCGAGTCATATAGCACTGACCGTTTCTCTCTCAGTGGGGACAAACAGATGACAGTCGAACGGGTGACGATCCGAGCAACCGCGACACGGTGGGGTTCGAAAACAGTGGCGAGCTCGAAAACGGCAGGGGAACTGGACATGGTGGTACAGCCACCGGCCGTTTTGTCCGCCTCATCGCTGATAAATTGGATTTGGCGAGGAAAAAAGCCGCCAGCGATCCTTCCCACATGCCCCGTGGCGCTGGAGTGGGAATCTTCGCACATGGCTGGGCTTATGAGCATTTCATGCCAGGAACCTCTGTTGATCGCTTCATGTGGGAAGGCGAACCGAATTTGACAGGGTACATCGAACCCACAGCCAAAGGCCGCATGCCTGCCGCCGAGTGGAAGCAAAAGCATGACTCTTACAAAGCCAAGCAGAGCGAGTGGCAAGGGGCCGAATATGATTGTGCGTGTGAAACCAGCATCGTTCAGCACCTTTGGCGGCACCCACCAGAACCTGTGGACTTCAAGGACTGGCCCATCATCAAATCAGCACGGGAATACCCTGCTGGCACAAAGAACTTCTTCCACACCGATTATACAGAGCCTGTCGTCGACCTGCCCGGGCAACAGTACAGTTACCAACTTGGTCAGCAATCTGTACTGCCCATACCTGGGCGTCGTAAGCAGGCACTCAGTCTCACCAACGCTGATGGATCGACCGGATATTTGCAAGTTGCAATGTCATCGAAATGCACACTCCGTGTGGTCGAAATCCAGAACAAAGGCATCAAGGGCGATTCTAAAGTGAGCGGGTCTATTGACTTGCACCAACTCAACATTGATGCCAGCCTGAAACCGGAAATTGTTCTCGTCTACCGAAGACTCAAAGATACAACAGGCTTGACCATTCAGCTTTCTGTCAAAGTGGGCGATGATCTTGCGCATTGGGATCTTTCAGGGATGCCGTCCCAAGCCGGACAAAACGAGACTCTAAAACAGGTGATTCCCTTGAAGAATCCTGGGACGTCTGTTCGGGGCATCAGCATAACCTTGGGTGGTCCCACGCAAACTCTTCTCAGTTTAACAAAGGACGGCGCGGCGGATCTAGTCGATATCATCGGCTTGACCATCAAGCCGCAAGGTCACGAGTACCCCGACGGCAAGATTGAGCAAGTCAACCTCGTGAACAAGGTAATAACCGATTCTGGAAGCTACACTCGCTTGGTTTGGAGCCTCGCGGATGGCCCCAAGGCGCCCGAAAGCCTACCTTGGAGTCGGACTACCAAGCAATTTTCGCACTTCTGGGTTTGGGCGAATAACAACTACTTGGGAGTTGCCAATGCCTTGGGATTCCCAATCAGCGAGCAGGTGAAGCAAAGCTGGCCGGGAGGCAAAAAGGTGCATTTTCAGATCCGTGGTATCGCCTTCGATGGCACTTACAAGGATTCGGGCGGGTGGCAGGGTGACTTGGACGTGCCGGCTTGAACTTCGAGATGTACTCCGTATGCGTTTCTTATTGTGTATACAAACAAGCCGTTCAACAACTCCCTGTTAGTTGAGATAACTCAAACATTGAGATCAGGGGCACGTGCCGCTTTTAGGAGGGTTTGCTTTTGGCACAGTCGCCAATACAGGCCATTGGTCACAGATTGGACGTCACAAGCATGGACAATAAAGCAGCATCGCTATCAACTGGAACCGCCTCTATCCCACCCTGACTTTGAGATTCAGCCTCACTTCTTCGCGCACTTGTCCGCTCTTGTAGCACTCTCATCTTCTCACATCTGCTCAATCAATCCCACGCGCGCTGCTGTAACCATGTTTTTGTCCGCTAGACATTTGACTGGGCTCCACACGCCCCCACGATGTCACTGCCGATACTCCCAAAGGATTGGATTTCGCAGTCTCTCTCGGGCTTCGCCGGTACCGGGAGCCTTACCTAAAGTACATGGCAGGCTCCAGGCAACCGCGCCTTTCGAAGAGACATCTTGCCCTCTTCTCGCTGTTCCTTTCATGACCGGTCTAGGTGTATCGGGTGCTAGTGAATAACTTGCTCCGATGCTAACAAGAGGGTTGCCTTGCACAGCCTTTCCGTTCACTTGGCGAGGGTCGGGCATGCCTAACTTGCAATCTGCCTCGCTTTGCCTGAGTCAAGTCACTTCGTGGGATGTCAGTGGCTCGGTACCATAAACAGCTACAAAAAGTTGCGGCTGTCCCTCAGCCTGTCATGAAGCCGCATAGCTCTTTTATGCCATAGGACTTCCAAGATGGTACAGCTGAACAGAGATCAGGCTGTCCAGAAGGCTCAACGCCATATTGAAACCATTAGGAAAGAAGCCGGACTGGACGACACCAGTGTAAAGAGTCGAAATGTCGAGAACCTCCAGAATGCCCTTCACACGTGAACAGTTCTTCCTTATCCCCTGCCCTGAGTCTCCTCTCTGACCATACCCCAGCCTCGCAGATGAGCTGTACCAGAAGTCCACGCATTTCCTCCTCGAGCTCATACAGAATGCCGACGATAACGAGTATGACACCGCCGAACCTAGCATTTCTCTAACGTACCAGAATCGACGTCTGAGGATCGACTGTAATGAGAAAGGCTTCAGTGAGAAAAATGTCGAGGCCATCTGCAGGGTGGGTAGCAGTACCAAAGCTGGCGCACACCGCGCTACTGCATACGTCGGAGAAAAGGGGATCGGTTTCAAGTCGGTCTTCAAAGCTGCTGACGTTGTCTGGATCTCGTCCAACTGCTACGCCTTCAAGTTCGACAAGAGGCAGGTCTTGGGGATGATTGCGCCCATCTGGGAGCCATTCCCCGAGCCCTCTACGCCATCCATGACCTCTATGCTCTTGCAGTTATCTCCGGAATACGACGAGACGCAACTGGTCTCCGATTTGAAAGAGTTTGACTCGCGCATGCTCATGTTTCTCCGTCGCTTGAGAAACGTAACGATCACAATTCAAGACGACGAACGGGCCTGGCAGACCACTTTCAGCAAGACCGTCGGTACGAGCCATGGCGAAACTGCAATTGAATTGACTCGGGATGGGAAAGTCACGAAGTACCTTGTCAGCTCACACTTTGCTAGAAACCTTCCCCTTGAGCCTAAGCGTCCTGGTGCACGCGAATCTCAGATCCTGCTTGCCTTCCCAGATGTCACGGAGCGGCCGTTGACATCTCAAAAGGTTTACGCATTTCTTCCGATTCGAGACTATGGCTTCAAGGTATGGGGACATTTCTCATAAGTGAGCGTGAAATTCCCACTAATCCTTTTCAGTTTCTCCTCCAGGGAGATTTCCTTCTTTCTGCGAGCCGCGAGGACGTTTTGTCAGACTCTCCTTGGAATAGGGCCCTCCAAGGACAATTTGTCAAGGCCTTCGTTGCTGTCACTAGAGCATACAGTCACGGTCAATTGTGTTATATATGGCCCAGATTCATCCCATTCAAAATGACTCAATATCATTTTTTCGAACCAGCCAGACGAGAAATCATTGAGGCACTCTCTCGACAGCCTGTGTTGAAGTCCAGAGCTCAGGAGCTAATGATGCCGTCCTCCTTGACCTATGTCCCCTTGGACTTCTGCGACAGACAAGGTGTCCCAATAACTTCATCCCCGAGAAACGACCTGGCATATCTGTGCCACCAATATGATGTCTCCCTTTACGATAATCTCGAGGCCCTAGGCGTGACAAAGATGACCGCAGCCATATTCTTGGAACATTTAGATCTTTACATCAAACAGAACACAACCTTGTTCCAGAAGATGAATTCCGCCGAATGGCATACGCGACTTGCAGAAGTCCTTTTGAAGCTCTGTTTCGATACCGAACATCATGAGAAGCTTCGAAACCTACCGATAATTCCTCTCAATGACGGACGGTGGGTTTCGGGCAAAGAGAAGAACGTCTTCCTCCCTCAAGAAGCCGAAAGTTGCACGGCTCCAGAGGGTCTCGCGTTCCGGCTGGTCCGGGAAGATGCTGCCAACAACCCTACATCTCGATCTCTATCTCTTCAGCTCGGGCTCAAAGTCTTCGGCCAAGATGCCATAGCCGATTTCCTCCTCCACGTGCACACCCAGCCTCTGTTCAACCCAAAAGGCATTAGCGTTGATCATCTAATATCTCAGGCAGTGTACCTCTTCAGAGCTAGAGTCCATGACTTTGAGGTCAGATATCTCTGGTTCGCTACAACAGACGGTTCCGATCGCTGTCGCGCAGAAAGCGCATATTTGCCATGGCAGGCTCCATTTGCAGCGAGCCAATACTTTTCTGGTCGGGACGACATCCACTTCGTACATCCACAGTATTTGGACGCTGTAAAGGACGATCAAGCGAATTGGCTCGAGTGGCTGGAAAATACTGCCAAAATCTCTATTCTGCCACGCCTTACTCAAGCTGATGGGCAATCACCGCACTCCTTTGGACTATCGCGCCACTTTGCCTTGATCATGCAGAATTTCAAGTCTAGAGACTTTCTAGTCCTTCTGAGAGATAACTGGGGCTATTATTCACGATGGCTCGAAGATGACGCTGGCGGTGCTCGAGATGACTCCAGAATAGCGAGACAGGCGTGTCGAGAGAGACTGAGAAACTCGCTGCAAGAAGCGCAAGTGCAATGCCTTGGAGGCACGAAGAAGTCCCTGCGGGAGGTCTTCCTGCCTATACCGGAACTTGTCCAGCAAGCAAACGGTCAGGTGCCGTTCGTTGATGTTGACGACCCCCTCGACCCCCGTTGGCAGAGGTTGAAAATTTTAGGGCTTGGTGTCGAGGGTGACGTTTCCTTCTACCTCCGATGTTTAGAAGCAATGAGCGGTGCAAACGATGCAATAGCTATCGACCGGGCTGCTTTGATGCTTGAACAAATCCAAGCCCGTTGCTCGGAACTGCCGGACGTTGTGAGGTACTCATTCACACAGAAGCCGCTGGTTTGCATCCCAAACAAAAGAGTTGGATGTGAACCCCGCTGGGTGAAGGTGCAGAATTGCTTGTGGAGCGGTCCAGAATGCCTTCGCCGATTTGTTGCGCTGAAGAACATATACCCATCTTGTCAGCGGCTTTTCCGTGACTTCTTCTTGCTTCCCGATGCTGGCATTGCTGACCTCGTACGTGAGACCAAATTGCTCAATGTTGGCGACCCGCTGTCTTACATCAAAGCTCTGTTTCTCGAAATCGAGAAGCATCTAGAGAAGGACGAGACGACGACTGCCATCGATTCACTTGAGACACATTGCATATGGCCGGTTTACAAAACAGGCAACGAGGACCAATGGGATATGCTTGGATGTGCCAGAAACTTGGACGCGTGGTTCATTGCCGATAGAACACATCTGCTGGAGAGTTTTTGCGGGATCGTGCCTTTGCTCGCCTTCCAGGTCGAAGACGTACTGAAAATCCCGCTCCTGATCCGGAAACTGGGCGGTGATAAACGTCGATTGACCCGAGCAGTCACGAGCATTGCAGAGACCGTTGGTTCGTTACGACCCGATCCAACTCGGCAAGCTGATCTGCGGTCAAGAGCCGAATTTATAGCCAGGTGAGTGATGCTTTGCCCATCCAACGGATGTTTAACGGCATCCCTCTCTTGTTTTCGAAAGACGGTCAATAACCCAATATTGATTGCAGACTCATACCAAAAAAGGAACACGGCAAGAGCGAAAAGGTGGCCAAGCTCAAGTCGTTGCAAACATTCGCCACTACAAGAGTCATTCAAAAGTGGTCCGTGAAAGTTGCCGCCTCGGAGAGCAGATCGGGCCGATCGAAGGATGGAAACGTCGTTCTCTCGACCGAACACAACCGCCTCGAAATCTATTTGAAAAACGGGTATTTTGAATCAACCAAGGTTCCTCGGGAACTGATCGAGGCCATCGCAAGCTTCTGCGGGATCGAAGATAAAGGGCTTTTTCTCCTCACTGTCGCCCTACAAGACGACGTTCCGAACATACAGAAATGCTTCCAGGAGCATGGTGTCCCTGCACTCAACCTGGAAGATGACACAACGGAAGATTTTGAGGATATCGACGACTTCGACCCGCGAAAATCCCAGGGTTGGGGTGCGGCGACGACCACCGGTAGACCTGGGCGCCAGAATGGTAGACAGAGCGTGCTCAAGGGCGATCTGGTACGTATGTTCACCGCTCTCGGTATGTTTGGTACCGGTACTGTCCCGGGAGGCATTTCTGTAGGAAGCGCCACTGGCCTCAGCAACTCCGGCGAGACTTTTGTGATCGACGGCGGATTCGGTGGCCTCAGCGCCAGCGATCTCTACATAGAAGAGGATGATGATGATGACGACAACGACGCCAAATCTGTCTCGTCCCGAGCCTCGTCGACAATGTCTGGCTCGACGCTCGGTGGTGGCAGTGGCAGGAGTAGTAAGATGAGGATCTTCGCGGCAGTTCCCGCGAGAATGATGCGAAGAAGCGTCTTCTCTGACAATGTGCGTCGAGAAGCCGACGACAATCTAGAGTTTCTTGGTCAGAAGAAGGTATATGACCCACCAAGCGTCCCTGAAAGCCGGTCTTACATGATCCAAGAAGGGCACGAACAAATGTGGCTTTGTGACTGTTGATACTGACTCGGCTTGCGCAGGTTTCAGAAGAACTACGCCGGATGCTCAACACGGCTTATGATCCAAATTTACACTGGACCAGCAATCTCAGGACAAGAAATCGCCACAAACCTTTCATTCGCGAACGAAACAGCCACGGCAAGTCCAGGCTGTATGCCACTTTCACACTCGCCGACACCAGCGGAATGTTCAGCCGATATGTCGCAGAGTGTTACCCCGAAGCGAGGAGATGGATCAAGCGTCCTCCCGTGTATCATCTCGACGTGAGAACGACCAAAGGAGACTTGAGCTCCGAGTTTTGCTACAGTAACGCGCAGTGGAAGATGGTGAGTAACATGACCACCCAGGAAATGGCCCCCTTGGCTATTCCAGTTCTAACGCTTCTTGTAAAACAGGCTCGCACATATACCATCCCCGATTCAACAGATACCAACATCCCAACGGACGTGTACTTCCTCGTCCGCGTATTCAATGCAGATATTAAGAAGGAGCCGGAAGTACAGTTCCTGCTGGATCCGTGGTCGCTCTATCTTCAGGACAGTCTAAGGTTGAAGGCGGAGAAGGAATACCATGTCACTATTCATGGGCTGAGGCTGTGACTATAGAGTCTATGAGTCCAATTTTCTGCCACTTGAATTGGTCAATGCGATGTGCGTCAGATGCGAAGTTGACAGGCTGGGGGCACAGCAATCTGAGAGAAGGCTTGGTTCCCCAGCAAGGCTGAGTGAAGGGGGTAGACGTCGGTCGCATGTTTGCTCCACCCTACGCGGCCCTCCCCTTGGTACGGTGGAGCTTAGTAGGCCCTAAATGCAATCCGAATATGAAATCTTCGAGCTCCAAATAATAATTATTAATTAGCTGGCCATTGCATCACGACCTGAGGGCCCAGGGTTTTAGCACTTGTCGAACAGTGTTGGCCTACATTCAATCGTTTACATGCATTCACACGCTTGCCCTTTCTTTTCTCCTTGATATGTTCCCCTCTCTATTGTGTTTCTGAAACGAACAGAGATTGCCCATTGAGAAGCCAAATCCCCCTCCCTCTTCAGCCATGTTCCGCACCGCCGCTCCGTCCAGTCTGCGCTCCGTAGCTCGCTCTTCCCTTTCCCATGCTCCCGCAGCCAGAAGTTCGATCGGGAAGCGGTTCGCCAGCACATCGCCAGCGAATGCGCGACGGAGTTGGAAGGGCTCGGCGTTGAGATGGGGTATTGCCATTGCGGGCATCTACTATTATAACACGAGCCCGGTCTTTGCGGAGCAGCCACAACATAGTAAGTCGTGCTCCGACCGTTCTGGTCGCTTGTCGATGGGTCATGTCTTTTCCTGGGATTGGATGCTGATCTGCGGTTGCGCGTTGGTTGCAGATCTATTAAATCCTAACCTCGACGCACTTGACGACGAACAGAGGGACCATTCGACCTTGGAAGCCCTCACCTCACGCCACGCCAGGGAAGCCGAGAAAAACGCCTCGGTCCTGCATTCCGCCGCCGACTCGATATCCTCCGAAAATGCCTCGACAACTATCGTTGCAGACCACGGGCCTCTCACCACCGGCACTGCCGAGGGGCTAGAAGAAGAGGCAGCCGGCGAAGGGGCCTTCAATCCCGAGACAGGAGAGATCAACTGGGACTGCCCCTGTCTAGGCGGCATGGCGCATGGGCCCTGCGGGCCGGAATTCCGTGAAGCGTTTTCGTGTTTCGTGTATTCAAAGGAAGAGCCCAAGGGCATGGACTGTATAGACAAGTTCCAGAATATGCAGCAGTGTTTCCAGAGGTACCCGGAAGTCTACAAGGGCGAACTGGAGGACGATGAAGAGTTGGACGCTGGGCTGGAGGCGGAGAAGCAGGAGTTGGTCAACGAGATCGCCGAGAGGAAGAAGCAACAAGAACAAGGGGCCGCCGCGACGCAACGCAGGTTACTTGAGGAGCCGGATCCAGCGCCTAGGCCCGCACGAACGAACAAGGCGACGACCTCTCCTCAACCGCATGAGCAATCACCGCCGCCGCCGCCGCCGCAAACTTCACCACAGGGAAAATCCGAGCCGCATGCCGACGAAAAGAGCGAGGCCACAACATCCGAGAAAGCAGCACACCTCCAAAGCGACAACCCGCCCGCCTCGGAGTCAAAGGTGAAAGTGAGCGACGACCCGTCCCATTCTTCTACGATGTCGCCCGAGCGGGAAAATATCACAGAGGGCCAGAAGTCCGGGGTGACGAGAGAGCCAAAGAAGTCTTCATCCGCCGCCACGGAGGAGACATACATTCCGGAAGCTAGCATTGTGCCCAAGGCGGCGCATGATGCTATCGGCAACGAGGCGGAACATCCAGAAAAGTGAGGATAGAAAGGAGGAGAGAGACCTAATGTACATGACGGAAAGATTGGTCGTCTTTGGCTCTTGCATACAAGCATGGTGGAGTCATTTACCAGAAGAACATGGGAAAGAAAAAAAGGGTATTGTACATCATTGGCACGAGGCTCGACTTGTACAATATTGGAACCAACAGATGGCTTGGGAGTAGTTCGATACATTGCGGTGCTGTCATCGTCATGTAGAGAGAACCCGTAGCGGCCAAAATCAAAAACCTCATCTCCAGTCCATCTATCTATTGTGAAAGAAAACGAGGAGTCTGTTCAGGCTAAACAGCCTTACCGGGCCCAGCATCGTTGTTCTCATCAAGGCCGAGTGAGCCAAGATTAGGGCTGCCATGTGGCCGAGCTGGCTGAAGAGGTAGCGCGTCTGTCGAGGACGAGTAGGTATGACTGGAACACAATTTTGGGTCGCCCAGGTAGCTAGCTAGAGCGGGCTGGATATGGAGATTTTTGATAAACAAGCAATCTCCGCCTAGGCTTCGCTTGCCACGAGGCAAATTTGAGACGGACGCGATCGACCGTCGAGATGGGCGCGAGATAGCCGACTCAGCTGTGTAGGTTTCAGAGAAGTCGGGAGTGTTTCTAAACGTGGTTTTTTCTAATAGGGGAATATGAAGAGCGTGGTCGTCGGTGCTGAGCTCAACAGCTATGTCCAGCTGTCTTGGGATGGCTTTGCTCGGCCCCTTGTCCCTTACATAATTGTATGTACCTAGATACTCATCGTATAACGCATTGGGAAAGGGTTAACCTACCTGCATCTCCACCCGAAACGCGAGCCGACCAATTCGGAGGAGGTTGAAACAGTGGTTTGGAGAGCGCCCACAGGAGCACCACAGCCTATAAAACCCTCGTGGGATCCGGGACTAGCTCTGCCTTAGTGGACTATTTGCTCGTAAGCAGATCAGCAAATAGACTTGGAACGATAGCGGTGGCGTATTAATAGCAGCAAGCACGAGCAATGGGATTGCTGCGAGTATGCTGGGGAGAGGAGCAGAATTCGCCCCCCCGCGGTGAAAAAAGAAAAGACCATGATGCAGACGGATGGACAGTGAGTGTCAAGGCCAGAACAATGTTTGGGTGAGAAGAGTCCTCGATCTTCGGGTGATGGGTGACAGCACAGTCGAAGGACGCAGACTAAGCAGCCCTGGTGACCCCTTTTAACCAGAAAGTCACAAGCGTCAAGCGCTCTGGAAACCCTGAGTGGCCTGGGTGGCGCCTGTTCCCGATAGTCTGCCAAGCCCAACAGCGCCCACCAGCACTGGTGGCACCCGAAAAACCCCCCGCAAGCCAATCGCTAGGGGCCCAGCAAAACCCCCTTGACCGTTCGCCGCGGGTTCCCGTTGGCTGGTGCCGCTCCCCTGATGGGCACCTGGGCAGTAAGTGGGTGCGTCAGATGCCCCCAGCCAGTGCCTGGAGCGGTCTGACATGAGATGGACGCGAGCATCAGAGCATCCCAGGTCCGATTTGGGTGCTTGGAGCCTCAGGAGCCTCTTTGGACTGCCGCATCACCGGTTGTCAGACTGAAAGCCTTTTTCCCTTGCTCCCCTTCGCTCGGCTTTTTCCTCCCTCTTCTCCTCCCTTTGCTGGTCTTTGGTCTTTTCCAAACTGCTCCCCTTCCTCCTCCTCCCCTGCGTTTCCCTCTCCCAGGCTTGGGTTCTTTTCCCATCCATCCATCCATTCACACCACTCTATCATCGTTTGACCTCGATCTTCTCTTTTTCTTCCCTCCCTCACCGTCCTTTGCTGTCACTCTTCACCACCCTTTACTCTTCCTGACCTTTATTGCCTCCCTATTCCGTTCCCTTCAACCTTACCCTGTCGACTCCGGCATCGACTGTGGCTACACCTCGCACTCTCGGTCTCGCATCGCTCGCCTTTCCTTTCGACCTCTACCGTTTTCGCTCTAATCGCTTCTTCAAACCCTCCTCGCCCTCACTGCGCCCAACATCCAGGTCCCCAAATACGACCCGCTCGATCCTTTCCATCTCAACCGATATACCCCCATACGGCCCTTTCGAAAACTCCCTCAGTCGTGGAGAGTGACTTGCAACATACCTGATAATCGTCCATACACACACACACCCCCCAAACAGCTTTCAATCGCTCGATCATTGCCGTGCAATATCCTACACTATTACACCTCGATCTGATTGCCGAACCACCTTCATTGTTCTAAAAATCTTCCTTACCTGGTTACCACAAGATTCAAGACAGCTTTGTACAATCCATCATCTGGCTCCCTTCTGGTCTTGCGACCATCAGCACATTGGTACCTCCACGGTTTCAGGGTTTCTGCCAACAGCTGGCTGAACATTTGGTTCGTTCATTGGCCCTCTCCTCTACGGACTATTCGTACTGACAGATACAGGCAGGCATTTCCTTTCTGGTCACGCCCTACGCCTTCTCTCCTACTACGGTTCCCTCGAACCAACTCGATCACGAACTCGTCTTTACCTAGTCACGACTTGTCTTAATTGTCTTAATACACCAAAAGGGAAACTCACGCTCCTTCCTCACATTCAATTCTCGCATCGGCAGCGCACGGACTATTTTTTGTTGCTCAACTTTTTGTTCTCCAGCTCGGACACTTCGGCTTGTCCCATCTATACACAGTTTCAGTCTCGTCAACTTACACAGTATACGATCCTTTGTATATTCTAGAGTACAATGAGCATCGACGCTGGCGGTGTTGCTCAAATGACTTACCAGTCTCCTTTCAACAACTCTATCGGCGTTTCTGGCCCTGGTTTTGCTTCTCGAGGGAAAGGCTCCCATATCAAGCGTCTCAGCGTCGCACCTCCCTCCAAGATCTCGACCATCGACGAAACACAGCAGGCGAACACCATTTCTACGCCCCGCACTAGCCGGGGTCATCTTCTGGCAGGTCTACGTACAGCTCCCAAATCTGCTACGGTCCCTCCTGCCAACCATGGCATGGGACTGGAAGGTAGCAAGTACGCCTCTGCGGCGTACGCCAACCAGGTGCCGCAGACAGCTACTGGCATGTACTTTCCGGGAGGCAGGAACGCTTTGCAAAGCAACCTGCAACAACCTTACTCGCTTCCGGAGCATGTACTTGCCCCTCCGTCCCTTGACTTCGTTGACGGAGCGGAGAACATGGATCAGAATTTGTACGATGAACTGGTAGCCACCAACAATTACCTTGCTCAACAGCAACGAGCTCTTCAACAGCAGTTGTTGAATGTCACTGCTGCGGCGCATCAGCTATCTGGACTCAACTTGAACACCGGCTTCGTGAACAATATTGGTCAGCAGCCGTACCAGTCCCCCATCAGCTCTCCAATGGGTCTGTACAATCAACAATTCCAGCAGGGCTTGCAACCCGTGGTTCACCCAGTCCCTGGTAGCCCAGGAGTCTTCACTGTCTACAATCCGATGACTGGCCAGTCAAGTTATCTGGTCGACAATTCTTATCACCAGCAGCAGCAGAAGGAAGTCTCTCCTGTCCGTCAGAACAATTCTGTCTCGCCTCCTCCTGCAACGCCAGCCTACCAGCGCCAGTATCCTGAGCCATCTTTTCCCCTGACCGAGGCTCGTTCAAAGACACCTCCGAAGTCCACCCCATCTCCGCCGCAGGAGGTTGAGCCTCTTCCCCCTCCATCTGCCAACGCGTTCCGACGGGGTCACCGGAAGAACATGTCGTCTGCCAATCTCAAGACTGCTGGCGATTGGACAAAGGGTTCTGCAGCCAGACCGGCTGGGTTCCCTCAGACTCCAATGACGGCCACTTTTGGACCCGGGCACGGAAGAGCCGGAGAACATCCTGTCAGACAACCCAAGGGCCCGCCGCTTCTGCAAGAGCTGGAAGAAAAGCCTACCTCCAAGCATGAGGGTAGCAAGAACTTTGCCACTCGACAGCGTCGTAGAGCTGTTCATGATCTTGTTCGTGCGGGCCGTGAGCGCCGCAGCGATGGCGGCCGTCAACCCGGGTCTGGGGCCGGAACACCTGGCAGCGAGAACGAGTTCAACTTTTCAGTCTCGTCTGATGACTCGGTTCTGGCTGGAAGTAGCAGTCTCTCGAGCAAGCCGAGCCTTGGTAGTCTCCGGGCTGCTGCAAGCGGGGTGATTGGGTCTGAGATCAAGGAGAAGTCTCGTGAACGGTCTTCTGTTGACAGCGTTGGAGCGATCAGTGCTAAGAGCTTGAGTAGCGATGAGGGCAACTCTGTGGGAGGTCCTATTGTCGAGGTTGAGCCGGCCAGACGCAACACTCCCTTGATGGTTCTCAATAGCGCTGAGAAACGCAAGAGTGTTGTCATGTGAAGCGGAAAGGCGCAATGAGGGCGGTGCCCCTTTTTACCACATCATTTGAGCTCTCTTGGTAGACTCAGCCACTCCTTTCATCACGACCTTGATGACTTTATTACTCCGAGATTGATTGGCATGAATATTACTTTACACTCGATCACACCTTGATGGAAAAAGCACCTGAACCTCGATTGGAGCACTAGGAATATTCTTTAATGATCGGTTTTCCATCGATTAGTCCTTTTTTGACTTCTGCCTTGTTTTGAGAGTCCTCGAACTGTCCTGTCCAGGCCGGGTACTCCTGTTTGATAGCACCATGAGCCAGTGCGCTGGGAGTGCTCGATGGGAAGCAGAGATGCTTCGCAAGAGACTCCTGTCCAGTGATAGCGGGCTTTTTTTTCCCTACTTTTTCTAGCAGACTGTTGGCTGTGGAACGGCTGAGCGCAAGTATGGTAGCATGGTGAAGAATGGATGGATGGACTGATTGATTGATTGATTGATGGATCGATGGACTGATGGGTGGATTGATTGATGGATTGACGGATTGACGGTGGGAGGCCATGCGCCGCCAGACCGAGCGATGGACGGGCTGTATAGCACGGCAAAGAATCGAGAGTCTCTTGCAATGCACTGCTCGCCTGTCTGTTTGCCTGTCTGCCTGCCTACCTACCCACTTGGCAGTTTTAGTACATGCTATTA